CTCGCTTTTCAAACTCAGCCACACAGGCTCTTATTATGTGACCCTCCGCTATGACCATCCCATCCCAAACCCAAGAACCTCAAGATTACCCCACGGATGGCTCACTGTGTCCCACGCACGTGCTGCGCTGGTGGCCGCCTGATCCCGAGCACCGGGACTGCTCGACCAACGGCGACTCGGCATGGTAAAAACGTGGGATGAACATGAACGGCGGGTGCTTTCCCTTCATTTCATCTCTGCTATTTTTGCACATTTGGGAAGCTTGTGCCTTAGGTTGATTCCCGAGGGTTTCAGCGGGATGAAAGCCGACAATTTAGAGAGAACCAATTAATTTCATTTCTCCAAATTGCGAAATCTTTTGAAACCCCATGCAAACAGCCCGCCGGATAGGCACAAGACAAGACAAGCCAGGCAGCCCAGCGGTGAAAGGGACCAAAAAAACGTGTGGCCGCCACCGCCATATGGCTTGCGACAAGCAGCGATTTCCTGGAAACTTGTAAAACTGTACCTGATACCTCCCTTCCTCATGTGAAATTTAACTGGTTACTGTTATCAAAGCGCATAGGCTTGCCTCGTCTTAGGGATCTTTCACGTTGATAAAGGAAACATGGGAATATCCCAGGCATAAAACCTCGCTGAACAGGATTCCATGCATATGGAACAAGGGTGAGGATTTTCCGGTGTTATAATGGTAGCAAATGTTTTTTTTCCCTTGCTCCTTTGTTCATACAAAATTCATTACTTCGTAGTTTTTTGATGCTTTAATGTATCGCCGAGATCGCTCAGAGATTTAGGCCGAGATTTAAAGCGAACCGGGAATTACCCTTAAACGTTTCCAACATGTGCGATCTTAGGTTGTTTCCAAACAGGCATTTTGATCATATGGACGTCCGAACGATTCGATAGATGCCTGGCATGTTTGCTCTACCAGACTAGGGGTAATGACTCGCCCCGTCTGTTCCGTCTGAGGTACGTAGCGACCACGCGTTCGGATCGTATGCAAAGAATATTCGATTCAGATTCCATGACAGAGAAAGGATGGTTTTTCCGAAGGGAGGGTATCTTTGCCTTCCGTATTGTAGCCTGTTCCGCCGACGGATCTTGAAACACCATGTTCGGTTTGCCTTGTGCCTGTCGACAGTTATAAGACAACCCTTGTCGAATCGTATCTCGCCAAACCTGTGTTCCTGCAGAAGGTAACTGTATATGGGAGGCTTCTAGAAAATGCTCACATGTAACATTTTTGGAGGTCCAAGCGAATACGAGCGGGCTTTTTGCGTGGCAAGGGGAGAGGATGTTCATAGACAGTGTTAGGCAGTCGAGTTTATCCAGATGATGTCTGATTTGTAGATTTGGATACAATTACCATTTACAGGTTGAGAGGCATTTTAGCCGCCCCCGACATGTGAAGACCGTGATACTGGTATACTCGGTCGGACTTCGGTCACGGTTGGGGACGCTAGGGAGGGTTCACCGAATTCAAAACCGATAAAGTGATACCGGGGACGGGGACATGCCTCAAGGGGGTATGGGGATGTCTATCAAAATCGCGCATCCGAAGACATCTCGAATTCAATCAAGGGCGGGAAATCCAACGATCGCAAGTTATGAAATTTGGAGATTGTAAATCGCGACAGCAAGAGTGGTCCCAAGAGAGTGGAATGGGACCAAAGGCGTCCGCGTTCCTTGCGAAAAATCTCCACTCTCGAGGGTTCAAGACATTTGTTTCTCCTTTTTTCACGGAGGGAAATCTCCAATCCTCATGGGTTTGAGAAGTCCCATTATGTTCAATATCTTAAGAATGTTAAGGGAATCCACCAGCACTGGGTCGCTTTCATGTAAATCGCGAACTCGTAATTTTCTGCCCGGTTGGGACCTTTTCTCCCATACGCTGATCCCAGGAAACGAACTCCTGGTAAATTGGCTTGCGAGATAGCGGCCTTACTCCTTTTACGATAAATATCAAAACGGCTTTTCTTGGTGTTTCGGGGAACCTTTCAACATGAAAACGCGTTCATTTCAAGTGTGTGATGGCGGTTTTAGCTCTCCCGGATCCCCGACTTGTCAACAGTCAGTCGTCTGTGCGCAGTCACCAAACTGCTGGGACCATGGGTTTCCGAGAGATTGTCTGCAATTTCGCCTGCAACGTATGGAACATTTGATAGAAGGGAAAGCCTGGTGTCAACAATAGAAAGTGGGTCCTTGTGTGAAGTTTTTTCGCGTCTGAGCCCTCCGAAGCTGAGAGATCCGTGGCAGCGTTCCCTATCGGGTCTGAGTTTTGAGGTGGCATTTGAAATGCTTCGTCTCCACCCGGAATTCAAGAGTTGGGGTTTCCGGTTTCAAGATACGTTAGTGCCGCCTCTTTGCTTTGACGCAAAATGGTGGCTCACGAGCCGACTGGCTGGTCACGACTTCTGGGGCGTTTTTGTGTGCACCCGTTCAGGTGGCTTTTAATGGTGAGGCGTGCGGAGAGGATGGCTTGTGAATATGGCTGGGGCATTACCGCCAGTTCAGCCGATAGCGCCGTTTTGGCGCATGAAGGGAAACTGGAGAACCTCTGGAGTAACTAGTATGGAGCAAGGTATGTACACATGGAGCTTCATCATCCTCGTGACGAGAACCTGGTCTAAGATCCTCAGTCTTCTTTGCGCACGGGGACTCCAGGTCTGACCTCCGGAGAGTGCATTAACGGAAAATCTTCCCCTGCTCCGGATTTATCAATATCGACTAATCTATTGCATGTGATTGGGTGTAGACGTTTGAAGTTATTCCGGGTGAAAAGAATTTTGCTTGCTTCGAAACTGCTTAATTGGCCCTGATATAGCATTTGGTACAGGCATAAGCTGGTGTTTTCCGGACGGTTGATCCGGGGTTCGGATTAATGCAGTGAACTCGTGATCTGGGGAAATCAAAAGACCTAGAACTTTGCCACCGGGGACATGGGGTTATAAAAAAACATATATGGAATCGAGGGTCGAGAATTCGAAGCTTATCTGGTTTGAGCAGAAGTAAACTGAGCACATGAGTGGTTGCAATTGCGGATAATTGCGAAAAAGCGTCTACAGCTAGCTATAGAAGCTCAGGGTCTAAACGGTAGTATGCAATGCAAGAGCTATGGAACCCCGGCTACAGCCTTTTTCAACTGATCGAGAAGAACAGTAAAAAGTGCCCGCAGGATGCAGTGGCTGTATCTACTCAAGCTCAAAACTTAGAAAGTGTGGAGGCGAGAAACGGTCAAGGTTTATGGAAGCAGAATAGAAACTTGGGGAAATGATTGAGCGCCTTCCGTCGACAGAGCTTCAGATTATGCAGTTCGTAAGCTCTCAAAGCTGCACAAGCTCACGGGCCAACTGTAATTCAGCCTACGAATCATTTTGTGCATATATGTGCGGAGGAAGTCATCGAAAATGATCGGTTGGACGCAACGGCTAGCTTCCATTTAGCCGGCGGGTATGGGGAATCATGTGCTACACTGAATTTGACAGATGGACAGTTTATCCGATTATAATGCAGCAAACGGTGTTAGTAATCTATAATTTAGTCTGCAGAATCTATAATAAACGGAATCACTAGCACCGGAGACATTTTGTGGAGGTGGAGACAATTGACCAAAATGAAATAAGCGGTACCGGTCTCGATAATGAAAAAATTTTCAAGATTCGTTTTGAGATATCGTGACATTTCACAGGCGAGAAGGCTGCATAAATCACTCAGGCGAGGCAAAGTTTTTCCAAATCGATACCGCTAGCAATTTTAAACATGAAACGTAAGGACATTGACCGGCGGAGGTCAAGTCCGGGTTTCTTTTCTTCTAGCGTTCTTCTTTTTGTTTGTCTGCAGTAATAGCCCTTCTCGGGTATGTGGAGAAACGAAGTCAAAGTTTTTACTCGTCTGTAGATGATGTCTCGGATTAGAGAGGGAAGGCGATTTCACAGTGAAGGAGCCTTGCAATGGTTTTGACTCGAAGCTAGGTTCCCGGAATAATATGTCCTCGATACGGAGGAACTCTAAACTGGCGCGGGCGGCCACGGGCAGTAATGCCAAGTCATTGCCTTGAAGGCAGAAGTGAATTCGAAGATCAAGATCAGGATCAGTGTCCGAATTAGAGCTCCCCGTGCCCGAAGATGTCTACAGGTCAGAGACACAAGTACCTCCAGCGTACCACTTTAGAGACGCCTTTTTGCGGGGGAATGCCCAGAGACGGAACTGGCGTTTAAACGTGAGCCGGACCTTTGAGCCGGATCGTCATTTTTGATAATCTGAGCAAGGTCTGCAGCTAGAGACAAGGAGGTGGTGGCAGTTTTGATGTTTTTTTACGTTATGTGGATATCTCCAGTCTTCGAGACGTCATTGTGTGGTAAGTTATCGCTTAAAGGTATTGAAATCGAGATCCCGTTAAAAGGGATATACAAGATTAAGAACCGAGATGCAAACACCATTCACACATGCCTGCTTATGGAGAGAGGGATCCTGAATTTGGGGAGGAAGAGCAAGGCAGTATGTCATAGTATGTGGGGCGGAGAGGCTGGATGCGACCTGAGATATGTATGGTAATAAAATAGATATCAACAACAGACGTCACTGTCACTGCACTGCAGCTCGGCCTGTGGAGGGGAAGACTTGTGATGAAGACGAATTGGATAGCAATTGGAACACTGGAACATGCAACGTTGGGTTAGTCTCATCCTGAGCGCGGTACTCCGTAGCTGGTGTAGCTGGCCTCTGACCTAGTTACTGCATATGAGCTCACGCGGGCAAGAAATAGAAACGGTTGTTCGGGCAGGCGGATAGTGACGTCGATACTCGGTCGATGGGGTGTCGTGTTGTCGTTAGGAACAATTGAGTGTTTGCCTCGGTGTTGTTGTGTTGTAGCCACGAGGCCGACATGTGCTATCAACGTGTTTGTCAACGCAATATCAGCAATTACTTCCCTCTTCGGCCACCTTTCAGCAGTCACAGCTTTTTCTCCTCTCTTCCTTTCTTTTTCCTGATTTTTCTCTTCACTGCAAAATCTTAAACGAGAATTCCAGGGCGTAGGGCTCGGGCAAGAATCGAGGGCAAGATCCATCGCCAACATCCAAACATCGCGTCAACCGCCTATTCCAGCAACACTAGTGAGTCGCTCCCTATCTCATCAAACTTCTTCATCGGGTCCATGGCCATGGGAAGATGGCGACGATCCTGTCGGTGTCAATGACTTGGTGCCGTCGGTGTCGTCGTCAGCTTCATCCCAACCTCTAGCATCGTTGTCGTCTTCGCCGACGTCTACGGTGGACGATGGCGATGACGACGACGGTGACAATGGAGATAGAAGAGTCCTTCGTCCCTCTTCCATTCCATGGAGGGGCATGATGATATGATATGATATGATCTGATATGATAGAGCATTGTTATGATATGTAGCTAAATGTTCTTTGTCATGATGCAGATACACATATAATCCGACTTTTACATCGCTCTAGGGTCTCAGGACCGCTATCGCCTTCATCGCTTTTGCAATGATTGAGGCTGCTTCGACATCAACATTGTCGGGTTTGTCTCTCCTACCGATGGCTACGATGACGGCTCTGTATATGCCAATTGCTGACTGTTGAGAAACTTGTAGTCAGCCATTCCAATGACCTCATGGACCACGGTGACCTAAGTGCCATTGCTGCCTTCAACAAGGCTCATGATGAATCCCAGAGAGCTAGGAGAGCTGCTACTCAATCGCCAGAAAAGCCAGCTCCGGTTGTCTATCAGAAGCCGTCGGTCATACAGCAAACTTCGAAGGTAGAGCCTTCACGGGTGAGCAGCGCACCGGCCACTCCAATTGCTGCTTCTGTGCCTGCCCCGCGGGCATCAGCGCCCGTTACGCCCTCTGTCCCACCATTAGCCATCGTACAGACATCAACTTATGTATCCTCCACGACGGGCGTTAAAAGGGCTGCCGAAGGACCCTTAGATACCCTTGGATCGTCTCCGAAGAGACAACAGCTTCTTCCACCATCTACTCTGTCCCAGTCTCGTATGAAGGAGGCATCTAGCGGGCCACAAACCACTGCACAGGAAACAACCCGACCTCTAATCGAGGAGTCAGCTTCCCGGTCTGAGTACATTTCAGATAGTGACGATGACTATGAGAGGGAGTCGGCTGATGACTCTCTCCCTGGCGCCCTGGGGTACTCCTTTTCGAGTGCCTTTTCCAATGGTCAACTTCTAGACCCCAGCCAACATCTCAGAATCCAGTCCCTGCCTATCCTTGATAATCTGGTAAGCTAGCTGTGCCTGCCATACACAACCTGCGAGCTTGCCTGCTAACTCTGACGCAGTCATCTCAGCTGCTTAGCACACTACTACAGGGCCAATTTCAGGATACCTTAATTACAGTCACCCAACCGGAGACTGATCAAGGCCAGGCATATGCAACTCTGAAAGCTTTATTTTTTCAGACAAAACGGCTTTATAGCTCCGAGGCGTTCTTGTCAACTGACGAACTTCGGTTCCAGGTCGCGGAGCACAGGAACATGATACGGCAGGTCAATCTTGCAACATTTGTTACTTCTCTCTTTGGATCTACGGAGGTCGGATTCTTCCATCTCAACCGATACTTCTTATCTACGTTTGTCCCTGAAGGTGGACGCCTCCTGAAGAACCAAGGTGGACTATTCCTTGGATTGAAAACCCAGGCCTATATATCTGCTATAGATACTGGAGAAAAGACTAAGGAACAATTATTAGATGATTTGTTCGAAGATGACATTGCCGGAAAGCTCACTGATAGGAGGGGGGGCTCAAAGGAACTCATTCCAAGTGAGATCGAATTTCTTGGTCGGGTTAAGAACCGCCGTGAGCAACTCGAAAGAGCACCGCTAGATGTCCCTGTCCTTCGAGAGATTTACCCTTGGCAAGATTGGCTGCGGGAGATGATTCAATATGTTACCAAGCACCGAGACTCGATCCTCGCCCCCACTACACGGAGGAAATTAAAACGACTAGAAGCTGCGCAAGGTGACTCGAACAAGCACATGTTCCAGGCCCAGACGCAAACACCTGGTTCTTTGTATGGTCAACATTCAACCCTGTACACACCCCCTCCTGGATCACAACCGGTATATCCTGGCTATAGTTCCGTGGGGCGTCCAAGTATGCACGCAGCGTACTCGGCGCATGTGGCTGCTCCGGGTATTAGCCAAACTTCTCTCTCTGGCAACTCTCCCAACCCGGCCCTATCTGTTGGCACTTCACAAGCCGTGACACCCCATCCAGAACAAAGCACCCCCACACATATCCTATACGAACAAGCGAGATTAGCGGCCACTGCTCGCCAATCCCCTAATGCGCGCCGAGCGGGGCTTCCGTCTCAACGTCGTCCATGGAGCACCGAGGAAGAACATGCGTTGATGGTCGGTCTAGACTATGTCAAGGGGCCGCATTGGTCTCAAATTCTTGCTATGTTTGGAGCTGGGGGAACTGTTAGCGAGGCGCTAAAAGATCGCAATCAGGTTCAATTGAAGGATAAAGCACGTAACCTGAAGCTATTCTTCTTAAAAAGTGGAATGGATGTACCATACTATCTACAGTTTGTTACTGGTGAGTTGAAGACGAGAGCACCGGGACAAGTTGCGAAGAATGAGAAGAGGAAACAGCAAGAAGAAGAGGCAATTCAGAATAGAGCAACTGTTGACGCTCTTAATGTTCTTGCCGGCGGCGCCACCAACGGTGAAGGCCATTCTGCTCTCCGAGCACATGGTCACCATTCACAACCTATGTTACAGCCCCCACGGCCGCAGCCTACGCCTGTCCCAACAGCTCACCACCCACAACGTTGGGCGATGTCTCAAGGTTCACCACCATCACAATCACATTCTACTGTTACTCCAAAGACGGAGCCTGCAAACCATTATCACAACACTCAGGCTACCCCACGACAACAGGTTCAGTCACAGGCTGCTCAGTATCACACCACCTCCTCCACAGCGGCAAATCAGCACCAACAAGCTACACGCGCACCCCAACTATCACAATCCCAAATACAGGCACAGGCGCAATCTCAACCACAACGAGCTGCAGCCTCTGCTTCCCCACAGCAACCCGTTGCCACTCAAATTCAGACAGCGTCCCATGTCCAACGCCCTCCATCAACTCCGGTTGCAACCGCTCCGCCGTCATTGACAGCGGCGGTTCCTAAACAAACACCCCCTGTTACCCCTCTGAAGACTCCATCTGTTTCTGCTGTTCCTCAGCAGCAATCACCTCGACAAGCACTTGCGACTCAGAAGCCGACCGCGGTCACAGCCCTCCAGCCTTCGGCATCGCAAGCTACCACAACAACTCAAGTAGCTTCGTCGGCCGTTGCTGTTGCTTCTCATTCATCACCTTCGGCCGTTTCTATACCCTCTAAACTGCCATCTTCGAATATCCCTAATTCGAATGGCCATACCCCTTTACTACTTCCATCTTTGCCTGCCCCTAGTGCTCCTCAGCCACAAGCATCCTCTACTATATCTCAGTCCCCATCTGTTGCTCCTACACCACCTCAGCCACTTGCTTCTCCCGCTATACAGGGCCTAGCTGAAACTATGGCGACGAATGTTGAATAGGGATTCATTCGGACCTAGTAGTGGAGGCCGATAAAGCATTAGAAGTGGTACCCCGGAGTCTTTCTGTTTATCAGCTGGAGTCCACGGAGTCTTTCTTTAATGTTATAATTCTTTCGTTCCTTTCTTCTATGCTTATAGTCCTGCTCCTGCTTATGTACGCCCCCTAATGACACATGCATGTATATTAGGTCCCCCCCCCCTTTTTTTTTTAAATCCCCTCCTTTTTCCCCCGGGGTAGATGAATGTACACATATGGTTTCTCTAAGGAGTTTACTTTCATGCATTAGTTCTTCTACTCATGTCTTCACCGTAACGAGAACTTTTTTTTACTGCTCTTCTCCGTTCTTGATACCCTTGAGTTTTTTCGCATCAGTCTTCATGATTTTAGATGTATATAAAAACGGACTTGGGGGTTGTGCACATATATATGGTTCTGTAGATATTAAATATAATAAGGACTGTAAGGATAAATAAATTGGTGGTTCACATTCATCCAAGGCATTATATTAGTATTCTCTTGTTGACCCGCTAACCTGCTAACCTAGGAGGTGATCACTTGAATATCAATGTGAACCAGTACTTTTTTTAGGTTTAGTATTCTGCCGCTAACGCCATGCATAGTATATATATATATTACCACTACATGCAGAGAAGTTTCTGGAGGCATAGGCCTATTGGTCGCTCGCTCCTGAACAAGAATTTGTAGATTTCCAAGTGAAATGGCACACCTAAAGTTAGCCAGGCTACCGTGCATATTAGCCTAGAATGCCTGGTTCAACCGTTTGGATATGAAAACGCTGACACTGTATCGCTAGACCTATAGGTTGGGTTGATCATGTATGTGAGTCTGTATGCATAGCCATCAGAAGCTGATGACGTAAGTTTTCTCCCAACGGTACAGCCTGGGACGGCCATAGGCGGGAACAATGTTGTAATAGGCTATACTTACAAGTATAAGTTAATTGTTTAGCCCTGCGGGATTAAAAGGCCTCGAGGCTGGAATCGAAATATGAATAGAAGAGCCTGTATTCATGTGTCCACACAAGGGTGATTTCAGCGGTATAAATACATACTTGTAGCCTACTACTCGAAATAATGAAGCCAGAGATCTACTGAAGTTCTAATTTCTCTTATGATCCCTCATATAGTAAGTGTTATCGTTAGATATTTGACTTATATCTAGTGACAGGTCTCGAGCTGGCCTCAATTCAATGGCCAGCATACAAAAATAACACACACGTACAATGTGTTGAACATTTTACGCTTCGACATAGATATACAAGCAACGTCGGTTAATGGTTCATCATTAACGAAGAGAGTGTAGATGCGTCATAGAATGTTAGTATCAAACACGCAATAAGTAATAAAATCGACGATTTCCTTTGCGCTTCACATCGTTGATGCCTACTTGACACAACGAGATACCCTACTCCTCTTGGAGTTTGGCTACAACCTTCTTTGCCGACCCGCCGCTCTGGACTTTGACGGCTTCAATGAAGCTTTCGAAACCGGTTCCACCTACGAGGCTATATTCGCCCGGTTTAACTTTACCAACATCGACGAATGCTTGAAGAACATCGATATACTTGAAGAGGATTTCGTTGAGTTCTTTCGATTCAGGGCGAGCGAGGGGTCCGAGAGAGATGGGATAAAATTTAGCACCGCCAGGGAGAGGGCCAAAATCTTCCCTAGTATGAGTTAGCAAGATAATAAAATAGAGGACAATAGTCTGGTGGAGCTCTATGTGCAACAGAGGACAAAGGATAAGAGTCGGACTAGGGGGGTATAGTTTGTTGGGGGGAAGTCGGTACAAATTTGAAGCTTTTTTTTTAGAGGATAACTCCTATGGATGAGGTCACTTACCAGTCATTGACAGAGGCGAAGTATTTTTCTCCGGCATCGTCCTTGATCTCTTCGAGAACCTTCTTGACAAAATTTGCGTTGTAGGCGGTGGTGTCGATGATTCGGTGAAGCTTCCCTTTAGTGATTTTCTTTATTTTGGCAATCTGTTCATCAACAGGCGTTTTGTAGTCGACAGTCTCATCAGCACCATGAGTGAAGGCTGCCTGTATTTGTGGAAAGAGTAGTTAGCACGGGTACTAAGGGATCGCAATTTATCCCATAAGCCAAATAATTATGTGCATGGCTGCATTAGGCTGGGTAGTTGAGGTCTACTGTAAGAGGCGGCAATTTTAGGGTCTATAGTGGGGGGTTCCAAGCTGTGTGCATGGCCATATGGAGTGTAAAGGGATGCGGGGATTTGTAAGGAACTCGAGGAGTAGGTTAGGAATTACTTACGCCGACGGACCTAGCTGATACACTAGCGACAACCCTGTAGCCAGACAATTTGGAGAGCTAAAAGGATCGAGTTATATATCAGTTTTATTTCGTATGCATTTAATATTCGCAAGATAATAATGGGATAAGCACAGATTTTCAAAAGAAAATCAAAAAAATCATTCGATGGCCAAACGGAACGTTGATACAACAAAACCATGTACTGCATCCTTTGGTATGGGATACGAATCTCGTAAATCAGCAAACAAGGATCAGATAGGCTGCTTACTTGCACGGCATAACCTCCAACGCTTCCTCCGCCTCCAAGAACCAATACCCATTCGTCAGAGATAGCTGGTAAGTTTTGTGGGTCTGGGAGAGCGATATTTAGGCCGCTCCACAGGCCAAGAGCTGCTGTCTATAGGATTTTCGGCAAGGGTGTCTTTAGTTAGGGCATGCAAAGACGGGATAAAGGGCTCATATGATCATGCGAGTTGGAAAGAGTGTCAAGGATTGGGATACACCTTGAGTGTACATGAATGCATCTTGGAGCTAAGTTGGAGAACACTAACCTGACTGCCAACTCCCATTGTAGCAGCTTCTGCAAGGGAGATGTGATCTGACTTTTTAAGGGCTATATCATCTCTGAAAAGGCACTGCAGATACAGACCCGGTGGCAAAAAAAAGTCTTCGTCAGCTATTATAACTGGGGGGTACAGCATTGCATGATGTGCTTACGTATTCTGCAGCCCCTCCGGAGCCTGGGAATCCTACTCCTTGACAGCCAAAAACCTGATCTCCAACTTTGAACTTTGTGGCTTCGCTACCCACTTCGACGACAATACCTGCCACATCACAACATGGTGTCCATGGCCAACTGGTAACGAGAATTCCAGAGTTTCTCATCAACTCATCGCTGTTCAAGGATTTTTTTGTAAGATATGGGTTAGACTGTATACGTATGTATATATGCGCATAAACTCAGGTATGTATACTTACACTGGGTTGACTGCACCAAAAATCGGCTTGACGAGAAGTTGGTTAGAGTCTGGGGCAGGCTTTTCGAGATCGTCGGTTACTTGATATTCACCGTTAACCTCGTTGACTTTGACTCCTTTCATTTTGGTATTGTCTAGAATTAAGGATTCCATAAGTCTTAACCCATTTTGAAACCAATAAAGGGGACTAGTTTGACATAGAAATTCGTCGAAAAGTTTTCGCGAAAATCAAGCGTACGTACTGTGGCTTTGGTTTAGGCGGGGTCTAGTGATTTTGGAAAGCTTGCGTGAGGTGGTTGATTGATTATAACCACCAGATAGTAGTGGGAGTGATAGCGAAGAAGATTTTGTGGTATTGGAACTAACTTGGAGAAGGCTATAAATTTATAAAATTCGAAACAATCTCGTAAGCTCTGGAGTTTCCCGTGGTCCGCGAGTTCGAGTTTTGCTATAGGTGTTTTCTGTGATGTTGGGGATTTTGCATTTGCATATGCACATGCACCGCTCGAGGACTAAAGTATAACGTTAAGCTAGCTTGATATCCCAAGGTAGTATGTTTTTGAACTGTAAGCAGTATCGCTGGAGGGCCTTTTCAGCTGCTTAATTCTGCAAGAAACAATCTAATCCCGGAGCGTCGGAATTATGTCACAATCCCCCATTAATGCCATTAGTTCCGTGAGTCCGCATGGAAGACATCAAACCCCGCTTTATGGCGAGGTCGACATTGCGTTGGTGTTGCAATCTGTGCAGCCATAATTAGTTTGCACTAATTTCTCCTGCTGTCTTCCATGGCTACCCATATGCCATGCATGTGTTTTCCACGAGAGTTTTCCTTGCCCATGAATAAGCATATCGAAATTTGGGTTTACTCAGCAGAGGAGGGGCGGAAGTCAAGTTCTAACGGAGGATTCAGCGGGGGGTTTCCCATTTGAGCCTCTCTTTCTCGAAATTTCACAGTGCATGCACATCCTATTAGTTATAATGACTAAATATAGGCCCTTTGTCATCAACATCGCAATGTTTCCGCGATTTGATATTTTTCAAATTTGTATAGATTCATCAAAACTGCTATCTTTCTTTCGGGCGAAAAATAAAGAAAATACTCCGGGGACACATAGTTCGCAAGCTTGGCTGGAAATACAAATTTCATCGTTCGTTCGGGTGAATTAAAAAGCGAAAGTCTATCCGACCCCCGGGCCTTGGTTTGCCAAAAAAAGGTCAGAATCAGGAATCAAGCATTCTTTCGCCCTCGAGATCTTGCCATGACCGCTTGGCAGGTACCAGCATTTGACTGGTGGGTATTAAATCTAGTATCACTGTGTTTGTGCTTGCTCAAAGTATCGATTATAGGGGTTCTGGATTTTATCATTGGCGATGCTTTGAACCGAGTCAGATTTCATGCGACATTTATTAATATCTTCTAGAGTTCGAACGTTCATACGGCATATACGTTCGCTACATACTACTTACATGAGAAACTGTCGATGTATTAAATTGGCTCACCCTTGTCTAATTGTATGTAATGGAAAAGATCAGACAATCGAGCCCCGTCTTTCCCCGGTTGGTTTTCTTCTGCAAGCGTTTTCACACTATCTCCGTTTCAGCTTCTCAGATCACAGGCAAAATCATTCTGCCGATTTGTGTGAAAATGGAATGTCTCTCAGGAGACTACTAATAATACTACTCCCCGATGTTACCTTCATTCTTCCCAATTTCAAACCCTGTTTCTCTTCATTTCTTTATATTTCCTGCCTCGAGCTACGAGACCACCTCGAGCTCGATTTTCTAAAAGTTTTCCGCGACGCTGTTTTCGCCAAATTTAAGCCTTTCCGACAGCATCTAAGCTAGGGCTTGCGGTCGCACGACGAAGCAATAGAAATAGCAGCTGGTGACCCTTGTCAACTTCCACTCGTTTATGAAACTTATGATGCTGCTCCACGATGCCACAAAGTGGCTCCAGTCAACACTTTTAACATTCGCTAGGCCCTCGACGCCACGCTCGGTGTCCGCAGACCATAGTCATAACCGGTCGCACTCCACTCTTTCTATAGCCTCAACGACTACATCCGAGAGCAAGCCTCTATTATCTGCGTCGAATGTTTTGTCAATTGCCCCAACGGTTGCGAGACACACACTCCGAACATGCATTCATTTCTCAGTTCCTTCGTTCCTTCAGCCCACTACTCCCTCTACGCCTATCCTCCCTGCAAATCAGACTAGTTTATCACGCGCTAGTCGAGCACACATGCTCTCTTCTACGGCATACCTTGATGGCCTTAGAGGTACTGCTGCCTTTCTCGTATTTATATACCATTTTGTATATGGGTATTTCCCGACTCTCGAGGCTGGCTTCGGGTATAGACCAACCGACATGAATCCGCTCCAGCTACCCATAATTCGTCTTTACATGTGTGGTGCTTCTATGGTATCGATCTTTTTCGTAATTTCTGGTTATGTTCTGTCTTATAAGTCAATAACACTAATCCGGCGCCGGGAATACTCTTCGCTCCTTTCTACTTTATCATCTTCCACATTTCGACGTGCAATCCGACTTTTTCTTCCGACATTAGTTAGTGTTCTTAGCATCGCGGCTTTAATTCAATGCGGCGCGTTTACATGGGCATGGAAGCATGCCAGGCACAAGAAAGAAATTCTAGGTTGGCGAGAGCAGGACCCGCCAATCCTCACGGGGTTCTCTCGACAGATGAAAGATGCATTCTGGGCATGGGCTAGAATGTCAAATCCCTTTATCTGGAAAGAGTACTTTATCACATATGATCCGCATTTATGGACCATACCGGTGGAGTTTCGCTGCAGCATGGTTGTCTTTCTATCCTTACTAGGCCTTTCGAAAGTAAAATCTTGGGTCCGATTGACGACTTTGAGCATTATAGCCTTCACATGCCTTTTCTATCTCGGTAGATGGGATGTATGCTTGTTTCTTTCTGGATCAGTGCTTGCTGAACTCACAATCATTCGCTCGGAAAAGAAAATAAAAGGAAACAGTTATATGTTATTTCCTATTTTACTTCTCGGGCTATATCTTGCATCTCAGCCGGCGCACGAACCCGGAAAAACTCCAGGATATAGGATGATTACATACTACACACCGAAAACTGTGTCTGAGAAAGCGAGGTTTTGGCCAGCCATCGCTGCTATAATCATTGTCTTCGCACTATCTTCATCAACCCCAAAAGGTCTACAGAGACCATTCACGACCGGATTTGCCCAATATCTCGGCAAAATCTCCTACGCTTTATATCTAGTGCACGGGCCAGTGTGTCGAAGCCTTGGGTATTGGAGTGTAATTAAGATCTGGGAGTATACTGGTCGGACGACAACAGCGGGATATATTGGTGGAGTATTGGGAGGCGGGGTCTTGGTTTTTGCGACAGTGTTTTGGGTTAGTGATATCTTTTGGAGGATTGTGGATGTTGGATGCGTAAAACTTGCAAGATGGGTTGAGAGTATTTGTCTGGTCAAGACAGATGGCCCAAGCGAGAAAATAGTTAATTAATGCGGAGGAAAGATTGGATCTACTTGGTCTCGTTCCCAGCTAGACGCCACAAAGGGAGGCCTGTTCTACTGATATTATTATTCGATGTTAAACATATTAACTAAATTATAATGGCACAGATCGAAGCGGTTGAAGGCTTCATGAATTCAGGGAGGCTAATACACATAGGATGTCAGACGTACATACATACATACATACATATATATATCTAGCAAATATTCGAATTTTACACCTACCATTGTTATCCTGCGCATGTTAATATATTTCCAAATATGGCCCGGGCAAAATATCGACAAGGCCAGGTGCTAGGTAAATAAACTATATAATAATACGAGAATGTCCACACGGATATAAAATTACCTTTAATGAGCTCACTTCATTGCATTGCAATGTCGTGTCTGGTCTATCATATTGTCGTGTATTGATTGGCTTCTTCGTTGTCAGTCAACGGGATCATGAAATGGTCGATTAGATGCATGTACGGCGGATTAATTAATGTAACAGACTTTGGGATGTACAGATCCAGCCTTGCAGATTCCCACTTGTATATGCACCGTATTCATCTCGAATTCAGCTCCGCCAAAGTGGAACCCGGAGGGCAACGCGACGAACACAGGCAAGATTATTGCATGGCATCTCGATCTCGACATCTTGGTATATTTATTAGCCCCCAATATTCAATTTCTTTCGTAGCGGAATCGGGATATCTCGTCATCAGAACGGTAGCAAATTTGATTCACAGCTGAAGCTCTGGAACCGAATAACCTTCAAGGTAATCAATTCTAAGACAATCTCTAAGACATCTAGATGTGCCGACATTTCCGAAGATGGCTTGGGAGGATATCTTAGGGAAGATGTCGGGAGGGCCTCCGAAAGGTATTTTACAAAATGTTTTGGAAGGAAACCTAAAAATACATCTCGACCCCTCCCAGAAGAGTCATAAATACTGCAAGCCAGACAATGCAAGCCGCCCTAAACAAGGCTTTCAATTACTAAATGAGGCTCCATTCTAGATACTGGTCAAGTCAAGTAAGTGGAAACGAGCTGGCACCGAGGTCTAGTGCAGCGCCCCACACCGAGGGAAAAAAGCTTAGGGTGGGACTAGAATCAACCCAATCACCCGCTGCGGCTGACCCGTCCAAGGATGCAACAGCGGACCCACTGTCACATCGTTCCACAAGCCAGCTCAGAGCTGTTCATAGGAGGTTAGACTGCGATACTATGCACACCGATACAGCCACTCTGAACCTCGAGTGGTCGAGAGTCGCTAACATTCCGGAGGCGTTTTTGGTCGACTTGCAACTCTATCGCTTCTTCCTACCATTGGAGACTTTATCTCTTATCGCCCAGAACCGAAAGACAGAATTTATATCCAATCAGAGGTGTTGAGTAATCTTGCATTAGTGTGAACGCCGCGGGAAATATATAGAACCATACATTTTGAGCTGAACATGACAGCGCTTGGGATGTCTATTAGGCATTACTAGGACTGGTTTCGTAACAACGATATCGTTAAAGAGTATAGTCGCCAGAGCGGAGTAGTGAGTAGCCGTAATGAGATTAACTAGCCGATATGTGGTCGTATTATTTAGTATCCTTGTGAAACAGGCCATGAGCAGATATTAAAAGTGACTATGTCGCTGTTTGAAACGTGGAGCTGGAGGATAAGCGAGAGTGCTCCACCAGTCGCAATCGCGGTAATCCTGCTGGAAATCGCAATCGGAAAGCTACAAAAATTCTAGTGCCAGCTGCCAAGTACCACGAACTTCTCCAGCTATTGTTGTTGTTGATGGCCTAACCTGAGAAGGCAGCTAGCTGCAAGTCAACTAATTCCGATTCGAGGGAAACCCGAGGCCAACCTTCGGGATCATATATTAAACGGCTTTGAAAAAAGAACACAGGGAATGAAAGGGCTTGAAGGAAACCAGCGAGAGAACTGGTAAAGGAACTCGAGGATAGACCCAAAGTCAAGAGGCATGGAACAATAGGCCAGAGCTAGAGAAACGAACCGCAGCTTTGTTATCTGCCACCCTAGATTATAGAAACTGGGCCTGGTGACCGATGAGCCAATTAAGTGGGTATTTTGGGCAACACCGACTACGGTACCCTTATGATGAACTCGAGATATATGCATGCATGCATGATAGGTACTGCTCCCGTGATAGAGAGCTCGAGAGGGCGAGATTAGCTATTAGGGGAAACCGAATCAGCTCCGACGGCGATTGTGGCAAGGCGGAATGCTTTCACCCAATTAATAGAACGAAGGCCGTCAAAGTATTCATTAACTAAATGAATCAAGGGTTGAATGCGCGAAGGATAGAACAGCCGAGGGCTTAATCCTTCCGACGGGGGTACTAAAAAGCGTTTATGTTGTATGCATGATGTGTTGATGGGCAAATTGCAACAGTGATTGTAAACGTCGTGCCACTCATTGTATTATTTCGAATGCAGCTGCAAGCCTGAACTAACCCGAACCCGACCCTGTGTGCGGTGGCGGAATATTGGGCATGTATCGTCTGTCATTCCAATCACTTCGAAGGATGTCTATCACTATCCGTCCTAGAGAGTAGCTAAATTGGCCACTCTAAACAGGCTTGTGCATTTACCCCAAAGGTTCACTGCACTGCAGATTATAATTACAATATTCTCTCCGGTGCGGGCTCGCACTCGGATATCTTGACTGCGCACTGCGGCTATTGTATAGAATTGCCCATAAGTGGCTCTCGTGTGGGATAATTGCATGCAACTGCCTTTGCAAACGGTACGATTGGACGTGGGTAAAATTATAACTCAGTACTGCAGTGTGTATGTGTATTATATCCAATTGAAGCTAGCTGAGTGCCCAAAGTTTTTCATATGATCATGTGCTATTCTACTTAGGCTTGGATTCCTGAACATGTACAACATCTTAGCGGGTGAGGTGCTGGTTCCCAGACAAATGAGGGGAGGTTCTTTAATATAATGTAGATAACTACTCCTTGTATAAAAGAGCAAAACACTATAGTTTAGAATATACGAATTATACGAAGTACAGATACTGGGAGGTACAGCGCCGAAATGTAGAAGGCGAAAATTAAATTAAAATCAAAAGTCCGATCTTGACTTCCTGGGTCACTAGCCTAGAGAATCGTGCAACGTATACAAAATGGTGAACATATCTTCTAGCTACTTAACCAATTGATGTGGCTTGATAAAGTTAATTTAGTCTACAATTCAAATATTCTATAGTTCAGCTCGGCTCTTTTAGCCTAGCAATAATATCAATTATGTTGTAACCTTAGAATAGCGCGCAAGTGTGGCGTGGCTTGAGGAAAACGATTTTGTACTAGGCTTCGCAATTTTATAGCTTAGCCACGATCTAAAAGCTGCACTAGATCGGTGCCTGCAGTATAATAGCACTAGCAAAATCACGCGTAACTTTGAATGAAAAATTAAGGAGTATGTATATATTGGTATACACATTTATAATATCAGATCACATTCACTGGAAATTCAAGCAGCCGACCATCCCGAGTGGCTAGTTTAACGTAGCTACTAACATATTTTATCAACCAAACCCTCAATCCTATTCTTAGTATAAGATATTCTAAATTGCATTAGCTCTTAGCTAAAGCTCGGGTCACCCCTTGTTTATCTAGCTGGATTTGGCAGTGGCAGTGAATTGTCAATGAAGAGATGCAACAGGCCAACACAATTGCGAGTGGACCCGTTTGACCTCGTCAACTACTAATTTCGAGCTGATGGTACATAATTACAAGATTGCATAAGGGACCTGTCGGTACTGTGTAGACGCATATCGGCCCACATTATACATCTGCCATGCCACTAGATTTCGCTCATATGGGACAAACCCGACGGCTATCTCTCCAGTCCTTGAGCTCGTGTCAGTCTTGAACAAAGAAAAATGGCTTGGGGGCTGAAACTGCGTGGCGCATCTGCATATCGCGCATTCAGTTAGCCTCTTAGCTCGCTGCAAGCCAAAGAAAAAAATTCTAGTTGGTAGCCCATGCAAAATTTCTTACTTTGGAGGCGTACCTCGCCAAAGGGAAAATGCAATAGTGCGGCGTATTAAGAAATCTGCTTCCCAGATCGATCTTTTTTTCCTTGTTTTTCTTTGGCTTGCATTCATTAGGGAAATCTATTTGTACACCGCCCACGAAAAATTTTACTCCTTTAGATATCGCCAGATTTCAACAGTCATAGCGAACCCCTAACTAAACCACACACCATCGGAAAACACGTTCCCGACCAATTGAACGAGAAATCTCCTGTAAGAAGCAAATTCGCAATTCGGAGCTTGGCGACCCCCGTTGTCAAGCTGAACTGAATGAGGGACATACAGCTCAGGCTACATCAGTGTCAAATACTTATTCCTTAAGGCCGCGGCAGCCAGACCAATGGTAACGATCGTCGGCTCGTTTCCCGCTCGCTATGAACAACTTCATTGGTTTCTCTTGGTGACTGCCTCTTCCAGGCCGGTTACGGACAAAGATGAAAAACCTTGGTTTTCGGAGTATCCAAGCATTAAATTGCCCGTGCTGATCGGGTACTGCACCGGCTCCGCTTGACAAAGGAGAAAGAATCTCACAGCCAGATCTCGGGTGGTCTGATATCAGGAGTGTGAAAAAAAATCGAAAGCCACTAATTAGCTAACTGGAGAGTATAATTATAGAATGGAATTGAGCAATTGCTATCGCCATATGTGGGACTTTATTTAAAATTCGATATTAAACCCAAATCCTGTCCGGGGTCTCCTAGCGTAAAATAAGGTTATCGGCATCCCGCTGAATTAATGCGTTTGCCTCTTCCATGTCTTCGGAACGTCAATTTTTCAGGAACAGAGATGTCTGTTTTCCTCTCTGAAAACAAACAGCAAGTTGCACGTGGAAAATGTTGGTTCCTGCACGATTTCGCGCAGATTACCGTGGTATACCTTGAAAAACAACAAATGAATTAGTCGATGTCCATAAAGTCTCGGAAAGTTGAAAACGATTTTTTGTTTAAAAAAAGAATTTTTTGAATCAGGTCCCTGGCAGGTCGGACAATCCGAGTCAAAAAATATACTTGAAAATGCAGTGCGAGAACGAATGTATCACAATGCACCATAGTAGAGTTACATAAACGCCATTCGGAACTTGGCGAGCTAGGTACCTGCTACTTGAATTCTGAGACAAAATATTGATAAATTGAGACATTCTGTATAGGAGTCAGCTAGGCGGCGTCCGGCGTTAGCTGAAATAGCTCGCATCAGGCGTAATGTTTGGGTGGATTAGAAATGGGCCCTCCTGTATTGACGGAGTTCGGCGTATGTTACGTTTGGACGGCGGGGCTAATATCAGATACGAGGATATATTTGGCGATTGAAAGCTGCACGCCGCAATGCCCGATGACGAACATGAGCTTGGCTTCGGGTGTAGAAAAGAGCTTTTCGACGGCGTTTAGGTAGAACTTTGTCGTCTGACGTATAAGCTCGCTCCGCAGTTTTTGGAGCTAATTGGACTTAGCTAGTTAACACTAGATATATGGTCTGCATAGTGCATGGCCCCGGTCCTTAGCCCAGAAGGCACCGGATCGTGTGATGGCCGTCGCTTAGTCTGTCTCATTCGCATTCGCGCCCCTCATCCCCCATGGCCATACGTCGCAGTTGGACTCCGATCTCAGTTAGTCTTGCAATGGGTCCAAATGCGCTGCTTGAATTGGAGCATAAGCAAATGCAGCCTCGCTTAAATTGCTGCTAATTACTGCGCGAAACGGCCCCCCCAGCGACCCGATTGAGTGGCTGGCCAGTACTATATTCGCATGTTGCAGCCATCACCCTTCCCGGTTAATATTCGATAGGTCGTGATGGCGCCATGCAGAAATGGAGGGATTGCTGTGTGTTACCATCAATTTCCAACTCAGGCTTGCTTAATGCTTCCCTTTGCATGTAAGCTTATACAAGGTAGTATCGTTGCTTCTTTAGCGGATGCCATGCAGTCGACCATCCTAATTTGAATCTCTCTCATCTTCCTTGCTAGCGTATTCGGATTATTTTGCTACAAGCATATACAGTATGAATGATCATCTCTCTTCAATACTTAAGAAGGCTATGGTTCCACAAAAGTAATGATCTCATTTCTAGCGGACCAGCCTGCCAACGTGCTCCGTCGAGTTCTATAGCTCCTAATACCACCTGCCGAGCTGCACGACTATAGCCAAAACTGCCCACTTGCCTGAGTAAACTTAAGGGGAGTAAATCACACGCGACAGTTTCAGCTTCAACATATATAAACTCGGGGGGATATCAGTAATCTAGAGAGCTTCCACGCTACCCGGAAAAACCTATAAATTAGTTAACTTCCAAGGAGTCTAGAAAGTGGGCGAACTGTTATAGCCAACTAAGCCCCAGGTGGTCAGTAATACTCGAAAAAGGACTTTTTCTCGCTAAGTCTTCCCAATTCCCGCAGGGAAATCGACCGAAAGACCTAGAAGGGGACAGCTAGCAGAGTACCGACTGGAAATTTGAGACGCAGTCTAGTCGCAGTTGTGGCTTTCCATCATCCACAATCTTATTCAGCCTTAACGAACTGGATCTGAAAAAAGAGCAAAAGGGACAGCAGAGTTCGCTCGAACATCTTCCCTTACGTGCCTGGGCTACTAGGGCAAAGTCAGCCGCCGGCTTGATTTAAAAGGCGAAACTACTCCCACCAAGGACACAAACCCGTTTCTCTGGAATTCCTATTAGACGTTTCTTTCCGACTTGGCCTCCGAAGTTTGACAGAGTACTTGCCGACGGGACGCAACATAGTCGATAACTGGTTTGTGGTAGAAAACATAATTTCGAATCGGAACGCCGCACGATAAGCACGACTGAGCCAGCCGGAGTGTCCGATCGGGTCAGATTATTACATCGATTCTATAATTCCTAATTCTCGGGGCCGGATATCGATAGTTAGATATGCCTACAAATCCCACAGCCGATCTGTCCATGAAAATCTAGTCCACCACCGAAAAAAACTGTGGACCTGCCACCGAAATACCCTTTCCCCAGCTTCACACTTCTAGCCCGTTACTATTTTTTCAGCCCCAGCTGCAGCTTTGGCCGTTTGGAAATCACGCCAGCTGGGTTCCGGGTTGAGTTGCCAAGCCCTTAACGGAAACCGTCACACACGCTCAAACACTGTCCAGCTGCCGTCCCAAAAACCAGGCTAACGAGCAAACCGGAAGGGTCCAGTTTGCTGGGAAGTTCCCCTCAGAAAAATCGCGCTTCGGAACCAAACCCGCGAAAAGTAGCGAGGGTCAAGCAAAAAATAGAAACTGCACTCGAATAGCCCTCTGATCATTACCATATTCGATATCCCGGTTCCGTGTTTGCTTTGAATTTCGAGGTGTTCGACTGAGATATTAATGCGACTTCTGCGAATCGCTCGTGCGAGATTAAAATTTTGAACCACGATATTTTAATATATACCTTTACTGCGGAAAAAAGAAAAGAAAGGTGAAACCCTGCGGATAGAATTTATAAGTATTATCAGAATGACGAGAGGCGTCGAAGACAAGAATATCTGCTTCCATTGCAGGAAGGATAAGAAAAAGGTATGCACAATGTTCTAGATCTTTGTGGATCTCGTTCTAGCCGCGAGCAAGGATATCCCTCCTGCTTGCCTGCCAAGGAACTCAATATCAAAAATCCAATAAGCGTGCTGCATGGAACACTAGAATATGCAAATGGAAGCTGATGGTCTGCTTTTTAATGATTTAGTGTGTTCGAAAAATAGAGGACGAGACAAGTTGTGAGCGATGCCAGCATTACAAATACGACTGTGTACCTGCAGATAGCTATGGCGGTATCCCGCAGCCGGTATTTAAAAAACAGCCACGATGTACACAGTGTAGGAAAGATCATAAAGTTGTACGTTTGAATATTCTCTTTTTGTGTGTGTATGGAGCGTGGTTTCTAACATGTGTTTTATTAGTGTCTGCCTTATGAGAGACAGCCAGGCCAGTCATGCAATAGGTGTTCGGAGAAAGGGCTACCCTGTATCGCTGCTGCTCCGAACTCTGGCAGATCATCACGGCCAGAGACTCCGAATAATAGAATGAGCTTCGAGTACCCTAATCCTTACCAGTCATCATCTTCATCAATGTCCGACAACCCTTACCATCCGCATAGGGGACATCCGGAACACGGCCTACAACGAAGAGCAAGTTTGCACACTTACTCGCCACACTCACAATACTACTCACCAGTATCGTCTCCACTAACACCCATGGGGCCGTATTATACAGCAGAGCCATCACGGCGAGGGGACATGTCACAAGCATCAAGGACATATAGGCCGCTTGCTCCGGCTCCTCATCCGTCTTCCTCTTACTCCCCCGGGACAATTCCTCCATATTCGTCGTCAGCCGCAATGTACCCACCCCATTTCAACCAGGTAACCACACCTGTATCCCCAACACCATCATACATGTCGCTAGCAATGTCAAGCCCGCCGGCTTCGCCACATACTTCTAGAGCGGTTCCAGCTGGTGATCGGATCGCAGAAATTATGTCGATCAACAACTTATTAGGAGAAGGAGAGAGGCAGCGGCCGTCATCTAATTAAGGCCGAGACGAAACTACAAGAACATTTTGTTTGGGTTTTTGGCTTGCCAATGGGGCTTTGGTTGAGTTTTGTTCAGCGACCAGTTTAAAATATTCGCTTCCTGAGTTTGGGAGAAGCGAATAAATGAAGGATTCTAGAATCCTCCTTATGGCATGTATATGATGTTTATGTCTAACCTTCCTATGAGCTTGATTCGATTCTGCGTGCATGTTCGACTGGTTACTTTTCATGTAGCCGGATACTGGAGTTAGCTTTGGGGTATATCATTTCTTTGTTTTCTCCTTTATTTTCCTTACACTTCATTATACATATGATTATTTTGCATGCCCCTTTCCGATTCGATTCCCTTCCACCTTTTGTGCTTGCTACTCTCCTTTGTTGCTTTATACCTTCTTAATCCGCCTTTTCGTTTTATTGTATATATAAGCATACTAGTGCAATGATGAGGGAATAATGCCCTGCCGAAACCTTTACTCCAAGTATGGTTGGAGTGTAAACGAATCCGAACGTATAATTTTAACAGTGTTCAGACAGTCTTTCGCGTTCAGTCCTGGTGCCAACGAGACTAGTTTAATCTAGTTTGGTTCGACAACTTTCAGTCTCGCTGTTAGCTATAGCCAACACAACGACACCGGCACATTGGAAACAGGCGTTTAGCCGGTCAAATTTTGAGGATTGTGCTCTATACCTGGTACCAACGAGACTACTCTATACTACTATACTTTACTTTTCTTCTAGGGGGGCGGGGCTGAGATCATGAGAGAGAACTTGCAGACTTGGCCCGGAGCTGGCTTGCAGCCAATCTCTTCCCCAATTAGGGCGGGGGTTTTAGCGTTACACGACAACTTTATATGTGTGTAACTCCTTCCGCATGTTATCGCAGTGGCACAAAAAAAAAATGCAACGTCTGCCGACGCAGTAACAGTCTAATTTATGCAATGCTAGCATTGTGACTGGTACTAGGTGTAATGTAGTGAACACTTAATTTCACTAATCAAAGGTAAAATTTCTTTCTCCGCGATACTAGTTTAGTGGTATATTTGGGGATATTGCTAAGATACACGGGCGCTAAGTCATGGGCTCCTCCAGACCCCCTTTTGGTATCATGATATCGATATTGAGGTGCGAGAGCACAGAACATAATTAGGCTAGAATTTGCCTAAATTAGCCCATTCTCTCTTGCCGCTTCGTCCAGCTTCGCCCTCGCATTAGCGACAACTACACCAACGAACGCGGGTGAGAACTCGCCGGATGGCAGCTTGATATCAATTGGCTTCCCGCCTGGTCCTTTTGGCGGGCCTGCCACCACATTTCTTTCGACCCACAAGGGAATCTGGCTACCCGTGAGTTTTCCACCAGCTGTCAAATCGATTGAGTTTTTCATATCCTCAAATTCCTCTGCTGAAAAGCCACCCCCCGCAACCAATAGTTTTGGAAGCCTTTGGGCATCCGCTGGACGGTCTAAGTTGGAACCAAGACCGGAAGAGGGTATAACGTGTTCGCCGCGAAGGATACGAGGGAGGTCTTCTTTCACAGACTCAACGGAAAGGGAGAGATGAATAACTAGCAGTAAGGTTTTAGGATAAGTGTATTAATCAATTTTGCATGAAGTTATTGGATTGACGAACCATCATACTCGGGAAGGAGACCTTCTTTGACAGCCTTTCCCACTTCGGCTGACCCACCAGCAGTGAAAACTGGGATTGATGTGTCCTGGATTGCCATTTTGGAATAAACCCGATTTTGATATCGAAAGTTACTCTGAAGTATTGAAATTCTTGATATTGATCTTGCTTTTGAGGTGAGCTGGCGTTGTATCATTGTGAATTCGTGACATTGGATGCCTTTAAATAAAATATTACGGTCATATTATTCTGACTATAAACATGTCTTGGTAAATGTCATGAATATGCATAACTAGCACTAAGTGTCTATCGAGGTTCGCACCTCCAAGCTCCGCAAAATGGATTGGCTTCAACCCTAGTCCGGACCAGCTAGAGCATACGATTTATGTCGGTAATGTCGGCGCGTTCCGGCCCCGGTATCTGTGAGCTTAGGGTTTGCTGACAAATATCCGCCTCTGGTCTCGTACCGATATCAGTTCAATTCACCCCCAAAAAACCATGCTTCACGTTATGGTCGCCTTGGCTTCACGAAAAACCTATACAAAGACTCAAGTATGTATCATGAAGCGATTTGATTTCATAATCAGTTGGGTTCTAATACGGCTAGAATCTGCAACTCAAAGATTCCTAGTTGCTTAGTTGGCCACGTTGTGTTGGACATCGGCCAGTCGGAGCTTTCCCAATGACCTCACGAGCTCACGCTTGTTTCCAATGTCAGCCAAATGCAGCATTCAAACCCACTCACCCTGCGCGTGATATCGCGAACACCACGATTGCAAAAATCTGCACGGCCGATGGTTTTATCCCCCACCGAATTGTTATGAGATGGATGAAGAAAAAGTCATCGTGTTTATTCATCCCGATCTCGGGATTGGAGGAGCAGAGCGCCTAGTGGTGGACGCGGCAGTCGGACTTCAGAACCTTGGACACACTGTACAGATATGGACCTCGCATTGTGATCCCGCACATTGCTTCGATGAATGTCGCGATGGTGTGTAATCACCTTTCCCCACGAAACGGAAGGTCTTTCCACCGAAGCGCCAAAATTAATTGTCACGTCACCCATAGGTACTCTCAAAGTTGTCGTCCGAGGGAATCGTTTCCCAACTTCAATACTTGGTCGCTTCTCCATTCTTTGCGCTATCGTCCGACAGCTCGATTTGATTACGTACTTCCTCCTTGAAGATCCTGATCGGGCATCGGCGACAGACTTATTTTTCGTCGACCAACTATCGGTCTGTGTTCCGATTCTCCGATACTTCCTCCAAGGATCTAGGACGCTATTCTATTGCCACTTCCCAGATAAGCTCCTTGCATCGAGGAAATCGATTATCAAATCATTATACCGGATTCCATTTGATTGGATTGAAGGATACACAACCGGATTAGCCGATGGAATTGTGGTTAACAGTAAATTCACTGCTGGTGTGTTTAAGGAAGCCTTTCCGAGAATTAATGTTGTACCAAGGGTGGTATACCCTTGTGTCGATGTCAACGAGGACGAAAGGAGTCACACGAAACTTGAAGGAGAAAAGTACCCATTTCTAAAAGGCGGTGACCGGAAGATTGTCCTATCAATCAACCGGTTTGAGAGGAAAAAGAATATTGGATTAGTCGTGAGTGCATTCGCAGGGCTTACTGGAGAGCAAAGGAAAAAGGCGAGGTTGATTGTTGCAGGTATGAGCCCCCCTCTCTATCTTGTCTGTAGAAAACTATACATCTACTTTGAGGATACTAAAATTTCTTCTAGGTGGATACGACAATAGGGTTGCGGAAAACGTAGATTACCATAGCGAGCTTGAAAAGCTTTGTGACTCGTTAGATTTACGACACGCAACATGTAGAAACTATATTTCGTCCTTAACGATCCCGTCAGATATCGATGTCCTCTTTCTACCATCGGTGCCATCCTCGCTGAAAAGCTTTTTGCTGCGGACTGCGAGTATCCTCGCCTACACACCAGAAAATGAACATTTTGGAATAGTGCCTTTGGAGGCGATGCTTGCTGGGGTATGTCGCCCCCAAACTATCATATTGATTCGTTGCTAATTGAAATCACCCCAGACACCGGTTTTGGCCACAAATACGGGTGGGCCGCTCGAAACAGTCCTAGATGGTGGCGTAACAGGCTGGCTTCGCCCTCCAGAACCGACCGAATGGACTCGGATTCTCAATGAAGCTCTTTTCAAAATTACCGACGAGGAACGTACCGCACTGGGTGAACGAGCGAAGTCGAGGGTCAAGGAAAATTTTAGTAAGGAAAGCATGGCGGCAGCACTACAAACAGAGTTCGAGATCTTGGATAAAACTAGGAGGAAACTCATTGGGTTCCATGATGTTATGATGCCTGTAATTGTAAGCACTGTAGTCGTTGCTGGATTGCTAGTAGGAGTTGGCAGGACGGATTGGGCGTATGTCTGTGGGTTTATGGGTGGGGGCGTGTATGCGACCTTTGGGTTACTAACGATGTTAGCTAAGGATATGAATCCACGGATAGGATAGGATGGGCGTTAACGCTTTGAGTTCCTAAAATCGTATATTTTCAATTTACAGTTAGTTTGGGATATTGATAGCAAGTTATTCGATGGGACAACGGGATATTCCGAGATTTAGAGATTATTTAGGGTCTCGATCCTACATAAGGGTCAGCCACCAGTGAAAAACAATTAAACTGGCGTGATACTGATGATCAATAGCAACCCCGTGGGCCTTGGCAGAATATATCCGGCTAGTATATACCTAGTTTCTCATAGCCAAAATAAAGCCACTGGGGCGTCTAGGCCCATAAATCTAATTCGAGTATTGTAATTAGTCCCTCAGCATACGGATTGAAGCCGCCGACGAGTTAGATGATGTGGTATTTGTTCATACTACAGCGCCATTACTCGCGTACCCGCTAGACTGTGCATGTGCATTGATACGTAGTCCTAATACGGTAGCTGGAGCAAGTCTAGTAGTCCGCCTCTTCCGTCAGGCTACTGTAAATTTATATCTGCAAGGAGTAACGCCATCAGGAGGAGTCTACATATATATCATGCAACTTGTTAATTCAGATCCGCAGGATACCTAAGATGCATGAAGGATCAAGCCTATCTTTGAGACAAAGGTTCCCATGATCTTCAGGCTTTTGACTAAAAGTGCACTGTGTCAGATATGTACTGTCGCGTCGGTTTATATATATTTTTTCTTATTAACATGCGAGTTAGTATACATATTGCTCTCCGACCGTGTAAGCTGAGTTTTATACAACTTAAATATCTGAAAGTCGGCTGTATAACAGAAATCGTGGCATCTAACTGAATGTAGTAAAAGGCCTAGGCCCTTTCATTAAGTCCAATATTAATTCCTCCGTAAGGCCATGCAGCAAGCAATTATTGCATAGTAACTACGAGAAGAGCTCTTGATAATATTCGTAGACACATATACAGTAGCCGCAGCCGCATCTCCGTGGCATCGATATGTCGGGCCGGGGATCGGAGCTCAATGGAATCTAGTCATTGCCTTTAACGGTACAGCGTAAGAGGGACTTTAGTCTTGGCAATATACATCTCTATCCAGTTAGCCTTCTAATATAATCGATGTGATCCAGAACGGTGGGTCGGTCGATTAATATCACGATAGATTGACTTTGCCTGGACGTCAGGACCAGTTGGCCCTCGTAATAATACCTGCATACTTTCCTATCCTTACCCTGGCTCTCCGGATCGGACGAACCTATTAGCTAAATCGCAGCTACACATGCAATGCGAGCTCGCAGAAGCTAAGTAGTAAAAGCAATATTATAGTAAAGTCAGAAGATATCTCAAATGGCCTCATTAGAAAAAAAGGGAAACTACTCATATAAGCCCGTATTTCAGGAGAACAACGAAGTGTGACTAAAAAGGTTAATCATAAAAACGGGGATAGCCTATGACAAGAAAGAGAAGCCTCGGTTTTTCTTAACTTTAGTCGAGGTTTCATTAATGCATAGCCTGGGCGTGTGCGAGCGCGTGACTGATGAAATGGATGCTACCGCTTAGTGATATTTTCGTAATCGGACTAATGCTATCGTCATGAACTATATGGTATGATTCTGCTGAAGATCTGAAGAGCCGCCAAGCGCATCTGATCCATGGCTAGTTTCGTATCAAACTGACAAACGAGTGAGATAATTCGTCAAAGACCATGATCGATATCTGAGAGACCGAAGATCAATCCTTCAAGAGGACTTCGCTGTCGTCAGGCTCCACGGATGCAATCCAAAGGCACCGTGCGCCACTTGCAAGCAGATCAAAGGGCCCTCCCGTTTACCCCATTGGACCAAATGTTTCGAGAGTCTAGAAGTTTATCCTAGAGAACCCCGCCTCAACTATAACATACTTCCACATGATAAGGAAGCACAATGGAAATCCCCTTGCATGCAAGGATGGGGGAAAGCCTAAAGCTTGTTTCGTCGAAATAGCCCAATCAACAGCCCAGCCCGGTTACCCATGCAGCCAAACCCGGCCATAGACCAGGGACCAGGGGTATGTCAAGTATTCTGCTTGGCATTTCAGGCAGAGCATCACGCAAACCCGTTTTTTATCCCAAATCCAGAAACTGCCAACGTCTTCGAACTGGGAATCGCTGTCAGATCTTATATCTTTGCGGTAGGTACGATATCCATATATTAAACCTTGCAAATGGAACGGGAGAGCGGCAAACGAGGTGTGATTGCCAGCTCCCTTTAGCCTTTGTTGATAGTAGAATTCGGAGTGGATGTGGTGGAAGCATGGACGTTCGACCTTTTTGGGCTTCCATCCGATCATAATAAGACAGGCACAACACAATATCTTAAGACGTCTTAAGACTTGCCACGCACTTGCCATCAATGACCACTTTCCTAATCCACGTTGGACTCCACGGTATCTTATCCATGGTGGCCTAGATGGCTTCACCGTGCCGCCCTTAAGTCTTTCAGCCATGATATCTTTTACATAACTAATACCGGAACTGAACAGATAAGGTGAATGATCTCGTTACGCCAATCAATTGGCTTGCATCTTGGATAGTTCTCAACGCTCGCTTGATGGCAAATTGAACCATGGCCAACCCATATGTCTTGATTACTGCATTGTCACATCGCAGGGCAGGCATACCGCTGGAAGGAGATAACCGATGTCCCTTTCGCAATCCAGAATCGAGGGCTAAGAAACTGCCAATTGCACGAAGTGTGCCTTCTATTTTTCTTCAAAAAAAAAAAAAGAGGTATAATTTGAAAAGGAGAAAGAAGACGCACACGGACACGAATACGATTGCATTTGCCTATCGTATCTTTTAACTTATACCGCGGCTGCCTGTTTCCCTAATGCGTATTTGCTCGTGGCTCGTGTTCAAAGACAAAGTACAGTCAGACGTATACATGAGTCTAAAAGAGTTTCTATCGAACCTTCTTTAACTTGCAATCTTGCATATTCGCTTCGACCGGGAATGTGGTTGTCAATTGAATCCCCACTAACTCTACACTAGTGTCTTTTTTTTGACCGTCGCATCCGCAGATGTCCACACACTCCCCGCACCGAATTTTAAAGACGGAAGCATGTCGTAGGTAGCTACAGCATGCAGATGACCCACATGATCAGGGATCATATCATTGACAACCCGCGGCTGGGAAATACTGAAGTAGTATCCACCATTCCAACCCCTCCTAAAAAGCACATTTGCTTCTTTTTCGTGATGTTTGACTTCTAATGAGATCGTATTTTCGTAGGCAAACGACATTTAGAGTATGGTGCTCAAACCGGATGATAGTGAATTCCGTCAATGGGTTTGCATGTTTCAGGGAGGGGTCGCGGAAAGTGGGGAAATACGGTTAAACCAAACGGTAATACTATACTACCCTACATACTGGATCCTATGATCACTTTGTTAGAGGGTTTCATGAAGTATAAAATCCCTTCGACATCACCTCCAAGACGAAATTTGTTTTCAGCAGCAACCCAGCTCCCAAACCTTAGAAGATCTCAATCTACAATCTAGCAATAATCTTCAGCAACTTCTTCGGATTTCTAGTTCAATCAATCTTCAAGGTCTTCAAACCCCAAAACAAAAAAGATCTTCTCACAATGCGGTCTTTTATCACAGCCTTGCCGTTTTTGGCTCTCCTCGTTGACGCCCGAAAATGCGGTAACGAAGTCGTTCCACCATCCGTCCAGATGGCGGCCAGATACTTCGACAGACAAGACAAGCTCGCCGATGCTCGCACCCTCCAGGCAGTCGCTGAGCGATCCTTGGTTATTGATACCTATTTCCATGTTATCTCCTCTGACAACACTCTAAAGGGTGGAAATCTTCCAGACGAACAAGTTACTGCTCAGGTAAGATACTAATACCTTGTCGCATACCCACGGATGCCAAATAAATTCGGTTTGGGGATTCGGACCTGGCTAACAAATAATCTATCTCTAGTTCAACGCTCTTAACCGTGACTTCAAAGACACCGGTATCTCCTTCGTCCTTAAGGACGTAACCCGAACCGTCAACAAGGAATGGGCTACCTTCAGCGTAGACAACGACTCCAAGGATGTCGAATACACCATGAAGAAAGCCCTCCGTCAGGGTTCTTATGCCGCCCTAAACGTTTACTACCGCCCACTCGGCGATGGTCTTCTTGGAATCTGCGTGTTCCCTGAAGACGTCACTCAAGGCGACCGCACTTTCGTCTTGGACGGCTGCCAAGTCCTCACCGGTAGCGTTCCTGGCGGCGATACCACCAACTACAATGATGGTAAAACTGCCACCCACGAAATTGGCCACTGGCTCGGTCTCTTCCACACCTTCCAAGGTGGCTGTGCCGGCGGTGACGGTGTCGACGACACCCCAGCTCAACGATCCCCAACTAACGGTTGCCCAACAACCAACCCTGATACCTGCACTGGTCCCCAATACCCTGGTGTTGATCCAATCCACAACTTCATGGACTACAGCTACGACATTTGCATGTACGAATTCAGTCTAGGCCAGACCAAGCGTGTTTTCGATTTCTGGGACCGATACCGTGCCCCACACATTGGTGGCCCAGAGCCAACCGTTACCAGGTCTTCCACCACCACTACCACCACTACAACCACCACCACTACCACTCCAGTTATCACTACCACCCCAGTTATCACCACCACCTCCACCACTACCAAGTCTACTACCACCAAGGCCACCACCACCAAGACCACCACCACTAAGAGCCCAACTCCAACCCCATCCCCATCCATCCCAGATTGGTGGTGCGACCTTTTCGGCATCTGCCGCAGCGCTTAAAGCATTCATCATTTCGATCTTCCAAGATCATATACACCCCGCATGCGCGCAATATATACCCAAATTCCCTTTTTGTTTTTAACGAAACCTAGTTGATACATATTTATATCCATGACCAAACCATACCCAGATACCCAGCAATACCATGTTTTTTTTCTTTGAAGCTCTGCTTTTTCATCTTCATGTTTTTAAAGTCACGAAGGACGTTGATACCCCTAGTTTTTTCTTGTCAGCTGAGATGTCTTTTTATTCTCTATATTTTTATCATCATCTTCTTCTTCTTCTTACATTCAGTTACATATACTTATTTTACTTCACTTCTGTACAAAGACACTTGTATACCTAAATGTATATACATAAGCCCCGATGCGAGGCATCTGGCGTCTGTACAAATATATCTACATACCTTTTCGAAATCTCCAGGATCGTGAATATCAAGCTATAGCCTAATTAGGAAGTTGTGTTGTTCTTGTGGTTGAATTAGACCAATCGGAATCCAAATATCAACAACACAACACAATAAAGCGGAAGAGGTTGATGCTGAGTCTGGTTGGTTATGATAAACGAGACCAATTATGATCATGATCATGAGACTGGGAAAGTTGTTTCGGTTAATAATGACCTTCGCTTGCCAGTACTGTAATATCATGATAGAATAATACAATTCACGCTATATTATCTTTAATCACATGTCATGAGATCCTTTTGGTCTCATTGTAGGGTTCAACGTAAAATTTCAAGATATCTCTATTTCTCCTTACTAATACGTATTCGATTCGACAGCACTTCATACCTCAGGCCATCGACTATCTCCGACCTCTCGACCATATAACAAGGATTTTCAGATACGAAAAAGAGGGTGAATATGTGCAGAAAGCGATAAGTGGCCTAGAATTAAACTCCGAAGGCGAAAAACTTGATCTCGTTGGAACTAGGAGCAAGCTGGCGGTGTTTGAAACTAGAAACGGAAAGAAAAGAAAAACCTGTAACAATCCCAGTGACTTGAGTATCCCTTGCAATAAAAACAAAGTCAAAAGTTCTCTTAAAGCCATTTTTGTGGAAAGAGCCCTGTAAAGATATATTATTAATGGTTAGTTGTAAAGAGTCGAATAAAGAGGTCGAGGCAGCTGGCATGTAAGTGAGTTCACTTTGGTTCCGAATCTGATTCGTCCTTGGGGTCAAAGTTGGGCTGAGCTAACTCCATCGAAGGCGTGAGACTACCAGCAGCCTGGGTGGTGTCGAGAACAGGAGCAAGAGGCGTTTGTAGCATGTACTGAAGGGAAAAGTTAGCAGTTTTTCTAGAGGGTCTATGCTATGGACGAAGCTCACCTTGATGTATTGCATCTGCTGCTCTTGAGTACTCGAAGCTCTAAGTGTAGAGTTAGTGTCGTTATTTTTGAAATTGAGAATAGTATATCATACCCTCCTAATCCCTTTGGCTTTTCAACTGATTCCTTATTTGGATCTTGAATAGTATATCCGTAAATACCTCCCCATTTGTTCGTAATTTCAGCTTTTTTCTCAGCTAACTTCTCCTTTGCCTGTCGGACTAACTCGACCATTTCATCAGGGGCACCATGCCCAATCCCGGCAGCGACTTCTTCAACCTCAGTGCGGGCGATTTGAATTTCTGCATAACTTTTGGATAGCTCGTGCAGAGTCCCAGCCTGTTTAGTCGTGGCCAACGCAATGTCGTTCCTAACGATTGGAGTTGGTGGACCTGGATGGGCACTAGGGTTAGGGCCCGGTAAAGATATCATTGAATTTTCCTTCAAAAGGGGTCGATCGGTGCTGGCTATAAACAGAATCAAGAGATACATGTTAGGTTGGCAGTTCATGAGAACGCGAATTGAAAAGAGACAGAAGAATCGCAAGGGTTACAAAGTTTTGCAAAACTAGCTAGTACACGAGACCGAACGTACCCGAGACAAATCCACCTCTGTAGTTCCCACGAGAGCTGCCACCGCGGTATCCAACACCACCCCGTCCACCACGGCTTCCACGGCCGCGATAATTATTGTTTGGATATGGGTGATTGCCGTGATTAGTGTTGTAGCCACGTTCGAGAGCTGCTTGAACTGTACAATAAGTCAACACAACCATTGGATGCATTGTGAGCGAAAAATGCAACACAGAATCTAAAAAATTATATGTTGAGGCACACTCACTTTCAGCTTCTTGGTTCTCCTTGATTAAGCCTTCTTTGACACAGGCATCATAAGGCTTTGGACGATAAGCATTGCGATATCCGCCATGGTCTCGAAGTCCAGCGGATCCACGAACCTCGACCCAAAGTCCTTTTACGTAAAGGGTATGGTCAGGATTCTTAAAACGTTCGAGGTATCGGTATCCACAAGTAGTAAAGTACTGAAAAGCGATTAACTCAGTACGAAGGTTTAAAGTGAGAATTTGGTGGTCGACGATGTGGTTGCCAGTAGACTCATTTCCCAATCCGGGGATATGAACGAGATCGTAACTAAAAGTATTGATGTTGAATCCTGTCGTAAAAAAAACTATTAGTCTAGTACCTAGAGGAGTTTGTTGTAAAGTCAAGAAAATATCGCTTACGATCTCGGGGACAGATGATATATGGCATAATCTCGCCGAGTAGTAAAAGCTGTGAAATTGTGTAGCGGCGCCTAACCCAAGGCTGTGGTGAGAACCCGTCCTCCGTTTGTGGGAGTTTAGGCTCGAACACCTTTGGCTTTGCCTTGGGAATAACGAAGACGCTGGTAGGCTTGGATTCATCTTGCTCCGAGACAGTTTGTTTAGTATCAGGCAACCTAGTGTCCTTCAACGATAGCTTCAAGAACGGCTCAAGGGACTTCAAGTCATCGGCCGCGGTGTTGGTAGAGATCTCATCTGCCTTGGTAAGACCACTGTCGTTTTTTGGATTCTTGGCTGGTTCGTCGAGAACATGATTTAACTTGGTAGCAGCGGAGAGGAGACCATCAAGAAGGTCAGTCGCTTCCTTTGGTGTGTCTTCGAGAGGCATGTGCAAAACGTTGGCTGTGACAGCAAGTTGGTCGCCTTCGGGACCATTATCTGGCTTTAGGGTATCCTCCTTGGAGCTAGAGGTGCCCTCGGTACTGGTAATAATAGATAGCGAAGCCCGAGTAGCAACGGTCTTTTGACGAATACGCTCGGTAGCCATGGCCTTGATGCGTTTGATTGCTTCTTCGATATCAGAAGGACGACGAGATTCCATGGTATGCATCTTTGACATTGTTGCAGCAGGTGCTACTGTCTCCTGGCTTTTAGCATCTCCGGATACGTCTTTCTGTGGGGCCGACATTCTGAATTCAGAGCGAAATCCTGAGGTGATGATTTTTAAATTTAGTGAGAAGTCGATCCGGAAGCACAGAAGGATCTAGAAGATTCTCAGGATATGATTCTTTAATCAATGAAGATGAGAATCTTTGCCAATGATGTTCAGTAGATCAAAAGATCAGAAATTGAGGTGAAGAGGGGATAGTGGTGATTTTGATATGGTAGAGAAAAGAAGTTAATGAAGCTGGCGGAAGCTGAGGGATCAGGAAAAGGCGGAACTTGACTTTGGAAATTATCCTGAAGGTTTGTTCGTCCTTGGAGACAGCAAGTGGATTGGTACGTTGGATTATCTCTCTGGCTGTGTAGGTGAGATAGTTCTGAAGCTGGACTGAAGCTGAACTCTGGTGTTTGGTGATGATGAAGCTTGAAAGCAGTGGAGGAGTAGGGGAAAGAAGAAGGGGGGGGGCCAAGGAGCGGAAGAAGAAGAAGGAGAGGAAGCTAAGTTGGTTGGAATTTTTGAAGTAATTTATTGCAGTTGGAAAACAACTGAATATTGTGTCTGCACTACATTGCTCTAGTGGCTTCTATGGAGGTACTTACCCTCTACCTGGTGGGCATGTGAGTAGCGAGCGGGTACCGACTGCCTCCTTCCCCCTTTCAATCTACTAATCCGAAGCTCAAGACTATATCTACTTAGTATATTAACATTAATTTCATTCCTAGGTGCCACAAAGAGAGGCGTATCTATATCTATGACACTTTGTATTTACGAGTGACAGAAAGGATTGCCAGCTAGCTATACATTCATAGTTCAAGAATCGCCGTAGACGCCATATCCTCCAGCATCCAAAGTCAGACTACAGTTAACGTGAAATACAATTATACCAGTGGAAGAAATACAATTAATGAAAAAAACAGATTACTATCTTCTTCGGCTGGACATAGAGGCCGGGGCAAAGTCATCTGATTCATCGTCCGAGTCTTCGATCATATCACCAGCAACCTCTGCAGTTTGTGACTTACTCGTTCCCCTCGTAGCAGTCGACCTCTGTGAAAACGACAGTGTTGTTTGCTTCTTCGGTAGAGCGGCCGCTGCCTTTTTCGCTGGTGCTCGTTTCGCTGGCGCTGATTTTGCAGCCGGCTTTGTAGCTGCAGGAGCCCTGGCTTGACGGCCGCTTCTTGTAGTAGTTTTTGCTGGCATTACCTCTTCTTCATCTGTTCCAATGACAACCAAGTCGTCGTCATCAAGCATCTTGACATCATCGTCTTCGCCGTCGTCCAATAAATCAGCTGCTTCTTCCTCTTCTTCATCGCTGATAACGGATTTCTTAGTTCTCCCTCGTCCGGTAGTAACCGCCTTCTTTGCGGGTGCCTTTGCGGGTGCCTTTGCAGGTGCTTTTGCGGGTGCCTTTGCGGTAGTTCTTGTAGTGCCCTTTGCCGTTCGTGACGGCGCAGCCGCCTTCGAACCTCCCCGCCCACGTGTCGTCTTTGCGGGCGGCGGAGTAGCAGCCGTTTCTCCTTCCGCGTCGTCGTCTTGCATATCGACGTCTCCTTCATCTGAAACGAATTCGCCGTCTAGATCGCTAAACCAGTCGTCGGGCTTCTGCTTTTTGCCTCGTTGGGCAGCCCTCTGTTTTGCTTTGAAGTCGCCCTTTTCGTAAAGTTCCTCCAGTTTAGACTTTTCAATTGTCATCTATGATCGCGTGTTAGTAATTCTATTGAATAAAGGAGTACCAGGAACCTTACAGCCTCTCGAATACCGTCGGCGTCAGTAACATTATATTCAAGAACCTTTTTAAACTGTGTATCCAGCGAATCCTTCAAAAACTCTTCAACCGCATGGCTGTCACCTTTATCAATATACTGCCCTACGGCATTGCCTAGGCCATTATGTGGCAAAATATTCAAGCTCTTCGAGGTAAGATACTCCTTGACGAAGTTCTCGACCCGGATATTTTCCACTTTCCCACCATACTGTGCTAGTATGGACTCCGAATCCGCCTCTACTACCGTCCCATCTTCCCTCGTTCTACCTAATCCAAAGTCAGCCTCCCGCTAGCATAATCGCATAACTAGAGGGGAAAACGTACGTATTGGCGCCGCCTTCCTCCGATAAAACTGTACTACATCATTAATATTCGCCACCCTCCCCACGAATCGATTCGAAAACCGCTGCGGATTCTCCACTTCAAACTTCCCGTCCGTTGCTGAATATTCCACCCTCAACCGAATTAGTGGTAACGGCACATCTTCTTCCGCCACTTCCTCCCCTCCAGCCTCCAATTGGCCTTGTAACCACTCCTGCTTCGCATCCACAATCATCTGCTCCACGATTTTTGCAAGGTAATTCGTGACCTCGCTCCTATTATCCGCTTTTGTGGCGATTTTCTGCATAGCTTTGCTATCATATAAAACCACCTCTTTCATCTTGAAAGGCCTAACGCTCTTTAACCTGATCGGTTCGATTTCAAAGTCCTTCCCTGTGATACTAAGGATTCCAACATGCTTTGCAACCGATTCACCTGCGCACAAAGATGTGGCTACCGAAGAACCCGGTTGGACGACCGAAAACCCCATTTCAGGGTTCACCCGTGGTGTGATAAGACATTCATGTTCATGCCCCCAAACGACGAGGTCTAAGAACTCCTGTAGGAAGTTTTCAGGTAGATATCCAGTTTCTGTATGTGCTTGACTAAGAATGCCCGTGTCTGTCAGTCATCTGGCCGAATCTTTGTACGAAGGTGGAGGGGAAGAGATGGGAGGCTCCTTACTGGTTCTGATGCACGGCTATAAGATTAAACCACTCATCAATCTGCGCCCCAGGCCTCAAAAATTTAACTTTCCCATCTCTGAAAGTCCTAAACAACCGTTCATCGCGAACGTTGCTTAACCCGTATAATGCCAGTTTCGTAGTACCCTTTTGAAGCAATATCGGCGATACTGTTATATTATCATTTTCGGGCGTTCGTCCAAAGTAGTTCAACAACCCTGAAACCTGCAGAATATCTAGAGCGCATAAATGTCCTTCCTAGATCCAGTCCACAATTGAGCAACCAATCAACAATGAGAAGCGGAAACTGTATGGCAAAAACATACCCCAGACGGGTCATCGTGATTCCCATGAATCGAGAACACCGGAATAGCGACATTGATATCCGGATCCTCATAGTTAACGTGGTTGAAAGTCCTAAATTCCCGCGCATAGTTCATCAGCATAACTGGTCGCCAACTGGCAAGGCAGGGAGAAACTCATCATACCCCTGCAAATTCGTCGAGACGTCGCTCAGAACTTCCAATTCACATGGTTTTTCACCATAGCAGTTCATTCGCAGCGTCCTCATAACTTGGTACATACTCTTCCTGCTCGGCTTATTCTCATGAAATAAGTCACCGGCAAGGAGGACCATATCGACCTAAGGTCTACTATCAGCTTTTACTTTGTTTCCTTTCCTTTCTGTTTCGTGATGAGATGAGGGGGGAGTATCGTACATCATGGTCTTTAGCTAAGCACATGACTTCATGAAACGACTTCCACGAGTCATCACCACGGATGGGGTCTCGCTCGTTGTAGCCGACATGGTTATCGGTCGCAAGAAGAATACGAATGGTATTTGGTTCTAGTTATAAAATCAAGCTATTAGCCATATAGCACTATCAAAAACTGCGAATAGTCGCCATCAAAAGGAATTACCTGATAAACCGGGCATCTTGGAATGGTACGATATCCGGAGGGTGGCGCGAGACCGTGGATAGAAGCTAAAAGCTCAAGGACTGCGGGTGTTGACGCGAAGAGGGCAGCTTAGTGGACACGTCAGTCACGTGGTCAAGAGAGTATGATTCGCTTATCTGATTAATCAGGATATATTTATCTTATCTAATCTAATCTCTCGGCTCGCTCACTTTTCAATACAACCTCCAAAGGTTTGGCTAAAGACTCGGTTCACGACATACTAAATTCCAATATCGGCTTCAAAATGCGGGCAACCTTTCGTCTCCTGACGCGGTCGTCTTGGAAGGGTAAGTTTCAATTCCTCGTTCAAACTTTTACACCACCAACTAACTAGCCATAGGTCCATACATTGTCCCGTAAGTCCTCGATATCGATATTACCCAATGCGAGCCTAGCCGCCGTCCCAAATTGCAAACTTCCGCTGTTACAGTCATAAAATCGACATCTCTAACTTACAATTGTTGGAATATAGTCTTCCGATTCAAGCAGCCGCGGTTGGCTCACGTATTCCTCCTATCAAGACCCAAGCCCGCTCCTGCACAATCCTCCCGAACTTCGTCGGTTTAAACTTCCTCGTCCATAATGGAAAGACATATGTACCTGTCCACATCACCGAAGACATGGTAGGGTACAAACTAGGAGAATTCTCGCCGTACGTCAATATCTTCAAAATAGTGCCATATCGGATAGAATCTAGTTCGATGTGCTGACAAGTTCCCAGGACACGAAAACCACACGTTAACGGCAAAGTTATGCAACAGAAGAAGAAATAAACATTGCGACTAAGGGCGGTAGGGGGCGGAGCTATTATTGTACATTATGGATCTTAAAGGCTGTCCCGTGGGACTGTACATACTTGCATATTTCCTGGTAAAATCTCAGGTCGACGGGCGTTCAACCACGATATCACAGTGGGTATATTATATACGGATAATACCATGGCTATCTCCAGACTCTATGCCTTTTATGGTCCAAAGACAACCCAAGTAATTCGTCAGAGCTTCCGGTTTCCAGTTTAAAGGGTAACACGTTGCAATAGCCCTTGCATTCCAACCTCGGGACAATTAATGGCTAGGACAGACTATTGACAGATTCAGTACCCTGGTGCTAATTGTAAACCGACCTGACGCCTTGATGCCATTAGAAATATGCTTTAGATAACCTAAGCTGGATAAGTGCAAGGCCAAAAAATGTATCCCCGAGAAAACTATCGACTAGACACAAAGGCCTGCAGTAGGCCGCTGTCATACAACAATGTGTGCGCAAGACAGTTCTTTAATTTTAACTTCTTTCCTTCCAGCTCACTAATGCCGAAACCTCAAAATCTACTAGCCGAGAAATGTGGCTGGTAAACCGATGTTCATAGAACCAGGTACTTACATATCTAATTTACCGACATTCTAAGTGCCAATCGGCTGGGTCCTAGCGGCCGACCTGAATCTAGCGGGCCAACCACCGCCCCGCCAAATTACACCGCCAGCAAAACCTCTCAGCGATGGAACTTGTTATAACCTGATTTCCGGCTAGAGAAGAGAATCTATATGTGTCAGAAAGATGAGATTTTCGGTTCATTCGCTGTCGAGCCGAAGATGAACTGGAATAATCGGCTGTTTTTTGGTTTTTTGTTGGGAGCGAGTAAGCTGGGCTGAGGAGCCACTTGCAGATGGTTCAACTCGGTCAAAAATAAAAGACTGTCTGGGCTAATTAATATTGTTCTTTTGAAATCCATCTTCTTTCTTTTATTCATATCACCAAAGTATAGAAAAAAGACCAATTCTTTCTCTGATCAGCTTACAAATTTCCCACTGTATTCGGAATTGTATTATTGATCCTGAGTTTGCATCATTTTGGAGACTATTCAAGGCATCAAGCATAGCTTCTTTCTAGGCCAGGTGAGTCCCACCTCTTCAATGTTCAAAGGCGAGTCTTTTATCTAACCATTAACTTATTCCAGATCTCGAGTTTTCAAGTACTTGAGACTTCTTCTGAACAGCCAGTTTTTCCCCACTACGATATCTCAATAAAGATCGGACTACCTTGCAAGCTTGCAGGCCTGTCTGTTTCTGTGTTTCACGCGCCAAGATAGATATAATCGCTGTTCTGCTTCACCATCCCACTTTTCAATAGCACTTTAGAAATGGAGGATTCGGCATCTCAACGCTATCGCACCGTTGGCTACTTTGTAGACTGGGTAGGTTTCTCCCAATCAATTTGCTTTGGGTAGCTGTGTTGAGCTGGTTGGAAATTTCAAGTACTTTCAGTGCACCGATCCTACATTGATATTGAAATTGAGGGATCTGAGAGAACCATTGCTGATGTTGAGTGTATAATGAAGGCCATCTATGGACGTAACTTCAAACCACAAGACTTGAATGCCAAACAGTACACCCACATCTTGTTTGCATTTGCCAAGATCAATGGGCAAACTGGAGAAATCGGTCTTGCTGACCCTTGGGCTGATACAGACGTTAGTATTAATCCAAGCTATGATCAATTGGCATATAGGAGTCAACAAATACTTGCCTGGGGATAGATTCATTGGGATGAACCCTGGGACCAACCAGGGACCAACCTCTTCGGCATCTTTTGGCAGCTTTACAAGCTCAAACGTGCCAACCGAAAACTCAAGGTGATGTTATCCATAGGTGGATGGACTTACTCCCAGAACGGAGACCTCCCAAGCGGTGCGAGTACTCCCGAACGTCGAGATACATTTGCTCGTACAGCCGTCGAAATGGTCAGAAATTTTGGCCTTGACGGTATTGACGTCGTAAGTAACTAGGGATCCTTTCCTTTTGAGTATTAGCAGACGATAACAATGATAATTTATTTGTATATATAGGACTGGGAATACCCAAATGATGCAACTGAAGCCGCCAACTTTGTCGATCTTTTAAGACGCATTCGCCAGTACCTCGACATACTGAATCCTCGGTTCGAGATCTCAGTTGCTGTACCATGTGGTCTTGACCAGCTCCAAAAACTTGACGTTGTTGGAATGGACAAATATCTCAGCTTCTGGAATTTGATGGCCTACGACTTTTCAGGCCCGTGGTCGTCGGTTTCGGGACATGCCTCAAACGTTCATTATTCGAAAACGAACCCAGCCTCGACAGACTATTCATTCGATAAAACTCTCGACTTTTTCAAGGGTTCCGTAAAACCAGAGAAGCTGGTGATGGGAATGCCGTTATATGGCCGAGGTTTTGCGAACACAGATGGGCCGGGAAAACCGTACAATGGTGGCGGTGCCGGGCACTGGGAGGCAGGCGTCTGGGATTATAAAGATCTCCCGTTGGCAGATTCGAAAGTCAATGAGGATCCGGATGCCATCGCCGCCTGGAGCTACGATGCCGCTACAAAACTAATGGTATCGTTTGACACACCCAACGTTGCCAAGTGGAAGGCCCAGTATATCAAGGCAAAGGGGCTGGGAGGAGCGATGTGGTGGGAGACTAGTGGGGACAAAGTCGGTTCGGAGTCTCTCGTTCAGACTGTTATAGATGCCCTGGTAAGTACGAACAACTTAAAAAACATATCATTGCCTTTCATGAATTCAGAAAACAAAGAGTGAACGGGCTTTTGAAGCTGTGATTAGATGGTAGCAAAGTATAGCAGGGCAGAATAGAAAAGAAGAAGAAGACCTTTGCATGGGGGGGAATCGATGCTAACTAATATTTATTTTATTTACGGCGTAAATAGGGAGGGACGAAAGCATTGGATACACACAAGAATACGATTGCATATCCTGGATCCAAATACGACAATGTTCGCAGCGCTTGCGCTTGAATTGCTTAGGAGACGCCCGCCAATCATGATGACATGATTATTAGGATGGAATGCGGGTGAGAGCTTGAGCTGGCGTTTATGGTGTTCTGGTGATTAAATTAAACCCCTCTTTTGATTTTTCATGATCATCCTCTAGGATGCTCTCCAAACCTTTTTTTCCTCAAGCTACCATTGGTTTTCATTACTTTTGTTACAATTAATGGAAATTTGTATTATACTGGGTGGCGCTCTCTCTTAAGTCAGGACAGATGAAATTAATGAACGAAGGTTACACTCTTTGGAATTGATTGGCATAGACATATGACATATACATATCAATCTTGATATACTAAATATGTTGATAGGGTATATAGCAGATAAAATAAAAAGATGTTCCTCACCCTCAAACCGCATCTCACACGCTTTTGTTTTGTAAAATTCAAGTAGCGGTCTGCAGGCGAGATCAAAAAGCCTTAAGAAAATGGCAGATATTGCTATTTGCACATTCTATACTTTGGACTTTTCATATACTTCCTTCTATGCCAGACGTTTACCCTCGCCTACCCTGGATGAATGTTTTATGGGTAGGGAGGGTGATAAATACTGGCAGGATATCAATATAATATGAAATTAATATTGAATGGATTGGAACAATGATTTCACGCCTATGAATTCCGGTTTGCTTCACTTCCTCTACCAAAAAATAAATCCTAGGATTTAGAATTGTACACGAGAAAGTGAAGTTGAAACCGGTCTTCTAGAATATGGACGGGGGCCTTTTCTGTTTGCGGTTCATGTATCCTTCGCACGAGGAACCATTTCATCCGGTTTTAAGGGAGAAAAAAGGGAAGTTAGAATATACATAGAATGAACACGACATTGGAGAATTCCCGGGAGAAAGAAAGAGTTAACGTTGCCTGGCCAGTCATGATGATGATGATAATGATGATGATAATGATGATGCGAAAGATGGGGGAAGGACGGGTTTTCGAGGTGGTAAGAGTGCTGGTGGGAGGTTTCGGAATGGGAGATATTCGGACGAAGTTGTATAAGGAGGTCGGTTTCTGTGTCGTAATACAGCGGGTAGTAGGTGTCTGTGTGCCAGTCGTTTTTTCCTTCCTCTTCCCTTCTCCTCTTCCAGCCCAGTTTTCAACTCCCCTTTCGTTTCGAGAAAACAAAATAAGCCTTTCTGATGCTTTTCCCCCATTAAAACTTATCAAAGACACCTTATATACCGCAAAAAAAAAGAGAAAAAAAAGGAGGAAGATTCTCTTCTAGTCGAAGGAAGAAAAAAAAGAGGCATGGATCCCATCGCCGTTCATTAACCTATAGTGGCAGAGAAAAAAAAAAGGAAGAATCGGGCAGCAAAGTAACGTAAGAAATAACAGACGACATCAGACGCATCCTTTACTCCTCAGCCTTTCCCTTTCCTTTGCTAGCCTTGCCCTTTCTTTCTAGGATGGCTTCACGGTCCTTGTCGAGCTTTGGCTTGGTGATGACAACCTTCGATGGGTGGATACCGACTGGTACGGACTGTCCGTTGACCTTCTCGCGGGATACTCTCTCGATGTGGATAACATATTTAAGACGGTAGACAGAGGTGACCTTGCCCTCACGGCCCTTATAAGTACCACGGGTGATGATGACCTCGTCATCCTTGCGGATTGGAAGAGCGTTGACCTGTTACTCGAGACGTTAATACCATCATCTTCGCTTGTGGTGTGTTTGTAGGAAATCTTGTCGTACGTTGTACTTCTCCTTCAATTCCTTGGAAAGAGGAGCGGACATGATAGTCCGTCTGACAGAGGAAGGAGCATCGAAGTGAGCCTTTCTCGACTTTCTTCGCGAGTGGTGGATGGCTGTTTATTTTCACAAAGATCCCATCGTTAGTCTTCCGGCTCTCTTGAATTTTTCCAAAAGCATATATGTCCTCTTAGAGATCTTTAATCAACGATATCCACAAGGGTATCGAGATATATCCCTCCTTCAGAATACGAACAACTTCGGGATGTAGAAGTACTCGACGAACCTGTGCTGACGGAAACCATTGTGTCTGATTAATAGGTCGTAAAGGGAGGAGGGGTTTGGTCGGTGATGTCGGTGGTGGTTGGTCGAAGGTTTCGGGATGTCGTGATGGCAGGTATAATTCAAGGATACAAAGATCGAATTCAATTTTTTTCAGAGCTACAGAAGGCGAGAAGGTTTGTTTGTGTGGGATTGGTCACGTGGGAGGTCTTGGCGGACATCTCTGTGTTGATGTTGCCCTATCTTTCGCTTAGCTAGATTAGGAAATAAATGACAGGCAAACGTGTTTGCCTTTCTGATATCCAACATTCCAACACTTCAACGCATCAACACTTCAACGCATCAACCCTCTCATCAAAGACCTGATCTATGGTAGGCTGGCTGATAACAAAGAACTCGCTGGGCTGGCCTTTACGAGACCAGTACTGGCTCCAATATAAAACAAAAAGAAAAAAGTAGGGACAGCGTTAAGAGGCCTGTATGAGGGTACAATATTTCAACTGCCGCCAAGCAGAATTCTCTAATTACATGATTGGTCAGGCTGCGGTGGCTAATGGAGCCACAGTAGGATCCTAGGAAGGGGCTCCAGCCTTCACTGCCACGTGACTGTTAATCGTAATCGTTTTATGTGGCAGTGTGCATTCGTTTGAGCTGGCAATGATCATCCATTGTTAACACGACTAGGACAATTCCAGCAATCGTTGCTGATTTAAGGAACTAGAAATTTCACAACCTGGTTTCGTAACGTCAAAGCTGCATCCTCGCTTGAAACTAGCCGCCCTGGTCATGAACGTCGCCATGCAAAAACCACGCTACGACGCCAACAATTTACAAAACTATATTATATGATAGAATTGATATATATCGATCGATATTACCCTCTACCTCGAATTTAATTCCAGCTTCTCGCGGGTCTATTTCTTTTGCGCTCATGTTGTTTATCCACGTAAAGTTGTTAGTGTAACATACAGCAAAGGAGGAGGCCAAAAGAACACATGACGCTCTCACGATATATGATGCAAGGTGCACCTTCTCGACATCTCAACTCCCTGGCATCATGCATCAAGATTTAGATCTGAAAAAGCTTGACTGGACCTCGAATGTTACGTTACAGTCGCCGGTTATCTTCTCGCTTAAGAAAGTCGTATGTAAAGTTCTGGGCCTCGGCCAGCTCCGGTTTACGAGAAAAAGTCTAGAGCATTGCTTGAAAGCATAAACCTGTGCTAAGGGTACGATTTCAGCCCATATAACTCTTGGGTTTTTATAGATTTTTAATATAGAATTTATGTAATGTAGACCTAGCCGCCGACAAATTTCAGCGACACATAAATACACATTAACACAGAAGTTCGGGTTACCCTGGACCTGGCCACCCTGGGTGAGGCTAGGAACGAGACCAGGTTGCCCTCGATAACCCTACAGGACTGGTTACAAGACTGGAATCAATAATGTATGCGTTCGAAATATAATAGAGAGGATATATACATGGTCTCGTACCCAGACCGCACAAAGAGTGACCGAACTTTGTTTGGGATATACACTGAGACAATGTATATACAGGAGTACTAGTGAGGGTTGTGAGCAGAAAGAGTGACCGCGCTCACGATTCCATGCCATCAAATGTGTACCCAGCTTGTAAGGAGTACGGCTGATCGACGATAGGCTTGAAATTGAACGACAGCAAAGCCGTCTAGGCTCGCTTGAACCTTAGCTTGTAGTATTTGATATCCTTCTTTTTAGAGCCTTCTTCGTTGTCTTCTTCAGGTTCTTCAGGTTCTTCTTTACCGGGTTTTCCACCGGCCTTTGCAGTAGTTTTTGCAGCGGGTTTCGCAGCGGGTTTCGCAGCGGGTTTTTTACCGGGTTTTCCACCGATGTTTATGGTTTTGTGAATGATTATAACCTTCGGTCCTCTCTGAGTTGGCATCTGTTGACCTTCGATGATAGCTACAGTTTTCGTTTTCTGATTGTTCTGCTGTCCGGCCTCCTTTATAGTCACCGTTTCGACTATATCAGAGGGTTGAGATTCCTTTGCAGCTACAGTTTGGGTTTGAGGGGGATTGGATTTAGTCGCATAGGGGCCATCCATTTGCCGAAAGGCGATACAGTCACCAAATGGGCCGTTCTTGGCATTGTTGAAACATTTCATAATGCAGATACCTCGGACATCGCCGTTAGTTCCTGTACAAGTAAACTTCCTAGGCAGGTCGACAATGACTTGCGACCCTTGCAGGTCCCCCGATTTCAAAATCGACCACTCATCTCCAGAATTAGGTTGTTTAGAAATATATAGTTCGCTTCCCCATGTCATACTATCGCCCGCCTCATTCAGATAGCATTTAAGTTTGCCAGCACCATCTTCGTTGATTTGGAAATGTGTAAAATGAATGCTGTCACCCTAAATAGCTTGGGGGAGTGAATTGTTTCCGACTAAGTAACGGATTTCACGGTAAACGGGTATAAACGGGCCGACATAGTCAGGGTTGTTGATTCTATGCTTGCTATCATGCCAGGGATATTTATACTTGTAGAACAGCTCGGTCTTCCGATGGCTGTTTGAAGCTATAGGGTCGTAAACGCGAAATTGATAATTCTTCTCCGCTCTATCAATCGAGAGTATGTTTATGCCACATGTACAACCTTGCGATTGGTATTCTCTCCATCCCCATGGAACTGCCGGGCTGTGGAAGACAGCTACATCTCCTTGTGAGCGTACTATATTGTAGCTGTCGCCACGTTGATGCTTAAGACTATGGTCGTAACCATGAGCCCACCCCTTGATTTCCTTGTTCAATTGCGGTCTCCAAAGGTATCGTAGATAACAAGACGAGCCAAAATAGACGGGACAAAACCCAAGGCTGTGAGGAAGACGGGGAGATGCATTTGAAATGAGAGTAGGTTTTCCCGAAGGAGGACAATCAAACGAGAGAAAAGTAGAGGTTGAAGGAGAGTTTTGGAGTTGGAGAAACTTGCTTGATGAAGGATATAAATTGAAGGGAAAACGCATCGTCTTAAATAATAATGGGCCAGCCAGCTGAAGATAGTGTCGCTGTCGTATACTTCTGAGAATGATACCACAAATCGCTAGTATTACCCCTAGAATGGCGTTTGAATTCATGAATACTGGCGAAGTCAGATCTTTTTTATCGCCAAGCGAACGGTCGAGTGGATTATTAAAAGGCTTTCGCGTAGACTATCGCAATAACCTCCTCTCTACAGGCAGGTAGAGTCTGTACCGCTTAATTAACACGTACAGTACTGCAGTACGTTCCGAAAGTTCCTCGATAGGGCAAGCTACGCCGAACTGAAATCTAGAATACGATAGAGTCTCCGGTTATGATGTCTTTATGTTGACGATTTTAGGTAGGTCGAATTTCGCACTTTATCAAGGCCGCGAGATACATCTATAAGATTATAGGCAGGATACCTTATTCCCCTATCAGCGCCTCGATTCGATTCGAACCTGATTCTCGGTAAGGATGATAAGAGGTGCGTTAGTCTGGGGGTCACTCACCTGCGAGGTGCGTGCATATACGTCTGGCCTATTCGCATAGTCGCACTAACTTTGTTGTCCCGAGATTGCGGATACCATTCATGCGACAAACATTGAAGCAATAGGTGATCATATGAGGTAGTACAAGAAGGCTGGCGTGTCGGTAGACGTTGGAATTTTAGCCATTGCATCCGGACCCCTGGCGGAAAACATTTCCGCCTCGACTGAGCTATGTGCCGGGGTTTCCTCGGATACCGATTACATATGGACGTACATCATTGTGAACAACTAGGCTGATTTTATATATAATTATAACTTTATCTTATAAAACTGGCTGCTGGGCTTTTGAGCCTTATCTCGTAAACTAAATGCTGCTGCGTTTACATAATTATATCCTCTTCAATACTCTCCCTCATTCAATGCCGTTGGAGAATGACTCCTAATGTCCTTCTCCCACCCGGATTTTAAAGCAATTTTTCCGAAGCAAAGCAAAAAAATTTGCAAAAGGCTAAGATTTCTCACTCATGAGGATGAACATACCGATCCGGTCTCGTCCCGTCTTAAGCTTAATTAAGATGCCTAACCGGAATGGCCAAGAGCTTATAACTTGCTGAGATCTTAATTCGATACTTGCATTGACGAGCTCTTTCCCACTAAAGACCCTGCCTCGCCCCATCTTAATTAAGATGTTTAACCGGAATAGCCAAGATCTTATCACCTGCTGAGATCTTAATTCGATACTTGACGAGCTCTTTCCCACTAAAGATCCTGTGTCCGGCTATGCCTGACTACTAAATTTAGCAGAAGGGACTTGATAAGAAAGAAATGCAGCCCGACTGCTTTAGCAGAAGGGACTGAGAGAACCCATATAGATGCATTGGCTGGGCCGCTGGGCGCTGACTGCTGCCCTAGAGGTTTTTACCAAGCTTCCAAAATAGATATTTCATTATTGCTTATTTGGGCATTCTTTTTCACAAACAAACATACTATTTTAATTACGTATATATATTCTTCTTGTATTCACGTATCTTTCTGCTAAAGCAGCTTGCGAGATGGTGTATAATATGTCTTATACTACAAAAGCGCGAGGAAGTGTAGGAGGGGAAACGTGTGGCGCAAGGCACCATATCTAGTTTCATCTTTCTGATAAATTTACTATTTTGAGAAGAGAAAATTCACGTGTCCGAGATTTTTTGTATCTAGGTCTTTCGCTAAAGCAGTTTAAATTTACGAGCGACATGGATGGGCGAGCAGTATTGTGCATTAACTAGGTAATGCGCTAGTCTGGTGGAGCTCTATGTGCAAGTAATGCGCATTAGGCTATGAGTAAGCGTAGGGTTAAATATCTACTGTGTAGTTTCCAAACCCGAGTAATCGTAATAAAGTATAAATAAGCGGTACGCTATATTAAATTTAGTTAGGAAGTAGCCAATTTACCTTCTAGCCTACATACCTGCCGACTAACCGGCCTATCTGCTAGTATGCATGTTTACCTGTTGTAGGAGGTAGGCAGGTAGGCTGGTGGATTTAAACTTAGAAACCCCTGTTCTCGGTTACCTGCAGTATGCCATAATAGTCTAAATTACTAGATATGAACTGGATCGACAGGAGATAAGTCTGAAGTGCCCGACTGAAAGGAAGGGTCTCTATAGTCCTCCCTGTATACATGTATCCATACCCCGCCGCCCTTCCCAGCAAAATTCCATATAAAAAAATGTGTTATTTTTTCTCGGCAATATTGGCGCTCTCGGCGCTTGTTCTCTTGGCAGTCTCGAAACTAGACTTATATTGTGATGTATAGCTTCGCCGAGCACAGTAGTCCAGTCTGGTGGAGCTCTATGTGCAACTGTTAATAGACACCTATTCAGATACATCACACATCACATAAGCGGTAGCTTACATATATGTTAAAAAAAAAAACTTTTGTTGAGGTTTGAGTAGATTTAATCTGGGTGATGTAATTCAGTCTCGTTGAATTGTGTGTTGATGTTGGGTTTTTTTGATAATTTGATTATTCGATGTTTATGATAAACTTTCTGAGAAAACAAGGCTTATTAGGTATTTCAGTTGGGTTTAGGTGCGACCGAAGGAAGCCTCAAGTTCTGAAGTCTGAATCTGGTGGATATTTCCTATGGTCATTCTGAGGGCTCCTCCGGCCGCCTGGATTTCTGCTTGGTGTTCTTGGTTCTGGATTCTCTGGCTTTAATATATCTTGATCATGGGATTGTATATTCCGTGGCGTCATTGCAAAACCGTCAGTATCTTCTGGTTCCGGACGTTCTATGCTAGGTCGGGGTGATTGATTCGTAATTGTTTTGTTGAAGGGTCCCGGGTTGACCTTTTATATTCATAAGGTTATCATTACGAGGTGGTTCAGTGCACTTCAACGCCACATAAACAAGTTTTAGTCTTGGCAGAAATAACAAATCTTTGTCTTTGCCGTTCACCGAACTTCTTTATATACAAACCTTTCAGTCACGTGTGTGGTCAGCAGCAAACAAAAGATGGCGGATTTTGGAATACAGCGGAGAAATGAGTGTTCCCTCTTACACCTGCATATCGTGAACTATTTCTTTTAGTATTATGTGAAAATAATGAAAAATCGATCAAATAAAAACGTTATAATACCAGGTTAAATAGAGGGTCAAGATACTGCATAAGAAGTAAATGGATGTCGACGGGATGACATGTTGCTTTGTGTTGCTTCGTGTTATTATCGAATTAAGAACAAAAACGAGACGATGCCTATTCGGGATGCGGTTTGCTATGTATACCGATCCAAGACCCAGTCTCGTAACCAGACTGTCCAAGACCTTGGAATTGACAGTGATGTTGAAATGGTGTTGGATACCGGACCATCACCATGTTCATATAGCAGGCGTGTGCTCCAGGTTGTTGCCCAGCTTATGCCAGGTCGGATGTAAAGAACTCGGTATTATTTTTAAAGCCGGCAGGTTGTTGTACTTCCAACACATTTATCGGAAAAACAAGGATCTTCCGTTTATGGCGCGGGCACCGGGAAGGAGCGAACGACACGCTCAGCCAGAAAGAAACAAAGCTTGCTCGCATCCAATCCCAAAATCAACATCATCGTCTTCACCACCAACATCAGCATCGCCAACTTCTGCGCCCTTACATCATCGCACATATTCACTCTGGCATCACACTAGCTTGCACGCGTCGGCAGGGCGCACTCGCTTATGGCGAGCAATTATTATAACTACAATTACGGAAACTCGTCCCATCCGCAGAACCAGCAGCAGCCCTTCTCAGATCAATATCCATCCACGGCCCCGGCTGCTGCTACCGCCCCCCAGACATCGCAAACATACTACCCCGCAAGTCAGTCGCAGCCACGGCAGACGGCTTCGGCGGTAAGGCAGTCGGTAGCTGCTGACAGTAGATCGAATACTACACAATATAATGGCCTTCACTTCCCTGCTCCGGCACCTGCAAGGCAAACGGTAGCGCCGACAAGCCACGATATTGGTCACTTGGCCGGCTCAGCTGTAAATACCGTTGGAAATTCTGGTGGAGGGTCTAGGTCTAATGCTTCGGCCATGGGGGGTGCAACGGGGTATGGATCTACAGGCCATTATCAGCCTGCAAGCAAACAGTTGGCCCCTCAGCCGAGACAGCGGGCCGATAAAGTAACGGGACGGACCCATGATCGCGCAGAACATGCCTTATCGGCATCTACGGGGTGGAATGCTGAAACTAGCGCCGCTTCGTCAATTGGACAGGTAGCTCCAGCAGCTGCAAGTGTCGACTATGGGTATTCATATAGTAAGGCCAATTCTGCTACTTCGCAGCAACAGCAGCCACAGCAGCAGAATTACTATGTTGCCAAAAGGGCCTCAGCTACATCCTCAAATAATGCACAAAAAACATCATATAATAATTCTGCATCTCGGTCTTCCTCGGCGACGTCGAAGCAGCCCTCCCAGGAACATTTAAACCAGGGCTATGGGCAACCAGCTCAAACCAACTCGAAGTCATCCTATTCGTATGAACCGCCACCAGTAAAAATAAACCCTTCGAATACCGCGCCTGCATACCAGCAAACTGCAGAATATGGGAAAACATACAGCGATGATGCCGATCAAAACCAGTCTTATCTCCACAGAGTTTACACTCTTCCCCAACCCACTCCAACCAGAAATGCCACCGATAACTCAAATTCGTACTTTCCTAACACACATGCTACAGAAACCTCTTACAACCCTTCATCGCAAACTCCAAAGTCAGGTACGATGGCCCAGACGGCCTCGTATAGTAAACCCGCGCAGGATCTAGGAAGAGCATCGTCTACCACCACCTCGGCATCCTCCTATAACCATGGTAACTTAGCATCTGCCCCTGCGCAGCCCAACCAGCAGCAATACTACCAAGATTATGGCTCTGCGAACGGCCCCCAGCATCCGGCGGCCTCTTACAATAACGTAGCTGCTTCGATGGTGTCAGCCGCCCCAGCTGCCCCCATACCTACCCCAGACTCGGTTTCTGTCCCACAACCTCCTACAACCCCGACACCTGTTGCCAAGAAGCCTAGAAAATTACGTCAATCGTTATCGCAGAAGTCGCCCGCGAAAAAAGCATCTAAATCTCGGACACCGAAGAAATCTAATGGAACAGCAGCTTCCTCAACCACCACTGAGGTTCCAGGTTCTCAGCACCCAGAATCGTTGCCTGCGCAACATACATTCTACCCATCCGAGCCCGAGCCCAAGTTTGGTAAATCCTCGACGAAAACCGGCGCATCTCAGAGGGCTGTTATGAATGTGGATCTGCCGCCTGAGCAGTCGCTCTCTCCTGACCCTCTGGGAGGGCCAGAAATGCATACCATGGAGCAGCACATGCGTGAAATGGTGGAAAAAATGCGAGAATACCAATCAAAAGATCCCACCGCCTTCCAACAAGTATGGGAAAACGTCAAACGCGGTAACCCTCCTGCGGCTGGTGGGAAAGGAGCAGCTTCAATTTCCTCAATGGGACTGAAAGGCACCCCTGGAATCGATAGCCCGCGACAAGTAGTTGCGAGTCTTGCAAAGCCGCCAGCTACCAAACAACAGGCTCCAGTTGCTATAGGGAAGCAGAATACAACTCTAGGGAGTGCCGCTTCACAAGCGCAAAAGACGGTCTGGCCTTCTAGCCAGAAAATTGCTCTGTCGCAAACAGTTTCTACTTTCCTCACAAGCTCTAGTCAATCATGCTCGGAATCATATGTAATGAGCCTCCTTGATTATGGCCCGACTTTTGTAGAATTATGCCAGAAGCTTGAGAATCACGGTTATCGTTTTGAAAGGAACGATCTTGCACAAGAATTGCTGAAAACTACAGAAAGTGTCGATCCCTCAAAAGCTGCGTCAACAGCGTCTCCCGCTATATCAGCAGCACCGCCCTTCTCAGATGTTCCATCTAGAGCAATGACACCCCAATCTATGAAGTCGTTCAATCCACGAAATATCAAAGATTCAATCACTAACCTTATCCCCCAAGATCATCATCGCGACCATTCCCAGAACTTTGTGGCCCCATCTTTGATCTATCGCGAGGTATCATACCCGACCCATTTCGGTCAACCAGAGTCTAATGTACGATCTGACGAGCCCGCGGCGCCTCCAACACCAGTTCCAATGCCTATTCCTGACACTCATACTATTGTTGAGAAACCAGCTCAGGGACCCGGTAAAAAACGGGTCTCTCTAGCAAAGAAGCCCCAAAAGTCCTCCTCTTCGAAAGTTCCCCAAACGCCCCAAACGCCCCAAACGCCCCACCCCAAAACGCCCCACCCCCAGACTCCTCAAGCGTTACAGACGGCACACTCGGGTTCTGAGTCGCAGGCACCGGTCGCACCCCAGCCAGGCTTTTCGCCGGCTCCGAGGGAAGAATCGATGCCTGATGCTAGGTATGCTACCTTACGAAAAGTTACACGTAGTTTCCATACTAATTTGAAAATATAAGCCCTCTCACTATTACTATCACTCAACCTATTTCCCGTTATGAGAACCTTATTCAGGCTGCAACGCCTCGCAATTCATTGATTCAGCCTCAGGGACATGATGACAATTCTGCCCTTGAGAAGCTCCAATCGAAGCTAGAAGCCCAGATGTCACGATTGAAGAGGCTTGAAGAACCAGTAGAGCTTCCGCCTCCGCCTGTTTCTGTTCCATCCCAATCAGCCCCACCACATCCACCTCCACCTCCCCCGCCATCTCGTAAACCTGCCTGGCCACGCGCTCAAACTTGGGATAGGAAAAATGCTCTTAGACGTAATACGTACGATCCTCGAACGATTGTTCATGACGTTTTGCAAGCTACCGGCCGCCACCCGCAATACGAAGGTTTAAATAGCGGCCTTGCAATTCTAAAACGGCTCCACCCGGATGTTTTCGACAGTATGACAGATCTTGCAGCGATACCCTGGGATATATATGACCCTCCTCCAGCACCACTTCCAGGTGAGGAGCGGAAGCCGAAAAGAAGCATTGTACTCGACGAGGAAGAAACAAGGGGCAGGAAACGAGAACCAGTGCCGTTTAAAGGAATTCCTAGGGCAGAAACCGTCCCTTCAATCCCGGCGCTCATGCCGGAAGGAAAGGTTAAAGGAAAGCGTGGCCGTCCAAGAGGTAGCAGAGGTACTCCCCGGAGCGCCCGTGGGGGGCGAGGTGGCGCTACGGCTGGGGGACCTCTGGGAACCTCCGACACCGCTACGAATTCCGCTGGCGATCCATCTACAGCAGCCAACGTTCATAGATATGGTACGGTCACTCGTGTCAACATCAACAGTCTAAGAAACGGGGGAAGCGCTAGTAGTAGTAGGGGTGATAGTGGTAGAAAACGAAAGTACGGTGACTCGCCAGATCCACATTACCCCGGTGATGGCGGTGGTGGCACATGGGGCGGTAGCTCGTTCCAGACGATTCCTGCATTCAAATGCCAGTGGGAGAAATGTAACCAGGAGCTACAAAACCTCGAAACTCTCCGCAAGCACTTGGTTAAGAAACACAAGGCTGAAAATATTCAAGGTGTGCTACCTTGCTGTTGGGGCAATTGCGGAACGTTGGTACCTGTTGGGATGTTAGATTCACAAACAGGAAAGCAAATATTCGAGCAGAGGAGACGGAGATTACATTTTGGGAGCGCAATAGCGTGGGATAGTCATGTTTTGGGAGAGCACTTGAAGGTCGTTAGAAACGAACTTGGCGACGGGATGAGTGTTTCCGCGGGTATGTCTTTTGCAGATTTGTCGGCTCCGAGAAATGCTAACATAGAATCAACAGCTCGTTCATTGTCTCGAGACTCTTCTGCGCATTCAGTCGAGGGCCGTCTACGCTCTATGTCTCTTGACCGAGCTGGCCGCTCCCTTACGCCTGTTATCACACAGGCGCCCCATGGGTATAAGTTTACACCACCACCTGGTTTCTCAGGCGGCATCCAATTCAAGCTTGCTCATGAATTCCCCGAAGAAATCGATATCGAGACCGATGCAGACGAACAAAGGTTTTTCGAGAATGAATTAGCGAGGATTGGGCGTATGGGAGCCGGGACGGAATCCTTCAATATTCCCGACCTCCCAGGCTTAGAATTCGACAATACTGAAGGATGGTCTATCAAGACCAGGAAGCTAACAACTGACTTCAGCAAAGTTGCACCTCTTCCTCCCCAAGGTTGGAATGAATCCGGTAGTAGCGAGAAAGGGAAAGGTCGAGCTGATGACCGATGATGAACTGTTTGATCTTACCTTTTTTTTAAAAATTTTTTTTAATTATACCCTTATTGTTTTGCCCTATTTACCAATTCGAGGGGGCGTTTATTTGCCCCTTCTCTAATGATGGGTACTTTGAGTGTCCATCAAAAGCTTTTGATATTTTCTGTGCTGAGCGACATATCAGTTCGGCGTTATGGTTTCTCCTTTCTAAGGCTTTATAGAGGTCCCTAAATTACAGGGAGTCGAGAGGATCTATAATTATTTCAAGCTTCACCAAGCATTGCGCCGGCGTCGTTGAAAACTTCTATTTTCCATTTTGACCCATGGATATTCATCCCCGTTAGGTACCTAGGCGCTTTAAGTATACACCTACTTCTTATGAATAGTTAGTACATTTTTGAGACCAGCTCAGATCAAGATAACCAGATATCGCCAAATTCTGCTGGATGCAGGAGGAGGTCCTTCCATTACCAAATGCGGACGATATCTTGCTCATACTTATTCTTTCGGTTGTTTCCGAACATTTTAAAAGTGATCTCTCGTTTTTTTTTTTAATTCTTCTATTATCAATTAGAAGTTCCATTTCTTTTCGAAAAAATCCATGGCTATCCAGTCTCATTTCAGGAGGTCTTGCCATTAGCTTCTTCAGCCCAGTCCAACAGGTCAAGAGCCACTGTAGCTCCTCGTCCTCAGTCCCAATGAGCTGCAAAAAACTACCACAATAACAACGCATTCATAAGAACGAGTGCAAGATATCTGGGAACTTTCCTCCAATCTGATGAATACCCACGCCCATAATCACCACTACCGGAAAGCAAAATGGCTGCCAAAAATCTGACGATTGCCGACCTTTTCAATAGTTCCGGCCCTTTTGCTTTGCTCTTGAACTCGACGGGGGCCGACAGTCATAATTACCCTTCCCTGAATAGCAACCCGTTGCTTTCGGAGCCAATCCCTCTAGATGTTGTAGCATCATGGCCTCCACCAAATTATATAAACCCAGAGACGAAACATCCGCAGATGTTTGCGTGGGAATTGAGTTTACTGAGTTTGGCGGTTATAGCGGTGGTGTTGAGATTATATGTTAGAATATGGATGATGAGACCTATTTGGGGAATTGGTGGGGATGACTGGGGAGTTGGGGTTGCATTGGTGAGATATACTCCATAGATTTAATGATTATCTTACTGCTTGAAATTTCATTAGTTGAGGTTTGACGTTGCTAATCCTTTGGGATACTTTTTTTTAGTTATTTGCAATCGGGTTGACAACTGTACAGCTTAACTCTACACGATACGGGTATGGTAAGCCATCCCTCCCGAATTTAAGCATTCCGGAAGGATATTCTAGTTAATCAATAGCTTTTTTTAAACAAAAAAACAGGAATGCACATATGGGACGTAAAGCCCGAATGGATAATGCCCATGCGTCAAATGGCATTTTGTACTCAACTCCTCTTCGTCCTATGCACTACTACCACAAAACTCTCAATTCTTTCTTTCTACCTTCGGCTCTCTGCCTCGCCAACCTTTCGATTTCTAGTCTACTCCGGCATGATATTCGCTTTAGCAACAGGAATCTCCTTCGTCTTTGTCATAATCTTCCAATGTAGCCCTATAAACGCCTACTGGGACCTGACTCTCCCCAAAGCTAAGTGCGTCAACGAATCTGCCGCAAATATTGCAAATGCTGTTATCAACAGTTTATGCGATTTGTATGTCTTTTCGTTACCGATAAAGGATATGCTAGGGTTGAGGCTACCTTTACGACAGAGGATCAGTCTTGTTATACTATTCTCATTGGGTGGAGTGGTCTGTATTGCTGGATGGTTGAGGGTATGGCAGTTGACGTCTGTTCTGAAAAGAACGTATGACAATACTTGGTATGGTCCTACTATGTATATTTTGACGGCAGTGGAGTGTGATGTGGCGATTTTGTGTGGATGTTTACCTGCATTAAAGCCATTGATGGCAAAGGTTATACCGGGTTTGAGGAAGTTTAGTTTGAGGAGACTGAGTGGAGCTGGACTGACGGCGGGGAGTGGGAGTGAGAAAGGGAGGTATAAAGGTAAAGGAAGTGAGATTGGCGATACGAGTGGTGAAGGCAGCGGAAATGGGGTGGGGAGAAGGAGAGGCGCAGTTAGTGGAATGAGTTCGGGCCAATGTCCATATTCAGACCCTAGCAAACTCCTGGATCCAACGAATTTGATACCAGAGCTGGAGAAGGCTAAACTGGCAAGTGATATTGGCAGCTGTAAGAGCGAGCTGAGTATTCCTCTATATGAGAATATTCTGAAAAGCACAAGCAGGCTACCACTACAAGATACGGGTGAAGAGGATGACATGGAAGGCACCGGAAGCCCAACGGATACGAGGCCAGGAGGAGATTTAGAAAGCGGATACCCGCCGGTAGCTAAGAGTATGGATTGGGCGAACTATAAGTCGTAGAAACTAACAAGTTAGAGCCATATGCATATTCGGTGTTATCAGGCTATACCCAGGTAATGTTAACATGTTGAGGGTGTTATTAATTAATATTTTTCCATTGCAATGGCTACAATGCAATACTACTAGCTTCGCAGCAGCATTAATTTTGGTTTACGGGATAAATAGTAGCTATATATGTTTAAACATTCAATTTTTGCCCATTTGGAATTGGCCCTATTAAATGGAGCTAAAAGGTACAATGAGGGGGGTAATTGCTGGACGTAACATGTTAACATACACCTTTCCTACCGCACTTAAGGGGGTCTGGCGACAAGCAGGGCTATATTATACGTTCGGGGTCAGCTTAAAGTAAAAAAAACCCCCGCTGCTTTCATGCAGGATAATATATTATGACAAAGGGATATATCTATCTAGAATGATAGACTATTCGGGTCATGTAGGTAATCGCAAGGCCTTCAACCCAAGCGTGATCAAAATAGCTAAGATCCACATTGACCTCGTGCCCCAGATCACATCAAGCAGCCATTTTTCTTACTGCTGCAGATTTCAGAAACAGCAATCGGAACACGCTTCCGGGCGTAGTCACTAGGGCTCTTTTGGCTAGAAACTGTCATTGGCAAGCTAGTAATTCCGCCTTCAGCTGATAAAAGGACAAACGAAAAAGTCTCCACCATCCAGTCGTACCAGACTTTTCTCCCGTCCGTGTGTCGCCAGAAAGAAACTTGAGCTTCGGAATCGTCTGGTACAGGCATTGGGGTCTAGAAATTCGTTAGTCCAACAGTCGAAAATACTAAATAGGAACATATATTTACTCTAAGGGGAAAGTAGATAGCAAACCAAGATATCATATCTTTGCTCTTGGCATCAATTGTGTCGGGTCGAGTGCTCAATTCAACAATCGCAGTTCCATTAGCGTTCTCATATAGAATGCACTCAAAGTAGCCAGCGATACCGTGAATAACCCCGCGGCGGGGAATAGGAAAGGCCGCGATTGCTTCACGTTGATTGTGGTCGTTAAACCCACAATCGTGTTCCAACTCGTCTTCGGGGACTGGGTGTTTGAATTCCCAAGCTTGATGAATGTTTGGTTCCCCGTTGATGTTCTGAGATAAAAAGTCGATAGCTGTAAGCATAACAACATACGGGACTTCGTAAATGTCTACAGAGTTCGAGGAAGTCGCTCTAGATAGTAGATCTCCATGTATTTTTGGCGCCATTATTGGCGTATAATGTGCTGTATATGACTGAGGAATGTTAATGCCAACTGTAGGGTGGAGGACCCTCTGAACACCATCTAGGCATTCCGGCGAGAGTTCATTATCTGCGAACGATCCGAGAAGTTCTGAAACGAGAATATGCACATATGTATTTGGGGGTTCCCATTTTCGCATGTCTGTTTTGACGAGGGTGACAGCACCACCCCAGACATCACGATTCATTTTCATCAGGTGAGTATAAGCATTAGGGTTCTTTTCGATGGCGAACATCGTGATATCTATGCTAGCGTTTGTTGCCGCACGTAAACAGCGAGTGACGAGAGGCCCGCGGCCAGCGCCTACGACCGCGACGCAACTATAAATGCTATTAGATTTTCGGTTCCCTTCGAGAAGCTAGGAGAAATCCTTACATGTCTTCGATGCCCTGTTGATTTAGGTCCTGAAGTGCCAGGAGGACCGCTTTCTCATACTGAGCATATTTGACGGGGTCCTTTTCAAAGACTTCATAGGTCATGCTCTCCAAGTTATCAGCCAAGGGTTGCAACGGGGATTGCAAATAATCCTGGTATCCGGCTCCAAAACTGTCAAGGGGCGGTGGCGGTGGTAGATTTATAATGTGGTAGTGAAGGTATTTCCTATAAGACTCAGGATCATCTCTTCGTATTGGCGTTATCGACACCGTTTGCCTTGCTCCTCCTCCTTGGGGTGTGGGAGGCACAAGCGGTGGAAACTCGGCATCCGCGGTGTCTTCAGGCTTGAATTCAGTATGCCGAGTGTTAGATAAAAGATAGAAAGGATTTTTTCTAGCGAATTGTGTAACTAATCTCTGGTGAGGTTTTGTTAAAACGGGGTACCCTTTAGTGTTCAGGAGAAACGCTGTGGAGTCAATGATTAAATAGCGAATGGGCTCCGCGAACCATCTTTTTAGGGTATGTGTCCTTGGGAGTGAATACTCGATCTGGAGGCCTAATCGGAGCGTTATTTGTTAGAACGTGGTAGTAGGACCTAACTCGAACGTAATGACGAAGTGATACATACCCAATCCTAATCGAGATGTGTATCTTGCAGATGTCCGTATAGTATTCCAGATATCCCACGACGTTAGTTCGTCGTAAAGAACATCCGGAGGGACCCGGTCAGTGTCCTGAGACGGGACGTCCAATTCCCCCTGTTTTGGAGCGAGCGAAGGGCCAAACGCTGGTAACATGATATTGATGGTCAAATAAGCATTAATTGCGAGCCCCTGCACGATAGACTGACAATATCCTGCCATATTCTGTTGGGCCGTCTTCGGGCCATCAATCAACAGAGTCGCAAGGCCGCAGAAGCCCGCATAGCCTATTTCGTGATGCAAAACCTGCCTCGACGCAGATGCGACCAACGGATCAAGCGAATCCAATTCAATCCATTGGGATGTGACACCAATTACTTTTCCTGAAGCAACGAGCTCATCTGGATGCATATTGACGTCTTCAACTTCAAGTCCAGGAATATATACCCGGGTACTTCCCTGGCTGCGAGCTTCCTCAATGATTGCTTCGACTTTACTTCGGTAGTTGATGTTGCTAATGTGGACACTGATCATGTTATACTATAAAATATCGGAATGAAAAATGTCAGTACGAGTTTTGAAAGACAATAGAGTGCAGTTGTTCCCATACCGAATCCTGAACTGCCCTATCCAACAAATCGAACGATAACGCACTTCCAGGCGCTGGAAGGTGCTCCCCGATGAAAAAGGCCATTGGGGCCCGGCCTTCTGCGCCGTCTGCCATCTCGACTTTCTTTTTTTTCGGGGGGTTATTGGTATCAATCGAGACAGGGTCGAAGGGCCTCTTGAACGAAGATAACGAGCTTGCTTTGTCGAGTTTCTACCTCTCCATGATGCAGGCTATCGTCTATAAGATTTGCTCGAATGCCAGATGGCCAAACTGCTTGTGGTCGCCTAAGATGCAGCGATGGGAATCAAAGCAGGGCGTCCAGCCTGAAAGAACTGACCACGAAGCCGATGTGAAGTTCGACCGTAATTAAAATTGGGCTATTCTTTCGATAGTCGTCTGGGCAAGAGGCCCCGCGGGGCAGTTGGTGGGTTAATTTGGCCTGGAGGGTAACGGGGTTTCAATCATGTAAATTAATTTAGCCAAGCGCATGCGACCACAAAAAAATATGGGCATCGCAGGCCCCGCAACACAAAAAATGCAACAGCTGTAGGGCTGAGTACCTAGTAGCCTGCGCTTGTAGATAGATCTGGGTCCTTATATTTGCGAAATGGACTAGATTGCGGATAATGATTATATTAATTATAGGAATGAAAGAGCTCTTGTTGCAAGATCTTTAGATTGGTACAATACAGCGAAAGTAAATTTTATCAGTGTAAGCCTACATGTTCACGAGCCTTGAAATTAAATCGTAGCTGGCAATGCATGCGCAATGGTTTCTGGATCTGGAACCTGATAAGGTGTTTGTGGAACCAACCGATTTACACAAAAAACTATAGCTATGCCATTTGTTGCTAACCACTAGTCTTGTAGACTTCTAGAAACGACTAGTAAGTAAGATCTAGGAGCTAGGAATGTGCTAGTGTCCACCATACTGTCCTCATTGTGGCTTGCATGCAACTCACTTTTCCTGACCTTGGAAGCAAAAGAGACACGAATTCGGTCCTTCGCTGTTCGTTCAATAGCGACCGAAAGCTTCTATAGTACTCTAGCCCATATACCCGCGGCGTTATTGAATTCATCTAGAATACTAAGAACTTTTTCTGACTTGTTCTGGATTCGCGGTAGCCTCTCCGGATATTTGACTAGGTGGAGGCTCGGCACGGAAAAAGCTGCTCCGCTACATTTGTAGAGTATTGCTACAGTTGATTCCTAGTCTCTAGTAAAATTTTGATTGCAGTGGAGAATGTCTTGTTTATTTGCTTAGGCTGCTCCATATTGATCAGGACATCGCCACCAAAAAGATCTCTTTTATCCTAGATCTACGTGAAAATAGCTTGGTGGTCGAGTATGCCGTTTTTAAAAGAAATAAGCAATTCCGTCAACCAGATCACAAATGTCAAAATTTTTTTGCAGGTTTTCTGCTCCCGCCCCAGCCTTCGATGTAACCTCGACTTGAGTAACGTGGAGTCACATCTGCAATTAAGCTATTACCCCAGATCGCGCTGTTACCCATGGCGCTATTGCCCATGCCTAACTTCATGACCACGGATGTATCAAGTGTATTGTCTTGCGGTGACCGACCCCCATTTGCCCCACCTACTGCGGGAAATCCTATCCACGATTTTGACTCTTGAGGTACCCGACGCTTCCATCCTATATCCTCAACCTGTTCATTCATGACGAGTTTCACCAAAGAAGCGAGAGCTTCTTGAACACCTCCGATTTCATCTTTCAGAATTGTATCAGAATCGAGCAGCTTGAGCGAGAATTCTTCAAAGTCGTAATTAGCAGTATTGAGTCACTAAGGATCCCACATAGAAATCCAGCTTGAATTAGATAAAATTCGACGATCTCCTCCTCGTCGCGCTCTGAGGCTATCCCGCCGTCTTGGAATTCGCTTGCGACGTTCGTGATCTGCTGGAGATCATTACCTTCACACCATGCACTATAACGCTATCAATTAGGCTTGCAATTGCTGATTCTCCAGCTCCACGCTATATATGTGTACATAGATTGCGTAGAAAGTTCCTATGGAATTCGCGGACATGAAATAGTAAGGCCAAATGCAACAGCGTCAAATACCTCAATTAATCCCGCTCTTGCAAATGTTTGCATGGCCATGCAAGCACGGCCTCTTTGGTATGGAACAAAGAAATAACGCATATGTCCGCCGACTCGACCAATCATGGCCAGCATCCGCGAGAACAATTTGAGCCACTCGTATCTCCCAGATGTACTGTCGGTAACTATAGACTATTACATGTGTAACTTGGGCTATATTGGGAAGAATTGATAAAATTGGCGGGACCTAATCGCAGCGCAAGCTTGCATCATGGGTTCATTTTCTCTTCTTCGACCGGCTTCGTATAGGTGTTTCATCATACTAGCCGCTATCGTCCTTATTGGCCCAACATCTCTATTCCTCCTCCGACTTCACAATCGAGCGTGTGTTTTTCAACTCAAACGAAACGGTACAATATCAGATTCTCCCATTACACCAAGGCCCAGTACGGCCCCACCAGTTGTTTATGTATCTCCAGGTAATCCTTTTGACATAAACTTTGACGAAACCTTATATCGCAATCGGGGTACCTCACAGGTCAAAATCGAAGCAGACTATGAACCGGAAAATACCCTAAGCTCGGCTTCTTCGCTGCCTTCGGAGGGAAAAAGACTCCACAAGAGAGTGTTAATACCTGTGTCATGGTTGCAAATGCGAACCCTCATCAACCATCCGGGACATGGCCCGGGTCGTGATCTTCTACTCCCCGGTGTTACCGCCGCGCTGAGCTTCCTCTCTGAATCTGAAGAGTATGAAGAAAATTTCGATTCAATCAAGAAGATATCCGAGGACTTAGATGCGTGGTTATCTAGGGAAGCTGCCATATCTAGAAATTCTCCACGAAATTCTGAGACAGGGAGTTTTCTCTATGCTTTGCGGAGTTACAAGGACGCCGTGAAGGGTTACCCGGACTTTATGTCCTATATGGAAGACCTAGTACCTTCTTTGGGGAACCTTGGTGCTTTTGGCTCTTTTACAAGTCCGGACATCATGACAAAATTGGTTTTCATGTTGAACGAAGAAGGTGATGAAGAGCTCGACGATGAATGGCTTAGGTTTCTCGTGAACTTTTTTAAAGAATCAGCTGAAGGCCTGCGTGAGTGGGTTGACGAGGTGCAGTTCGCGAAAGATACATTTGTGGGGACGATAAAAGAACGACAATCACAAATAGTGTCTGATGGGGACTTTGCTAAGCTGCAAGCCGATGTCGATACAATATTAGAATGGTCATCAGCACTTGCGGAAACCGGCGAGAAAGCCTCAAAATTTCTGGGAGAATTTCGTGAAGTAATAAGAGAGGTGGAGTATGAAACCCCTGGGACTCTCCCATACACCCCAAGAATTGGGCGGACTAGATGGTTACAATCTCCAACAGATTCGGAGGACAGCGGTAACGTCTTCAATCGCCTGGATAATGAGCCTCTTACACCACCACCGCAGATCCAAGGCGATGAATACATTGATTATTTGAGGAGGCCACCTTGGGCTTCGAATCAAAATCCCGGGCTTATGAGGGAGGAACAAGTTCCAGGCTCTGATGAACAAATTCCGGGCTCCGAGGAACTTGAAGCTCGAGAATCGAACATGCAATAATATAATACATATAATTACGGCATCTAAGAGCGAAATACAGTCTTTGGTGATAGGGGATAAGATGTGGGAAGATGTGCTCATGGGTCTGATAAGGTCTGTTTATAGTTTTGATTTATTATTCATGTTAACAATTGGCAATGATATAATGAGGGGACGCTTCCAGCGATGCGAACCACAATCAATAAATAATAAAAAACATTAACCTAGGTAGAATGTTAGCCAAGAACAAAAAAACGAGATAGAGGGATGATGGTGTAACATCTTCGCTTCGCCTCGTACCCGAACCTGTGTGACCAGGACATCAGTGGTATTTGAGCAAGGCGGACATCTTCGTCTGATAATTAGAATCGACAATAAGATTGCCAAGGGGTCCAAAAATTAAGCCAAAAGCCTCGCACTTCACCACCCAGATCTCTGAATCTACAACTCGGTCTAGCATCCCAGCATACCCCGAGCCTACGCCCACAGCCACTAGGTCTCCTATTATGATATTAGATAGTCATAACCCCTCCTATCATCTCTGGTAGCGCCACGGCACACCGCATGACTCCTGCTTTCGTCCTTTCTCCATGCCCAGCTCTCGCGACGGCAGCTTAGGGATCGTACACAAAGATATCCACAATCATCGCCAACAACCACAGTGATTGGAAATAACCAATCCGCAGACCGCCATATCCATCTAGTCTTAGGCCCAAACAAGAACTTCAAAAATTTGGTATAATGTCAGGAACGGACAGTTTCTCCCGCAGGGACGAGCCCATAGCTCTCACCAACGAAACTTACCCTCAAACCTCGTGACAAGGTATGAGGGTCCACAAAAGTGGACATCGCGGCGCCGTCAACAAAATGTTCTTTTCAAGTATCCATCGGATTCTGTTCCGTAGCCATAGAGAATAGCAGAAAGGCGCTCGCAAATTGATCGGATAACCTCAAGACCATGATTATCGCGAGGTTGGCTGTAACAGTGGAAATATTCGTACGCCCACAAGTGCCCGCGGCATCGAAATGGACAGTATTAAGGAACTGCCGGTCGGACCTGCAAGGCATGCGCACGTTGGTCGGGTTCAGAAATGCCCTAGCGAGCTATGATCGGGAGGAAGTTCGACAAGCCAAAGAAAGATAGAAGATCGGTGAGATGTCTCGTAAGCCGGTGCGGTCTTGCGACCATGGAAGCCATTGACAAGAAAGACGAGACTATAAACCACAAGGCACTCGCTAGAGTGCAAGAAAAGGATGGAGTGTTCTTACTAACCAAATAGAACCAGTAAACCTACCTATCCGCCGTCATTTTGCCAACGATGGATTTCCGAAACGTCAACTACAAGCTTCGCCATTCTATTCCTGCCAACGCTGCTAGTTCCACTGTCATTTACACCATAACAGAAACCGATGTCCCGTCTCGCGAGTGCAAACAGCCAAGGACACTGTTAAATGCTTCCAGCCCCATCCCACAAAGACTATATGCCATTTTCGATGCCCTAAACAAACCTCACATATCGATTCCAAACTGCCGAGAGCCCCGCTGAAATCCCAAACTGAATTCAGGACCACTGTTTGTTTGTAGCGTCATCACCCGAGTACGTCTTCTCTATTCCGTGATAATATCACGAGCGGCGAAAGCACGTAGCACAAAAGACCGCTAGTTTTAGGCCTCCCTCGACCTTGTATTTTGATGCCTGGATATACGCTCTGTCATCATTTTCTGCGGATCCACCGAAGTAGAATGCGTTATGATTCAAGATGGATGTGTGCAAGCTGAAAATGTACCTAAAGGCACCACATGGCTTTATTTGCAAAACGCAGGGGACCATGCGCCCGATGAGGTTTGGGAACAACGTGGGAGGTGAAATGGAAACAAGGGAGAACTTCAATTTATAAAGCTCAGGACCAAAGAGAGGTCACGTCACAGCCTTGCCCGGTAAGCCAAATTCATACACTCTTCTGATATGGTTGTCGTATCACCATGCTGCCTTTCCGGAACGGGGCTGCGATGCCAATGTGTCTATATGTTGACATGGGTACTATCGGAATTGAGCTGGCCGCACGTCTCGAAGAGAGGACGGCAAGATATGAGAGTTCGCCAGCCATCAGGAACGTAGCTTGATTACGCACTGGCCAATGCTTTATTTCCTTTTGATTGATGACTGTTTCCGGCGAGTGACCCTCCCAGCGATTTGTAAACCCCCAGTGAAGGGATAGCAATATCCCACGTATTCGATTGTAGGCAGGCAGCGTTCTGGGCGATAGTAAATGACAGAGCCAAAGAGATGCAATGAGGCTATTTCCAAGCTGCCATTCGGATGCACCTTCCTCCAAAAAGATCTATCCTGTGCTTTCGCGGTACCAAGATAGACCCAGGTCGTTCCAAGACCATTTTCTCTCCAGATTTGTTGTACGCTGCAGAAACCATCAAACAGGATTTTCTCCTTCTGCCGAATCTCTGAACAGTTTCGGCAAGAAAAGACTTCGAGCCTACACGACATATAACGTATACCCTTGACTTGATGCTTAGGGTTAAGTTCCAGAGGCCTGCACCACTCCGCTGTTTGACAAGACAAAGTGCTTTCCAGCTGCCGAACACCATTTCCACTACCAAAGAGCTCATTGGTCCGTACTCTGAGGCCGAGTCTATGGTAATGGTCACGGGACGACAGCCTCGGATTGGACCCCCGCGAACCGTGTTGAGTGACGTTGAACGCAATCTATTCGAAACAGTAGTTGATTCCCTCATTCACACCGAAGCGTGCGTTTGGTCCGCAAAGCTCATGGTAACCGGAATCGATATGGATAGGTTCATCTCTTGTCTCGAAGGCAAGTCTATCGTAGGGAGAGTCCATATTAGTCCATTGAAAACGATTAAAAGCATAACAGAGGAGGCTTCGCAAACGGTCGACGCTGACGCGGCCGAGGGGCATAGCTGTCAAGATATATCGAGTAGGTAGCTGTTGGAGCAGGTAAAGTTAGGCAATAGGCCAGAGTTCCATCATCTCGAGATATAAAAGCCCACGAGGACCGTTTGAGGCGATAAGATGGGTAGTTTACTGGTGCATTGTTCTAGTGTTGGTTGTGCTTGGGAGAAGGGAATCAAATCTCGAATCAAAAGGAGGGCTCGGCACGACCTTTCGATTTCCCCTAACTAAGACCTGACCTGCGTTGCGCTGTGTAACCTAACACGCGCTCTCATGACTACATAATACAACAAAAACAACACCTTTAAGCCTTTAAGCCTTTACGCGAGACCAACCTGTCCTGGTCTCGTAGACAACCTGTCCCGATCTTACAACTACGGCTCTATATAGTATATATAGTATGTATAGTATATCAGGCCTAGCTAGTCAAGCCAAAAGTGGAAAAAGAAGAAGAAGAATAGAGAGAGGCCGAGCGAAAAGAAATATAGATGTTGGAAATTCTGTTTCGATACTTGCACAAAGAAAAAGAAAGATTACTCATCCTTGCTACTATGGTTGCAGGTAAAAAAAAAACCTGCTCAGGATCCACTTGATTCATATAACAAAAACCCATACATATATGTGCATCAGCTAGGAAGTATAACGGCCTCCAACCGGTTTCTTCCCATTGACACTTGTCAAACCCGCGCATAAAGATATTACATAATGTTTTGTACTGCAGAAGCTGGCATCATTCTCCACAACCTTTGCTAACCCTCCAATCCGATAAAAGACAATACAATTCCTGCTCGAAATCGGCTCATCCCCATGCCGAAAAGAGCCAAGTAAGCGCCAAGTCAGTACCGAAGCGTTGTCGCCAAGTTGCTTTGCAACGCCCAGAGAGAGTTTTTGAGCGGGTTTTCGGTCCGTGGCGTAGGAAGAGCTTCGCGATAGGTCCAGCTAATATCGCTAATCCACATGTGGTCACAACGAGAGCTCTCAAGCCTAACTTTAATCCTCTTGATATGTTTGTAGGACTCGAGAACACAGGCGCTGTTATCGTTATCATGCTAGATGCAAGTGCAAAACCTCAGAGCTTATTCAATATTCACCATGGAGTTACGGCGTTCAGCCAAACCCTCAGGTCCTCAAATTAATGAAAATTAGCTGGTTGGGATATCCTGGCTTGTCTACCATGGAACATTCAGCGCTGAACAGCTGATATCTGCACCAATATCGAGATAACTAGGGAGGATGAACTGGCAAGCTTCTTCTATATAAGCATTGGTAACGCCCCGGATTTTACTGGATCAGCACTGCATGCAGCTCGATTGTTCAAACAGGTCACAGTGAGATAAAAAATCCCAGCTTGAGGATTTATACTCACTTCAGCAAATCTCTTCTTCTATAATGTTAAAAGGGTTTCCTGTTAAGGCACTCATTGCCACTCTGTTCTCCTATGGGGTGGTAGCAGACGGAAATGGCCTCATCGGATGGGGTATTACAATGTATGACCCGCCCTGCGCATTCGCATGTCGCGGTGTCATTTCAAAATGTACCCTGCTTTGCACTCCCAAAGACGGTACCGTCAATCATGGAACCAGCCATCATCCCGTCTCCACGCCACCGGATTGCTTTACTACAGATGTTGCTTTCATGCGTACGATGGCATTGTGTATCGACACTTACTGTCCTACCAATGGTGCGCCGTCTTTGAGTAAGATCGAGGACTATTGGTACGGACATCTGGGTACCGGAACTGTTGGTAATTATAAATGGGTCCCAACTATGTCTTACACAGAAGCTCTGCTGGCGGCCAAAGAAGATGAGCGCAACGGTGTTAAATTTCCTAATACCACGACTACTTCGGTCGACGAACACGCAGGCCATAATATGCTTCGCGCACGAGTCCTTCGACGTTACGAAGACTCCAGCACATTACCAATAATTAAATCGAAACAGCCACTCAATGTTACTAGTATGATTAGCGCTAGTGATTGGAAATCACAATACAATGGGATGGTTACCTTCGAAACCAACGAGAATGGACACTCTACATATACGTAAGTTATGAGTTCTACGGTACATGGCGCTTTTAACACCGTGATACTAATGAAGAACTTGTTCTCTAATCTAGGATCATATTGACGCTAGTTGCCCTCCTACTGCCCGTGGCCCTTTCCCTTCTTCGTTTCATCCCTGGGCTTACACGTAGCAAAGGATGGACCTATTTTAATTCCGTTCTAAACTACCCGGCCGTTTGGGGTACCAGCCATCGTGAACCAGTAGCAATGATAGCTGGGGGAGGCCTCGTCCCTACGCGAGGCCAAGCTATGTATATCACATTAATCAGCATCCTTAATATAGTTTTCCTTGCGGCCCCATATATCTACCTCTACCCTCAGTCGATATTCGGCTCCCGCGACGAGCAGAATATGAGTGTTATGGGATGCCGGGCCGGCGTTCTAGCCGTTGGAAACATGGTAGCCATGTTTGTATTCTCATCTAGAAATAGTGTACTCCTCTATATCACGGATTGGAGTCATAGTACTTTCCTTCTCCTCCATAGGTGGCTCGGATACTGGACCATCATACAGACGGTTCTTCACTCAATTCTTCTCCTTGCCTACTACGTCCGGTACGGAGATTATGCGGCGGAATTGGCTTCGTTGTACTGGATTTGGGGGATTGTCGCAACGGTAGCTGCTGTTGCAATCTGGGTGTTTTCACTCCTCATCGTTCGACAAAAAGCATATGAGTTCTTCTATATCACGCATATTATTCTGATCGTCCTGTTCCTCGTCGGTTATTATTATCACATTTGGTACCGATATACCTACAACTGGGGGTATGAAATATGGGCCTTCATTGCAATTGGTATTTGGGGTAAGGATAGAATTTTGAGGGCTGGTCAGATGATCTACCATGGTTGGAGAACCGCAAAAATCACCAATGTGGAAGGCTCCAACGGCGAATACATACGCATCGATATCGATGGAGTCCACTCCGAAGGTGTCGTCTACCTTTGCTTCCCAACTTTGGCATTTAATTTTTGGCAGACCCATCCTTTCTCAATAACATCCTCCTTCGCTCGTCACGGTTCAGCCCAACGAGAAACACTCACAAAGTCGACCGATCAGGATTCTGAAAAGCAGGCCGAAGCAGAAATCACTGTCATTAGTCCGAACCAGTCAGATACAGCCTCCACATCATCGATCCCGCCTCACGAAGTTATATCTCGTATCAGTATTATAGTTCGTACCCGTGGTGGTATAACTTCCCGCCTTGCCGCAAGGCTAGCGACGGCGGGTGCGGAGCTTCACTTGCCTGTTCTCATCGAAGGGCCGTTTCATTCGAGTGTATCTTCACAGTTGGCACAATGTAGCACCGTGGTATGCATTGCAGGAGGCGTGGGTATCACAGGAGTCCTACCACATCTACACCATTTTGGTGCCCCCCGTAACGGCCGTTTGTACTGGGGTATACGGGATACAAGCCTCAATAATATACTCGCCACAGAGATAGCCGACCTTCCTGCAAGCATACAGGTCGAAACTGTTGTTGGAAAACGTCTGGATGTGGAGTCTATTATACGAGAAGAGTTAGCCAGTCGTGCTTCTAATAGTCTAGTTGGAATCGTGGTTTGTGGCCCTGCGGGTTTAGCCGACGAAGTTCGAAGACAAGCCACAGATCTGACGAGACGTGGAGCTACAACGGCCCCATATCTTCTTATCGACGAGGCCTTTAGCTGGTAGTAATGTTCATTTAATTACAAGCAAAAGACTCTATTGACAAACAATGTAAACTTTAATGTTGTAACCATAGTTTCATATATTATATTTATTCGGGGCCTCGGGAACACCCACGCAATCACGAGATGAAACAATAATATATACAATTATCGTGAGGCTTGTAAAATATTATATGTACTAAATACACAGCTCGGGTACTTAAACTTTCTCATTTGCCAAATATTCGTTCATTTCTTCAAACATGAAAGGCTTATGACCCATATTGACTTGACCCTCACAAGCCGTCCCGCACGAGATAGTGCCGTACCAACGACCGTATACATTCTCAAATGCCACACCGGCGTATTCTCCATTAAGTGTATAAAATATGAGACCTTGATTTATATCAAGGCCGCAACCAACCGTATCACCTTTCCCAAATGTCAAATCCCCACCAGTAGCAGGGCTCCTTAGCGTATGTCGATTCACGGGCTTCGAATTGGTGAAAATGCCACCGGTTAGGCCTAGAAGCCCAAAAGAGCCATCGCCAGCTTCCATAGATGATCCTGTAGCCCGATCTAAACGGAAGAACTCTCCGGAAAACCCAACAAGGCAAATTCTATTATAGAGTATATAACGGTTAGTTTTCTAGCAGTGCCCTGAGCAGAGAGCTCAGAAAGCTAGAAGAAATCATACTAACAGTTTAGCGTCTCCTTCAACGAATGTCACCTCAAAGTAGCTTACTCCTGATGTAGGAGATACTGGCCTGTCAAACGCCACTGATTGCACATCGTCTCGTTTCCTGTCTAGGAGCCCAGAAACATCTGTTTGATAGTATTGAGTGTCAGATTGAGAAGACTCAGGAATCTTACTTTCTTTTAATTTCAATTTTAAGAGGAAATTTCGTAGCTGCAAAGACTCACCTCCGTTAGTGTCTGGTTCGATTGGGACCTCGAAAGTAAGGCTACTATTCGACAATACGACATCGGAAGCTTTTTGTAATGTCTGATGTCGTTCACTGACTAGTTTCGTGGGGTTCTGTAGTTGTTTCGGGGATTGATCAATTCCGACACCTCCATTCCGAGTTTTAGCCATTTCAGCTATTAAATCAAGTGCACCCTGCTGTTTGAAAGCGTTTGCCCACTCAACTACTGTCCAACCCTCAACATCTGCGTAGGTGTAGTCAATTCCACAATCCATCATACGTTTTACGAGGCCAAGGGCGCCCTTTGCTACCAAATAATGTAAGATAGCTGGGCTGGATGATTGAACCATCTCTTTGCTGGAGTCTAAGATAAGATGACAACAGGATTCATATCTTTTGATCTTCTCTTCACTCGTCTCTAGCCCTTCTTCGTCTCCAACACCAGATACTTTATTTTTAGCACGGTACCACCCAATCACTGTTTCTTCAAGACAATTCAGGTGCGCTGTTGATTTAGCGCCGATATCAGCGCCTGCCTTTAGGTACAAGGCTACCAAGTCGGCTCTGCCTTCTTGACAGGCGTCGAGCAAAGGAGTCCCCCCACTGTTTCTTTGCTTTGACGAGACGCCCGGCAGGTCTCTAACCTTTCCACCTAGGAATGTGCTTTTATCACCGAGTTCTGTAAGCCCTTCCTTCGGGATTAAGGGGATAAGCTCCTTCGCGATTTCTAGTCCCCATCTCAAGTTGAAGGTACAGTGGTGTAGAAAGTTTCGATTGTAAGAATCTCGCCGCACGAGATACTCTAGATTCTTGCCATATTTCTTTTCATACTCTGTCATGATAGCTTTCACGAAATCCCAATTCCATGTTTGAAAAGCCATCTCGAGTGGTGTTGTTCCATCCGGCGTCTCTCGATCGATAGCCGGATCATTCAATAGAATGACTTCAAAAATCCGAAGTGCCTTTTCATGGTCTGTATAGCCTTGGCCTCTCATTCGACGAGCAGCTGCCCAGTGGAGGGCAGAATAACCTCCAATAGACTCATCTTTAGGGTCAGCACCTCCTTCTAGTAGCAATCGCACGGCCCCTTCCATTTGGTAGGATATAGCAAACGGTAGCGGCGTAGCGCTATGGCTGTTTTCCGCATTCGGATCCAGACCCGCCTCGATCAAGGCTCCTACCATTTGATTCCGGACTCCTTCTGACCCTGCTGCAACCCAGTCGAAAACATGATGTAAAGCCGTGTTCTGTTCTAGATCTTTGAGTTTAACGTCAATACCAGGGTGCCTCATAAGAGCATCAAAGAGCGGCCAGGAACCAGATAAAGCGGCAATATGTAGTGCAGATCCATTACCAACTGCAAATCCACAAGGTTGGTTGACATTTGTTTCCTTCGGAATTAAAAGCTGACAGCAATCTTCGATTGATTTCACGAGCGGCTCATTGCCTGAGTCGCAATTCAAAACTAGCTGGCCCCATGCTTTCTGCCAGATAGTCTCGCCTGAAACTGGGTCGACTTTGGAAATGTCCGCGCCATGGTCTAGGAAAATCTTCCACAATTCAGGATTTATATCCGAAATCGCCAATGCCGTTGACCCGTTGCCGTCTTCGTCGTCAACACCAGCCAATTTATTTTCGAGAAGATATTCAACAATCATAAGAAGGCCACTCCTTGCAGCGATATGAAGAATACTTTGGTATAAAGTTGGTCTGTAGGCATCTAATTCCGATCTATTTAGTTGAAACTGGTTGTACTGGATGTTCCATCGCTTATAATTCTTAGGCTGCACAAATTCCGTGAACTTTCTCCAAAAGCGATCCCATTTTTCTCCCTTTCTATCCTCTACTGACCAAATGCTTGTGTTTCCGATAATATTCAGAAGGTTTATAAGGGTGTGAACCTCATACCGGTATTCTCTTTTTTCCTTCTGAAAGTTTAAGGTAAAGTTGCCTTGATTTCGAATTCCTTTTTCAAGGTAGGGTCGGGCTGGTGCATTCTGCTGGTGTTTAGATTTTTCAGTCGCTTCGACAATATCTCCTTTAATTTGAGAACCCAGATGTGAAATTTCTTGCTTTTCGTCATCTCGAGATGTATTCAATAGATCCTCAAAAGGCATGTGACGTTTCTGGAAATTTGGTTGGCTTAAAACGTGTACTACGAGTATCAATGTTAGCCCAAAATTCCTTCGGTGTTAACCCAGCCTATACAAGATATCCGGGCCAAACCTACGCTGATAAATTGCAAAATCAAGATATGCTTCTCGCTTGCTCTGGAAGCAAAGGGTGCCACCTCCATTGTTCGTAAACGTGGCTAGAAGTGAGGATCGTTGATTCAGTCCTGCAATTGATTTATCTGAAATTATTAATTCTGTAGCTCTCCTTTACATACCAGGTAGTTGCAGCGACACCTTAACGCCTCCATTCGTATCGAAAATAAAAGATGGGGTAATGGTTTTTAGCATAGCTTCTCTATCATCTGCCTTTGTAGCCTCATTTTCAACCCAATCTCGAACCGATTTGTGGACAACATCTATTGTGTAAGTTTCCCCGTCGATTCTAAAAAAGTCCCTTCCAATAACTTTCAAGTGATATATTGTTTCAGCAATTTCAGGGTCTTTGATAAGATCTTGAATGGTTTGCTTCGGCTCTTCAAAATCCTCGAAAGCTGGGGACTCAAACTCTTCGTTAGCATCAGTTGGTTCCGATCCGTAGATGTTTTTAAAATGTTCTGCAATTACTACAACGTTAACTTTCTCCGTCGCCCAGGTGACCCATTTTAGTGCTAAAAGAATTAATTTCCTCTCCTCTGCTCCCATGCTTTCGAGTCTTCCACGATACAGTGCGTCCATGCCATCGGGAAGCTTTTTTAGTTTCTGCGCTAGCGTGAGCGAAGACGGCTGTTCCAAACTAGCAATAACCATGGCTGCATACGTAAACATCCCATTCGCCTTTTGCTTGATGCTAGAGACAACTCTTGTTGTGCTTTCCAAAGATGCTAGAACTAGAGGGGATGTCTTCTCATGCCCAAAATTCCTGCGAGCCATTATTTTCCCAAGCGATTGTCGTAGGTATAATTCCATATCCTCCGATGTCCGTTTTTCTGTAACTGTCATGACGACTGTTTTTTCGCTCGCGACGCAATCAAGTTCATCTTCATCTGTAGAAAAAGTTGGAGCATATAAAAGCTTTTCAAACCCCATACCGATCCGACTCGAAAACATGAATTTTGTCGTCTTTGAAATGCTAACAAGATTCAAGATGTTTTGTACCAACCCCTGGGAATCATGATCAATACACTCATCGAGAGCGTCAAGTACAATATACACCGGTTTATTGAGAATTTTGATCGCCCTTCCTAATAAATCCACAAGTGCGCTGCAATCCATCGCCAAGTTTACAGTCGCACCTTCATCTTCCTGTTCTGGATGCCCCCCTATATTTGAAAACAATGCAACTAGTTGGGTGAGCTCTACTTCAGATTGTACCCAAGTCTCATCAATAATTTGAGCAACTAGGCTCTCCAAAGCCCTAAGAGTAATCTGGGTCGCATCATCTCCTTGTCTGAAAAAGAAGTAGCAAACAGGGGTCTTCAACCTCCTTGTAAGTCGCTGTAAGACACAGGACATTGCTACAGACTTACCAAAGCCTGGCTTTCCGCGGATATAGAAAACGTTAGGATTGATTTCTGAGGTTTGGAGCCCAGGTTCCTCCATGCTTTGCATCTGGGGCGGAGTTTGTTCCCATGAAAGATAATGCTTGTCCGTAAATAACCATTGGCATAAAATCTCCGAATGATTTGCCACAGGGTCGAAAATTGACCGAAATATTCGAATATGAGTTTCATTGGGGCGAAAGAGTTTTCGTCTTGACTGGAGATCTTGACGAAGTTTCAAAATGTCGAGTGTACCTTTGACAATGTGGATTTCATTCAACTTGTCACTGATATCTGAACCTTTTGTTATCACCAAGTGGCCCTGGATTTTGTGGAGATGACACAGAGGAATCTCATACCCTGGAGGGCTGGAAACAACATATTTTGCACTTCTTCCTTATCTCTTTGCATGCCTAAATTAATAAAACTTCGTCAGGAATTATAGCTTAGTGATGAATACTCGTAGATTGACGTACCCTGCCTAATATCTAAAATGCAGACAACAGTTTATCAGCTCTCTTAAACCCAAAAGTACTGTTCCCTCCGTGTAAATTCAGTCAATTACCTTCAACTGAATCCATAACTCGTTCTTGAAACGCATCATTCGCAATGCCCCTAACCTTTCGGTACTCATCATCGATTGCTTGCACTTTGTCCTTTAACTTAGGCGAAAATGCCTCCTTAAAGGTGCGCTCTATACAGCCCAATATTGTTAGATGTAAAACCCGTTCATGATAGGCAGTATTTAGTTCATGCCCAGTTCATATTGATCTCAGAAGGTCGACTTTGCAGGGCACTAACTGATTCGGCTCTCTCCTAAGTGATTCTTGATGTACCAGGAAAATTCGAATATGAGAGAAATAATATTAGGGATTCCTTGCATGATCTTAGATTCGACCTCTCTATCTCCGATCTTTTCCAAATTTCCATTATAGCGACTTTCGTAGATCCTACAAGTGAGAATTATAGAAACAATGCTGTTGCAGGCGTCAGAAATAACTCCACAGTTTTCGACGTCTGTCGCCGCAATCTAACGCTCAGCACCTAGGAGTTAGATATATGTCCGTTTGGATTAAGAACTCGGCATCAATATTTTCCGTTCCTTGATGTTTGAATCAAAAAGAAATAAAATATAAAAAAAGAAATATGATCTGACGAAACAATCCGATAGTTATAGGGAGGCTAAAGGCAGGGTTACCGTAATGAGCCCGCTAATAGCGCACCACGCAATGCTCACGGTTTCTGGGGCAAATTCCAAGAACGGGTCCGCAATACTCTTCACCATCATCAATCCATCGAGCAACTTTCGTACGAACCGACCCCCCTTCTTTTTGTTGTATTCGCCATCAGCCTTTGCCTGGAGTGATTCACAATTCGCTATAGTTCGACTTAGATCCCAGTTGTCCTTAAGGAAGTTGTCAATTGTTAGCTTTGTCGGTGGTTTTGAACTCTCTTGAAGAGATTTAAGAAATATTTCTTTTCCCTCTTTCCAACATGCTGAGTCCGTTGGTATCGTCGAGTCCATGTTAGGGTTCTTAACGAAGTATAAGCCGGTACAGTTGCGAATTAGGCGTTGTTTTCAATCTCGATATGTTGCAATTTATGCTACACCAGCTAGAACAAGAATACAGTCAACTTTAATTCTTCCCGATGCTACCTTACTATTTCGAATTCTCGCTTTGGATTGAATTGATTACTGAACAGGATTGGATTTGTCCGCTTTTTGATCTTGGAGCCCCGGTACTTGGAGACAACGGTCGGCTCGCAGACTGCGAAGCCAACCCCGCAGAACCCTTGCAATATTATTTCCCGATCCAGCTTACGCTTTTTTGGCAAGGCATGAGCCCCAACTAAAGATGCCAAGGATGACCATACGGGCGAGGTCAAATCTGGAGTAGTAATTAACGGCTTCATGCCTGCTGTGGCTTTTATTGAGATGACGTCCGGCTTCGTGCATTATTATGCATACCCATTTTTTAATATATATTCCGAAGTTTTAAGCAGGATTTGCTGCATATGGGCCTAATCGTCTACTATGTATGTAGCGGTATTTACGTTTAGTTTGGGTTTTTAGTCTATTTTAGTCTAGACGTCTGTGGAGTTCGGTTTTCCGTTGAGTTGAGCATATTGAGTATAGGACCTTTAATTGTATATGTGTACAGTACACTCTGGTCATTCAGGTTACACAAAGCGAAATATCTATGCCAGCTCGAGTACCCCATAACTGAGCTGAGCCGAATGGGTATATGATCAGCGACAGACCAGGTTGTGTCGCTACTGATACGTACACCCTCTCTGCTTCGACTTTGCGTCTAGGGCAGCAACTAATATCGCCTTCGGAAATCAGTTTGCTCTTGGTCAACTGATCGGTACTACAGTCATGATCATATTGTGATATAATATAAGGGCTTCTGGGGCCGAGACTACGCTGGTCGACGAAGCAATCTTATTTTGAATTTCTAAGTTTCCTCTGTTATTTACCTAATATTATATTTAGTGCAGTGTTTCTAAAATATTTACTACTGAATGTTCAGGTTCATAGTATTCGGACAGCAAGGTGGTTTGACGACGGTGAAAATGTTTGTGCATGCAATACAGGCGCTAACCTGACTAGCTTATTTCTAGTTCATATGACCGCAGATACAAACTTCTTGACTAGCTAGGCTGTAGATATGGGACCTAAATTCTTGAACTAGATTTGGATACGTGTTTCAAATACTAGTCTAGTTAATGCATCAATTGTGCATTACATTGCAAATCCTGTCAATGCTGTAGTAGCGGGTATCGTGACGTGTATACCTAATTTCTGTTGTTTTAAACTAGTTTAGCTATGTAGAAACATAGCCTGTCAACCTAGGCTGCTCTTTGAGATCTAAGCATCTGGTCCACCTTTTAACATCAAGGCGTTTCGGCCGATACTTTTGCTGCTTTTATACATTTGTCTCTTGAGTCTTATTCGTATTTCGGTTTCGGTTTCGGACTTCAAGTATACGTATACTAGATAATAGTAAAGCATGAGTTTCACATGGTAGTCTATACGAGTAATCTGGGAGGAAAGACTTGTTTCTCAATACTTTGGCATATTTCCCTTTTCATTGTTAGCTCCAGACTTGATAGCAAGCGCGAGAAACCATGAATCATTATCTGCGGCTTGTTAGCTAGCTTTAGTATACACATACCTAGACATGTCATTCTCTAACTAAAGTCGTCACGAAGCTAGAGCTCGACTAAGATCAATGTCAATAATATACTAAAAACTGCCCCACGCTTTCTTCAGATTGGATTAGGTCATTCGCGTATTGGAGGCCATAAAGCTGTTTTTCGTTGTGGTGTCAGGAATTTACCAGGGTTTGCCGGTGAGCCCCTCTTCTACCATAAAAATAGAAGGCACGATGGCGCAGTGCATCTGAAATTTCAAGCATCTATGCGATCCCATAGGCTGACAGCTTTCAAAGCCGGATTCATGATATCGAAGCTGCCCATGCCCGGTTTTCTTGCATCATAGGGAACCACTCTGTCGGTGTCGCTCAAGTCATATGATTTAGCCTTTCTTCAATTCTGATTGATCTCGCATTCCAACATGTATGAGGCATATATAGACATACTTTTCCCAACTACTTTCAGCAGAACGCCGAATGAATCGCTCCCATTTGTCAGATCTGAGGCTGCACATGAGCTTCTGCATGAAGGTGAACAATGGTGTGTTCTATGCAGGCTTTTGGTTTACGAGCTGATGCCCATGTGACGATCTTCACAAAGCTATGCTCCATGTATGCGGGCTGCTGTGCTGTGTAAGTGACAAGACGGGCGCACGGCCTGTTAACGATTCAGGTGGGTCCTCTCGGATGCAATATGGCGCTTACATGCCGTCGTCATTTCACGACTCTCTCTGCTCGCGAAAACGGCTTCAATTTGGAAGTTTGCAAAAAGTCTCACCACCAAACTCGATAATTGTCGATTAATTATCAAGGCTCCAAGCTCGTTTTCTAAGCCTTCGACGAGTTTCAGATGAAGATTGTTCTGCGGAAAGATTCTGGGAAACCCGCTGCGCATCACCGGCTCAGGACACCATCTTTGTTAAAACAAGCGTTCGAGAATCAAACAAGCGAGCACTTTGTTTTGCAAATCCCAAGACTTTTCCTACAAGGCAACTGAGAGCTCTGGATCAGTTTGCTTTGATCAAGGGGGATACAAGTTTGGGAGGGGTTTACCCACACCGAAAGGAAAATGTCTTCCGATCTTGATCTGATTTCATTGATTCACCTTCTTTCAACGGGTAAATTTTCGCCATCGATGCGTTCTGGTTGGCTCAGTTCTCATATTGACAGAGCTGAGGAGTCTTCTCGAGGGGAAAGAGACTTTTCTTGGCCGAAAGTGCCTGAGTAGTGACATCCAATCAACCGAAGCCTTACGCGCCTGCCCCCAGTCAATATAACGCGGGAGCATGGTAACTAGACCGGGACAGGGCAAGTTCCATCTTTGGCTTGGGCATGGGCATGGGGTGCTCTCTGAGAACGGACCCCGCTTTCTTTCGAGCACCACGATCCTATGCTGCGACCATGACAGAAACAAAAAGATAATCGGTGAAGGGTAGGGACCTAATATATACCATAAAGTAGGCATCCAGGATATTCCTTTGCGGAATAAATGAAGTTTGGTATCTTCGATCTGTTCGAGCCTGGTCGGCCGGATTTTCATAAGCAGACGGTATCGACAAGTGTAAATATCCGACAGACTGCGACAAAACGGATGTGGCTTTGGTCATATATTCCGTACTTCGGTTGACCTGAGCGTCGTCAGGGCTCAATTTCGGCTTAACATAATTTATAACACGACATTTTACGGCATCGCAATCTTAATTAAAGGCTGTTTGCTCTTCAATGCCTTCAATGAATGCTCTGTAACTAACTAGATTATAAGGAGGAACGAGGGCTTAAAAGATAACTGGTTATCTGTGAGACACTTGGCCAATTGGTACCACTGGGTGGCCGACTAGGAGCCCTAAGATTCAGGGGAATTTAACCTGACCCTCATACACTTGTGGCCGTCGCCTATTCACGTCAAGATGTGGTTTCGATTCCATCCAGCCGTCGACGTCGAAAAACGCCATTGCCAATTGCTATCAAGGGACGGCCTAGCGTTTATGCATCTCCTATTCTGGATATCTCTTTTGGAAGCGGTAGAGGAATAATCGCATATCTTTAGTTTGTAAATACGCGCCGTTTCTATATTCCCAACGTGCAATTGGAGCACAACTGCATGAAGAAGTGGGCCAAAAATTGGAGCCGAATCCACAAAGACGATTCCCCGTTACTTGGGATCCTGTACCGCACTACTGCATTTCGCAGGTGATTCGACCGGGACTGAAGTCTCAATACTTATCCGGGCTGCACCAATTGACGAGGCGTCAGTGTCTTAAAAAAAAGAAAACCAAAGGAGGTTTGTGAGGCCAGTAAATAACGTGAGGTCTGTTGAAAATTTAGACTATGAACGGGCCGAGAAGATTGGGTGGTCGCCCCATGTCACCCACAATGAAAAAGCAAAGCGAGACTCAAGGAAGCAAGCGGGCCCAGCCCATAAGGACTTGTAACTAGGACACTTGAACGGCTTGCATATGCAGAGAAGGGAAGGAAAATTGGAAGAGGGAATCAAGACTAGACAGGCATCAAGACATTTATTATCTGAAGCTGCCCCCCGCCTGCCTCCTGCTTTTACGATGCTTTTTGTATTTCGCTAAGTTAACTGGAGTCACGGACTCGACAATACCCCTCAATATCAGGCGCTGTTTTTGTACCTGCCTTACTTCCTTCGCATCCGATTTTTCGTCTAACCAGCAGGCATTGGATGCATGCATATTGAAATCCAGACGACTGGATCAGCCGCCCTTACATTTCCTCGCCCCGTTGGACATCCTTCTAATTCCCTATCTGTTGCATGTCGATCTCCTGGACTGGGTATCTTTAACTTGGGTATTAATTAGTCTGAATCCCTTTTACCGATTCCGTTGAATATTGAATCCTGAGTGGTGAGAAGTCCCGAACAAGGCTCGTATATAATTTGCGAACATTGCCGCATTGAGCTCCGCGCAGCTGGACATACCATCGCCTAAACCCGGGAAGCAGGCACAACCAAACTCGCAAGTAGGAAAAGGGTGCCCTTAAGAAAGATCTCGAGCCAGGCGAAAATATTCCAGGTGGTACTATTTTCGTCTGCACTCTCAACCTGCATAATCGTGTTGGACAAACATCAGCTGCACACGTTTAGCCTGTGTAAGCTGTCAGGTTCAGACCTGGATCGTTGGCTGCCGACCTGACGACAATTTCGCAGGGATTTGTTAGCTGTCCTTCGACTACCTCAGGCCAACTACAGTGTTGAAAGAGCCGATTCGATTAATTCAGGTGGCCACGAGTTCCGTTCCTTTTGCTGGAAGCAAGCATTAATTGGATGCTAAGAGAATACCGGTCCGGTTCGTATATATAGCTTTCCTTGGCCCCACAATATTTCATCTTCGCTCCGACCATCTTTTAATTCCTTTCTGTAATCTGCGAGGCATTCTTTGCCGTGGCCAGACCAGACCTCACACGATCGAATAAGGCCTAACACTGTTTGTCAGAGAATGAGATAGGATTCCTCGATTTATAGTTCGACAGACACCAATATCGTCCTTATCCCTTCCTTCCACAAAATAGATCTCGAGTCACCGTGAAAGAGGTCAATTCAGACAGAATGGCAGACAAGCCACTTATGAGCCTGGCTCCTTGCGCGAGCACAGCATCCTTATTCATATTCGCACAGGGCTCGTCAATTGCCTGCGTGAAGCACGATACCCTTCAGCTTGAACGTCGATTCGAAGCACACGCCGCCGATATTACATTAATTGCTGCCGATACCAGTGCTGAAACTGGTGATGGTCAGGTGATAAGTTTGGACGTCTCAAAAGAGGCGGTGGTTTGGGATTCAGGATCGGGAGAGGAAATCTCCAGGTTTACAGCGTATGAAGAGATTCGGGTGGCCACATTCCTGAGAAATGGAACTATCGCCCTTGGTAGGCAACACATTCATACCTGCAACTATGATAAATAACTCGAGCAGGGGGCTTACCAGGATGGTGATTTCTAGGTGACAATATGGGCAACATCATCTTGTTCGACCCTGTTCGGTCAGAGGCTGTCTCTTGCCGGACGTTTCAGATGCCAATATGTGCGCTGGCACCATCCGCGGATTCTAAGTTTTTTGCTATTGGGTATGCGACCTCATTCCATTACCCCCCTCTTTCTACTTATATTATATCGTTTTTGTCAATTCAAAAATTATCTCGAATACTAACTGGAATCGTTTGATATATAGTTATCAAAATGGTACAGTAATTATAGCCACTCTCATGCCGACATTTGTCATTCACCATACTCTAGCAAACGGGAACGCCTCTTCGTTCCCGGTAACAGTGCTAGCATGGCATGGTTCATCGTCAAGACAGAAGTCGGACATGTTGGCTACCCAATCAAATGATGGTGATCTTAAAGTCTGGAGTATTGCAAAGCCCATCGATGGAGGCGAGGTTGCGAGAGTGGTCCGTGTTTTAAAGAAACCAGATGCATATCCAAGCCGCAGGAACTGGATGGCATGGTCAAGAAACGGACGCATTTTGCAATATTCGGATTATGATACTTCAATATGGGATGTCAGGACGAAGAAAGTGGCATGGGAGTCTGTTATGAGCAAATCGAACGTCTTGGCTCTGTCTGTATATGGACCAAAGGGCCTTATGTTCACTATCGACAGACACCAGAATGTGCAGCAGTACAATCTGTATCCTCCGCAGATGGTAGCTAATGTTCAACATCTACCGGCCAATGCGCCGCCTTCTCCTCCAATGTCGGTTTCTCATGACAATTCGAGGCCAAACAGCAATAGGAAGACAGAGATGGAGCGAACGGAGAGCCAGAGGTCAGTGGCTATGGAAAGATCTGACAGTAAAGCCTCCAAGTTTTCTCAGGATGCTCGAGCAATTGCAGCTATGAAGAGGGACGAAACAAGAACCCCCCTCGGCCAAATTGCCCATGAACTTGAGATGTTGGAGGAACTGGAAAAGTCGCACCTGAAATCCAGTAACATGGCGAGGTCTGATTCTATGCAATCTTCAGGCACTGGAATTAGCCATCATCAAAAATCCGCGTCAGTTGCTTCTTCTATTAAATCATATACGTCAGGCACAGGAGCTAGCGACACAACTTCATTGGCCTCTCCAAGAGGATTTGATGATATGGCCACCCCGAGAAGGTTCCATCCTCTCTCTCAGGAAATTGGCATGTCTCCAATCACACCAAAAGCCCCATCGGATGCTTTGCAACCAGTTCCATATGCGCAGCGCAATGTGAATGGCGACCCGCTACCAACTCCTGGCTTGCCACCTTCCAATGGTGATTTCTATGACGAGCAGTTGTACATGGTCCCTCCTGTTGGACAGCTTGAGCTTTTCCCCAACTTGAAAGATAAGCTTGCTGGTATCACATATAGAACACCAATGCACACTGATCGCGCAAGATATGACGATGAGAGAAGAAGGGAGATGTTTTCGTCTGTTTTTGGATTCGAGGGTGATGCAGAAGCTCTAATTAGAGAAGAAAGTAAGTTCAGTCCTTCGCAATCTATGAGTGTCAAGGTTTCTAACAAGATATAGTTGCCCAGCATCCCGCGCGGTCTCTACAATCGCTTATGCTCCGACTTTGGCTTCATGACCTTGATGCGAACGCTCTCAATGTTTTGATGGGATCAGAAACTTTGGTACCAAGCGATTGGCTGTTCATCGCCTTGTCAGCAATGGGTGGTCAGAAATCCTGGCAACAGACGGTTCGAGTCTTTATCATGAGACTCATCCAGAAAGGCGATGTTCACAATGCTGTCATGTGTTTCCTGATGATTGGAGAGCGAGACCAAGCTATTGAGCACTATGTCAGCAATAAAAAGTATATGGAAGCAGTTCTCCTGACTGCCCTGATGTACAAAGAATGGAGGAGGCTCTCTATATTAGTCAGGAAATGGGGAGAACATGCAGCGGAGAACAATGAGGGGTCACTAGCCATGAGATGCTTTGCTATCACAGAAAATATCCCTGATCCGGTTCCAACGCCGGCTCCAACAACCGGAAACCACTCTAGAAAATCTTCGCTATCTGGAAGTATAAAGTCGCCCACATCTCCACAGAAAGCACAAAACGTCCTTTCAAAACCGGAGCGTCCAATTTCTCCAAGAGTCGGATCCTCTGTGCGCAATACAGCTGCCCGTCTGTTTGGGTTTGGAGATAAAGACAAAGAAAAGAAGCATACCAATTCTAATGAAGCAAATATCATGGACATGCCATGGAACAGGCCCATCGACGATCAGCGAAATCAGCCTCAACCTAGCAGGATTAACACAGATGTTACCCTGACCGGTGCGGAAGCAGTTGATAAGAAGGAAATGATTATTTCCGGACCTATCAATACTACCCCTGTAGATGGCAGAATTGGTACTCCCGCTCTCCAGAGAGTTGCTAGTCCTGGTTTCCCAGCACCAGGAAGAGTTGGCAGCCCTGCACTTTCGATGCACAATACTAACAATCTTCCTGTGCGCACGATTTCACCAAAACCTCCTTCGATTGTTGATCGAACTGCTAGCCCGAGACCAACAATCACTGGGTCACAGCTACCACAAAGGATCGAAAGTCCTGGCCCTGAACGGATGGCAAGCCCTAGTCCTGCTCCGTCAATGGCTGTTTCAAACTATGGCCCATCTAGGGTTGCTAGTCCAGCTCAGGACGGCGGTTTAGCCGTTCCACAAAGGACGGGAAGCGCACTTTCTCAGCGCAAGCCTCCAGGCCTCCATATCCAACTATCTTCATTCCATGACGTTCTTGCTTCTGAACCTAGTCCCGAGTTGATTAGAACACACCCCAAGGGCCCCTTACACCAGGCAAACAGATCTGTGAGCAAACTTCATGAGGTTGAGGTTCCGGAGGAGGATGAGATCCCACCACCACCACCAATGCCAACCAGGAAGGCCTCGCTCTCCCAAGCTTCTAAGCCTATCCAAAAGTCACCACCTCCACAGGCTCCTGCTCCCCAAACTCGTCGCTATGATGACTCCCCCGAAGAGGATTATGATATCAGGACCCAGAGTTCTGTTCAACCGGTGAGACGAAACACGGTCAACAATAACAATAGTAATAGTCGGCATCAACAGCAATCCCACCACCGCAGACAAGAGTCTGAGAGGGATCAGAGCTTTGCTGAAGATTCCTATGATGACGATGATGATTCTGCCCAGGAAGAAGCTGAAAGGAACCTCGAAGCTAGACGTCGCAGCTTGGAGAGACTTGAGCAGGAGATGGAGAATGTTAGACTCCAAAGGGCTCGTAGCATTACCAGGCAGAGGGATACCGATAACAACTCCCGTGGAGGTGTTCGCAGAGTTAAATCTCCTGAGCAGACCAAAGGAGGTACTATTCGCGCCAAACCCAGGCAACAGCACCAGCCTGTGGATTTCACCACCGAGGAAGAGTACAGTGAAGAGGAGAGGAGCAAGCCTGCACCAAGGAAAGCGTATGGTGGCTATGATACTTCAGAGGTATCCGAAGTATCCGAAGTTGATGAAAGATATTACAACCAACGGACCTCCACACGACCTCCAGTCGGCAGGGTACCATCGAGGACGCAGAATCGGACCCCACGCGTCGCTTCTAGGAATGGCCATCGTGCACCACCTGCTAGAGTTCCTTCTCGAAACCAAGCGAGGACCCCCGCGAGGTACAGGGAGGAAACTGAGGAGGATGAAGAAGAGGAATACGCCCCGCGAAGGGTTCTTTCGAGAACACAGAATCGTACTCCCAAGCCCCGAGCCTATGAAGCTGATAGGGCGATGTCCCCTCCACAGAGAGGTGCATCCAGGAATACCAATAAAACCCCTCGCCCTCGCTACGAAGAATTTACCGAGGAGGACGAAGAGGAGCTACCTCGCCATCGGAAGAAGACGCCAGCCCCCCGCCAACACGAAGAATTTACTGAGTCGGAAGCGGATGACTTCAGGGCACCTCAAAGACAACCCTCGCGAAACCAAATCCGCCCTGCTCAGAGGTATGCTATCGAAGCTGAGTCTGAGTATGAAATACAACAACCTCCTTCTCGTTCAGCGAGTCGAGCTGGACCACCTCGTTCGAAGACTCCCCTAAGCGCTCTCAACAATAAGCCACCATCCCGAACTACTACTCCTTCCGGCGGCCACAGACGCGCTCCCTCAGTTTCTAGAAATGAACCTCCACTTCCTACCTCCGCAGTTGCCAATATCGCCAAGGCTACTTCCCCAGTTCCTGACTATGATCGTCACGACTACGACCTTCCAGCTCTTGCCGCTGCAGCCGCTGCCGCAAAGAACACATCTCCACCACCAGAGCGGAAAAATTCCATCCTTGACAACGACCGTAAACCATCGCACCCTCAAATCCTTCGCGCGAAGCTTAACACCCTTCCAGCGATCCCGCAATCCCCAATGGGTCTCCCAGCTGATCTTCCAACTCATCCTGCATTTGCTGGAAATATGCGAGCAACCACTGGCCTAGCTCGTAAACCCGCTGCGCCAAAGTCAGACGACATCAGAACCCAAACTGTCAGCATCCAAGGTAACGGTGGTCCCATGATATCCCCTGGAAAACAGGCGCTGCGAATGCACACCGGACCGGGTGGCGATGATATGATTACTGTTGGCCTCGAGGGTGTGGTCATGGATGACGGTGGTGCTCCTGTCGAGGCTGCTCCTCCACCAAAGGCGGGAAGAGCTACACCCATGGGACAAAAGATCTGACTCTCATTTGAGTTTTTCGTAACTATCTAAGATTATCGCATTCATTTAGCCTCTTCTCATATATCGTTTTATATATTTGGATTTTCCTTTTTATATCTAACCCTCCAGCGACACAATTTAGCGGCTGCAATGCAGTTCAGCGAGTCTACACGCGTAGCACAAGAGCGCAATTTTCCTTTGTCACTGATATCGACGTTGCATCGCCATCCAATTATATAGTTTATATACCTGTACCGCACTTCATAGTCCACCTTCTTGCCTTTTTTTTCTTCTTTTGGTTTTAACTTGGCTTCTTTCCCTGATATGGTATCAATCATGTTTTGGGCCCTCTTTTTCTTTTTTTGGCTGGCGATTTCTTTCTCCAATGGATAGCATAGTATGGTTGAACATTAATTTTCTTTGGTTGAATGGTTTTACATGTATACACGCGAGATTGATTTTTGGAATCCAGGACTCCTTTGCGCGTGAGGCTTTTCATCTCTTTCATCCATAAACTACTACTATATATATATATTGTAAGCTTGTACACTTGGCCGTTGCGATACGGCATTATAGCTGTCCAGGGCAAGTCTCCTGTCTATAGGCTATAGGCAATACATTTTATAAATTTAGTTCAATATTACTACGTGCCTAAGCATCCAACATTTTTAGCATCATGTCTTCGAACAAGGATAGTTCCATATCTGAAATATTTTCATGCTAATTTCTGCTTTCTAAAGCAGCATTTAATATCCACATCTTGTTTATGGTATCCATTGATACACAGTGCTAGGAGAGCTAGCTTAGAAAACATAATAGAAATGAAAGAAGACCGTACGCCAACCACTATATCAATGTACCGAAATTCAAACACCCCCCGAAAACGCCAAAAGCAGCAAGTATGCAACGCTTCCAAAACAATCGAGGAAAATGCATGAGATTAACCCACCTGGTTTGGACTGTATGTCTGTCCAGCGGCGCAAACCCAACCCAAGCTGTCCTTCTTAAAATGCTCACGTTTAGTATCTTCTCTGACTCTTCCTCTTTGAATCTTCCTTCTGAGGGCTCTTTGTATTTCCTCCGCTCTCCCCAAAACTAGGGTTTTCAGATAATCTCTTCGCTTCTTCATCCACATCGTACACATCGCTCATCAAAAAGTCCTCGACACCTCCTAAAACATTCTCCAAATCATAACTTGACGGTTTATCATCTACCAAAGCTGCAACACCGGTCACCTTCGCTGGGCTGACTTGATACTGACTTTCAACTGGTTTCATAAATTGACTAAAAGTAAATGGGCTGATTGGCTCTGTGCCTTCAACGCCGATAGCGTCGCCAATGCTACTGCGGCTTTGCGTACGGGTTTTTTTGGGTTGCTCGGGAGATCGTATGGCACGAAAGGGGGTAAATTCAATGTCGTTCTCTGTAGTAAAGAATGGTCCTAGAGTAAGGTCAACCCGACTGGACGCTGGGCTGATTATTTTTGTTGATCCAGGGCTAGATAAGACTTGTTCTGTGTTTATTGGTGTGAAGCCAGTGCTTGGAAGAAAAGGTGGTGGTAGTGGTGCAGCAGGAGAAGTAAATCTATAATTTATTGGGGCAGCGATCGCCTTCTTAAAGCTCTCCGGAATCGAAACATGACTGGTTTGGGTACCGGCAGGAGGTGTCCTGGGGACAGTTGGGAGAACTTGTTTTGGGGAAGATTCTATTGGTGCTAAACCCGGGGCCCCGGGGCCTACAGGATCATTGTCTATCGGCGGAATAGCCGTTGAAGGAACCGATTCGAGAATCTTCTCGGTTATATCGACCGGAGGGTTTTCTGATATTTCCTTGTTAAGGTTAAGAGATACTTCGGTTTCATTAGCATCCGCGATACCTGCAGACGATTCGGGATGCGTTGCTGAAATATGGCTAATAGTCTCTTCAACGAGAGCCAAAGGAATAGCTTCAGAAACACCGTTATTTAAAGACTCTTCGATCTTTCGGTAACGACTACTTGAAATCTCAAGAGTCGATTCCTCCTCCTCAGCTTCTCGAGGTTCTTGGGGTGGGCTAGGAGGAGCACCTGAAGCGATTATTTCCGGGTTATCTGTCGTCGGCGAGGGTTCAGCAGTAGTTGCTTCCTTGGAAGTGGCAGGGACCTCTACATAGCTCTCTTCGGATGGAACTGTTGTTACTGCAGGAGCTCGAGCCTCCGGTGGACTAGACGGCGGGGGCGAGCTCAATTGTGAGGATCTTTTGTGCTGTCCGTCTTTCAATCTTTCCTGTAGTCTAATGCCAGATTTATGGATTTCACGCGTCGGCTGGGATTCCGCCATTGGCGATACGTCATTGATCATTGGCATGGGGGAAATGGGTGAGAATTCCGCCATCTTTTGGCGGAGCCGGGAGACGGGCGTCGCAATTTTCCTATTGATTCGTTAGAGCAATGGTAAATTTAACATCGAGGAAAGAATTTACCTATCATGGAGAGAAACTTGAGGTTTCTCCTCCTCCACGCTACTATTTTTGAGCGCTGTCAATCTGCCCAGCTTAGCCTTTGTTCCAAACTTTTTCGGCCTAGGGCCGGGACGAAAAGTAGGCTCATTCTCTTTAACAGCGACATCCACAGGCGGTTTTTCAATGGCTTCTTCCACCACAGTTTCCGGGATATTTGGCGTCGCTTGTTTGGTATGACTGAGGAGAGCAAGTGGGCTGGGTGGTAAAGGTGTTGGCATCTGAGATAATCTCATTGGAGGCTGGGTTACTGTCTCCGGCAGCCCTGGCATAGGTTCACTAGACATGGATTTTTCGATAGGGCTCTCAGGAACCATATCCGTATCCTCATCCTCATCTCCTGCTTCTCCTGGTTTGTCTGGAATCTCTTCGAGGGCCAAAGCGTTCATCAAACCCGGTGGCTGCTCCCTCTGAGCAGTACCTACGTGTTGCTCCTCAACAGGGGGCGAGCTTTTATCGCAGTTCTTCAAAGGTAAACTGGAAGTAAGTTTGTGAGGGGTTGGATCTTGAACTCCTTGATCTTCGCACGACCGTTGCTTCGGACGACGCAGGATTTTAGAAGATGCAGCTGTTCGTGCAATCATGTCGTTCATAGAAACACTGTGGCCGAGGTCGCTCCGCCTCCTATGAACAGGCGCGGGTTTCAAGGCCTTTCTAAGAGCAGCATCCGCCGTTGGGCTTGTAGGAGCTTGACCTTTATGACTATTCCGCGTACCAAACTTTGGCAGTGAAATCTTTAGGGTGGTTGCAGGTGATTGATCACGTCCGTGTCTCGGCCCGATTTCATTCCGGAAGAAGTTCGTAGTATCGTCCAAGAGCCCACTGTCATCTATCCCTAACTCTTTGCTGATTTGACCGAGTCTGTCCAGGTCAATATTGAGGGTACTATGTCCTTGTATTTGGCTTGAACGCAATTCAGATGCTCCTGCTTCCGCAGAGCGACTCCGGGTTCTTTCCACTTTGTTCTTAGCAATAGATTTGCCATTAATTTGGGTCTTTGCCTGAGGTTTTAATTTCTGGACCAATGGAGAAGTATAATCGCTATCAAATACGGTAGCGTCGTCCAATAGTAGCCCGGATGCCTCGCCCCCACCCGTGAGATCTATAAAACTACTCTGAGAGGACATTTGCGTAAACTGATTTGGCTTGTTTCTTGGCGATGTAGCTGGAACAATGGATTCTTCCTGCGAGTGCTTATTCAAGCGTACTTTGGTCGTCCTCACTGAATCGGCGGTCGCCAATAACAAACGAGCTGACTTCCCTGTTTCAGGTGTAGCATTTTTAGAAGTTTGTAGCGGGCTTGATGGGTAATGTATCGGTGTGGAAGTGACCCCTATCGACGGCTGGCTATCGACTATGGATGGCTCTTCGTTTCGCTGTTGGGACAAGAGTTTTTGAGAGAGAGTAATTCGATGGCCCTTGTCCCTTCGAATGGGGACTTTGGGAGACGTTGTCAAAGAACGTATATCTGCTAGAGCCTCCGACCTCCGACGCTGCCCCCGTATTACATCCTTTTTCAACCCTTCAGCTACGATTTCCAGCGGAGTTCCGACAACCTTGGCCTTTTGTCCCCAATAACTCTTTTCTAGCGGACCCCTCAATGTTGTCGAATAGAGGTTCAGTCTCCGACCACAAAGATAATCTCTAGCGTTTCTCTCAATCCTGCGCCTTTTCACTTCCCTTTCGTAGTCGTCCGAGCTCGGGTACTCTACCCCACTAAGACGATCTTCCTCGTCGACCTCATCTGATGGGAAGGCGGTTTTGTCACCGTTGATCGGCACATCAAAGCCTAATGGGCCAACTGTGACTTCTTGACCTCGCTGGTAAATAGAAAACCGTCGCCTTTGATGGGACATTGCTTTGGCCTTTGGTGGTGAATCCGCCATGGCGGGCCGAGAAGGCATTTTGGTACAAGGTAGGTTCGACGCCTGCTATGCGTTTGGCAATTTCATTCTTGAGAGTAAAGTATCGCCCCTGAAAACTATGAGCTCGCGTCGTCAGTTGAAGTTGGTAGGGGCCTATCAGGGGTCAGGCGGGGGGGGGGGGTCGCGGATGTATTTGGAGCTGTCGATGGAGTTTGAACGAATTCGTCCACTCCAGGTCAGGGTTCGCGTGAAGTTGGTTCCCTTGGTGATATGGCTCCGAAAACACTCTTGGCGCTCTGGATTACAACGTCCAACGCGGCTCAGCGCTGGCACAGCTGAGCTAAGAATCATGATATCAACAGGAAGAACATTTCAAATATTTCCCTTTCCATGACTAGGGCTTTGGAAGGGATTACACTAAGACTAAATACCTAAAAGTGCGGCTTCAATACGATGCTATCTGTCAGGAAGCTATTAAATTGACTCCCAAAGCTCGAAGTACACAAGCGGGTCGGAACATAAATTAAACGAACAGACTGGCAACATAACATAGTATGCATAACATTAACGAAAGCATCAAGATTTGATCCTCGACATGCAAACCAACCATCAGAGCTCTAACGATATGTAAAGCGACTCTTGTCAAATACCGGCCAATGAGTGCGGCTTCCTTAACATGTGTGAATCTTTACTCCTGGAACTGAACACCAGTCAATTGCTCCGTAATCTCCCAGAGTTTTTTGGCGCTATCCTTATTCACAGCATAGTCCTTCCTGCGAGTCACGTCCCCAATCTGACAATCAGCTAGATACAATCCATTATGGGCTATGGAATAAATTAGCATGGTATAACTCAACCACGAAATTCGCATGCACATAATGTGAAAAGGAATACTTACGCTTAAGTTCTGGATCGAAAGCAGCGACTACGTGAGTAGAGGAACATTGTTGCAAAGTCTTCATGGAAACATCGATTCCTGGCTCGGGGGCCTTCCCAGAAGCCACTGCGCTTGATATTAGTACTAATGCAGCTTATAGCATCTCAGGATGGGATTGCTTACAGAATTCATAAATATCATCCATGGGAATATGAAGACCCAAGTGCGTCTCTCCGCACATTCCCGGGTGCAAAGAGTAACTGTATATTCCCTTACTTCCGAACTTCTCAGCAAGCCCTACACTGAATAAAACATTTGCAGTTTTACTCTGTCCGTAGGCATCCCACATGTCATAGTTCTTGCCATCGTTGAAGTCGAGGGATTCCCAGTTGATATCGTGGACTTTGTGGCCGTTCGAAGAGACATTCACAATGCGCGGGGAACGCCCTTGTGCTGCCGATGCGAGAATCTTAGGGAAAACTTGGGCGGTCCAGACGTAATGAGCTAAGTGGTTGACAGCGAATTGAGACTCGAAGCCATCGACAGTCTTTTTGTACGGTGTGGCCATGATGCCGGCCTACATAAAATCATATGGTTGTTAATTTCTCTAAAGGCCCTGAGGATTTAGAAGAACAAGAGAAAATTACATTGTTGACAAGTGTGTCAATGATTTCTACATCTTCCCACCCTGCAACCTCTTGGCCCGCCTTCTTTGCAGCCTCTAGGGACGAAAGGTCAAGTTGAACATATCGGACGGGAACGTCTGGGGCTTTCGAGTTGATGGTTTTGACAACCTCCTCAAGTTTCTCAACGTTACGACCTGCAATAACGATTAACTTGGGCGAATGTGTACTGATTGCGTATGCAAATTCCGACCCAAGGTTCGATGGCGACACCCCAGTGATTACGACTATATATATATATATAAATGTGATCAGTCAGGCGCTTTTGGCGTATTAACTTCTTCGGGGAACTTATTGGAAGCTCATACCCGTCTTTCCTACAATTTCATCGTGGAGGAACTGGGCGACATCGTCAGCATTGGTGGATTTGCTATAGTCGGCTCTAGAGAAAGACATTTTAAATGGTGGATTGATGTATATGGGAAACGCAAAATGCCAAAAAAAAAATATTATAGAAATTATATTTTTTTTATCGATTGACCTAGAAAATTAATAGCAGAGATACTTTGTTTATAATAGATAAGTCCGTAAGTAACAGGTTTATTGCAGTGAATAATGATAATAGTTAGTTCCGATCCCACAATTGAGGGGGCAATGGCTTTATATACACCCGTTTGCATGCTAGAATATTAAACATAAAATCTATCTCTAGAGCTGGGTAGTTTTTTGGTCTGCCTCTAAAAGCCTAGCTGAGGTACGTACTGGTCTCGTTGTACCCAGTATGGTTCTGTCTCCAACGCAGCCAGCCAGCGTTAGGCATATGGTTTTCGTCATCGTATACTATCCTCCGGATATTTGAACCGCATAAATCCACCCATGTTCGCGCTTCCCGTTCGCGGTAGCAATCACCACCTTCGTCGTGGTTCGCGGTCTTAAATCCTTACATACTCCGCCGCTAGGATGGTACTAAGGACTTATGTAACGCAACTCCGTTCGCCTAGTCCGAAAACCCCTCCCGTCTAGCGTTTAAAGTGACATAAAAGCCGTAAATTCCAGTTGTTGGGTACTGGTCGGGAGCAAATTACCACAAAGCTTAAGGCCGTAAATCAAGAATACGTGCCGCCACAACTGGACTTTCCAGTACTGCAATATGACAAAGGGTTCCCGGACTTTGAATATAGAATATTACAACCATATCGATTCGATTTAATTCCCACAATGTCTGAATCAGAGCCCGGGCCCTCAATGCAATCCAGTTTCAATATTAATATGTGCGCAACACAGTTGCCCATCAAGTCGCCCATATGATTAAATATATACGGATACTGGTTTGCATATGGGAACTACGTCACAAATATCCTCCAAACCCTCAGCAGTATGGCCAGCTGACGTCACCTAGAGGGAAAAAAGATACGAATGCCCTGTAGGCCTGTAGTTTTGTCGCTAGGCCCCCAATGTACCTGAAGATTTCCAAGTTTCGCATCTCTCTATCGACTGAATTGTAAAGCGCCAATGTATGTACTTACCCCGCTCGCACCATGCATCGTGTTAACTTCCCTTGGCCGCATCGCTTCTTTTTTTTTTTTTTTTGTTTTTGATAAAAGCCCCTCTACATGTCATTGATCAATTGAGCGAATAGTAATCAAGTTTATCTGTACAATCTGTTATCTCATATATGTCCGAGTTACGGATTACATGCTCAAATCATTGGTACTTGACGGGGGCCTGGGTTGTCGTCATTACTCATACTATAATATATATACGTACTCGAGTCGAATGGTATATCAGGATAGACGAAAATTTATACGAAGGTACTAACTCACAAAGCCCTTCTCATGAGTTTTAAATTTTAGGGAGCGTGAAATAATTACTCGGAGGGTGGGTAGCTACAGTTGAGGAGTCTGGCGACGAGACAAGGGTAGCTATAAGCTAGTTAGTGAGATGTAAGCGAAGATGCCAGGCCTCCGTATACATATGCATGTGCCCAACTAGCTCTCACGATATCGATCACATAAAGGTAAAATATATACCACAAGAAGTCGACATATACGATTATCTACAAATTTGTTTGAGCAGTGGAGCCAAACTGTGTGATTCTAGAGTCGACAAAGCTTGGTAATTACGTAATCTATTGGCTGTTAGCGTTATAGCGTGCCATCTTCACAACTTAATTTTCTTTCAATTATCATATTGGGAGCAACCGAGACTGATCATAGATAACTCCTAGTCTAGTTGTTAGACCGGTGCTGAAGGTAACTCCTAAATCTCCCCGAAACAGATTTCCACAGCTACGCGTATACGAGTTCCCCACCGAATGAATAGCCCTGGCAGCACTTTACAGTTTTTCTGAGCCTCGAGGCTTAATGATCAACATAGCACTTTGTTGCAATTTGGGGACCCTGCAATATATCTGGCTTGCACTTGTTGACCATGTCGACCACCTCACAAAGAATCTCAATGCAAATCCCGATTGCGACTGCAGTACTCCACGTTAACGAAATTCCTGCAGCTGAGTAGATATGTATGTACCCCAAGACACGTATCCCGTTGGGAAGCGGTGATATCTCTTCACTCCCCGGCCGTTTACCCATCTATATTCAGCCTTACTCTAGGGTAACAGCTCCTTGTGCTATTCCGTTGATTCACGGTACTTTCCATATGCGGTTAACTTGTACAAATAATATCAAAGATCCCTGGAACAAATTATGGCATGCGGCTGCATTAACGGTCAACGGCCTCTGAGCTATACGTATGCCTGGAGGGGTAACTCAAAAGGTGTTAGAATGTTAGAAGAGAAATTATAAAAGCATGTGCAAAACGACCTATTCCTGAGAACGTGTGCTTTTGCATCTTATTATATTATATATATTTGCGTTCACATTTAACGTTCTCAAGCTCACTTCAGCTACACTATTTTTGTTTTAAATCTTTTTCGCGAGTGTTTGGCATAAATTATTCATAATTCCTCAAGTCGGCCTGTGAAGCCCCAAGGAAGTATCCAGTAGCCCTTAATCTAGGTTGCTTGTGGCCCTATAATTCCGAAGACACTCGAACAAAGGATACACTTTCGTTAATTTCCTATAATGGCGGCCTCTACATATCTATCTGGCCCTTCCAATGGCCTGGTAGATATCACAAGAAAAGTCAACAAGATCAAGAAACGCCTAGTAGTCTGCTGCGATGGAACTTGGTTCTCAGCCGACAAGGGGACAGTCAACATGCCTTCAAACGTCGCCCGAATCAGTCGTCTCATCTCCAGCGAAGGGGAGAAAGCCTTTACCAACGACAAAGGTGAAACGGAAACTACTCCGGTTACACAAATCATCTATTATCAGAGCGGCGTTGGAACTGGGGATGTCTCTTTCGTTGACAAAAGACTACAGGGTGAGCTCAGACTCAAACTTTGAATCGTTTGAATATTTATTTATTGGTTCACCTCAATGCTGACGGACTCTAAACTCACATTTGCAGGCGGCATGGGATTCGGTCTCGACGAAAACGTTTGTACTGCATATAATTTTATTTGCAACAACTACGCCGAGGATGATGAGATACTTCTTTTTGGTTTCTCCCGTGGTGCATATACAGCCCGAGCTCTTGCGGGCCTCGTAATGGACGTCGGTATCATCCCACCCGGCGAAATGACCAAATTCCCAGAGATGTATGGAGAATATAAGAAGAGACAAGACCGTCAAGTATTCCAGCTGAGTGATTGGTTTAAACAAAACGGAGATATCGTTCTTTACCAGGACGTCAAAATATCCTTTGTTGGCGTATGGGACACAGTCGGGGCGTTGGGAATTCCAGAAAGTGGGATTTCTAGTATGACAGGATGGAATAAAGGTTATCAGTTTTGGGACACAGAGCTCCACCCAAGTATGATTAACACATCTTAGCTCCAATTTTGATATTTTGATACGCTAACAAACGATTCGCTGGAAATAGATATCGAAAAGGCAGCTCATGCCCTTGCTCTGGACGAATATCGTGGACCTTTTACCCCGACACTTTGGTATCATAAGCAACAAGGAGACCATGGCTGGAATGCAAGATTAATCCAATGCTGGTTTCCAGGCTTCCATGGCCATATCGGTGGCGGTACTGTTACTGGTGCTGATGTCAACCTAGACGAAACTTCGGTCGACGATATTGCTCTCGCCTGGATGGTAGACCAAGTGGGCCATCGCCTTACCTGGGATGCAGTAGAGATCGAAAGATTTGTACTCTCGTATCAACAGCAGAAGTATATCTGGGCGGAAGGGAACTTGGAAGACAGTGCGTCGATTGCGTACTATCCAAGTGTTATGGGAGGATGGAAGGAGAGGACGCCGGGAAGATACAATCACGAGAAAACAGAGGCTGAGAAAAAGATCAGGATTCGTGGGGTCCCTGCGTCAGAATTCTGGGGAACCAACGAGTTTATTCATCCTTGCGTACGCTACCGTATGGGACTCCTCAATTGTAAAAAGCCCGAGGATCTCGGGTACACGAAAGGTTACTTTGGTAAAACACCAAAGAAAGAATATAAACCTTGGGCATTGAAGACATTTGAGCTTCCGGCAAGACAGGCAAAGGATGATTTCTACTGGGAATGGAGATCGAGAGATGAAGTGAAGGGAGACGTGGTAGTTCGCGAGTACCAGATCCCCCCGACATGGGCGCAAAATTACCATTGTTTGGGCTTGGAAAGACGTTTAGTGCCGCCAGAAATTATGAAAGAACTAGATGAGGGGAATAACTATGGTGAGGCGGGGCCAATCCAGTAGTTTCTAGTCAATCACTTGTTTTTCTTCATTTGTTAGCGCTTTCTAGTATGTACCAGTTTCTCCGTTCGTTTTAGCATATGCTAGTAGTTGAAATGGATTTCCACGCGGATCAATCATACTATTGATGTGATATCAAATACACCCTCCATATTTGTATAGCACTCTCGAAACTTTCCGCGCGAGACTCGGCGAATATATGGGAACCAAATATTTCAAAGGTGCGACTCCCTAACTGCATTTATATAAATGATTTAAATGATTTCTTAACTTAAAGCTGGCTTACTCGAGCCCCTGTCTACCAGTCTCCCAACTATGAAATAGACCAGATATCAAACCATAACTGGTTATAATCACAAAATTAAAACATTGTGCATGTTCTTGAGTTTAGTGAAGATCACACTCTGAAGCTAAGTCTACTAAATACCAATTAATTGATGTTAACATCAGATGAGGCCAGGCTTCTGGAATCCACGCTTGTGATAATTTGGAGAGTAGCTTCATATTTCTCTAGACCAGCTGAGACTTCCGATTCGCTCGTATAGCTCAGCGGTAGAGCGTCTCACTCGTATCGATCCGTCGATTGGGTGTTGATGAGAAGGTCCTAGGTTCAAGTCCTAGTTCGAGCACATCTCTTCTTTCTTTTTGCATTTTTTTTAGGCTTCGGCGAACCTTTTTACTGTTTTAGCGAGGCCGATCAAGATGCAACGTGGTGGCTGGTTGATCCGTGTTGTTAGGGGTACGTTTCCTTTGTCGATGCAATGTATGTCGGGCTGTCAATATTATATAATTGGTCACAATCTAAGTGTGCCCGAGTTACTTTTAGATGGATAAGCTAATCGATTTGTATTAGATCTAGGGAGCTATTAGTTATGGGGTGTATGGTATCGTAGTTCAGGAAATCCGCACTGGCTTCAGCCTAGTGTTCAACTTTTATTTTCATGACTGCATATATACTTAATTATATAAGTATATACAGAGCATTGCATCGTCCCATTTTCCCATTTTAATTGATTGAATTTACGAGATCACAAAATTTAAGACCCCGACGATTACGAGACTCCTTGAATTTTTGATCAGAAGCGCTGTCATCTATATAGCCTGGCTTCTAGTAGTAACAGCTTAACCTTCAAAAACCGGCCACTCCAATCCGCGCCCTTCTAGCCTTGCATCATCATAGACGCATCCCGATAGCCTCGCCCATTGAATCCACGAATGCGCCCCTACACGTTTAGCTTCTTTCCCAAATATCTTCCCTCTCATCAAACTGACTTTATTCAGTAGTCTCATACTTGTGACTTCCATGCCCCCAAATCCGACACCATCTATCACGGGGCTGTACCAACCAAGCATTCTTGTGATCGTATATTGAAGGGTGTCAAGTGATGTATGTGTGTATATTCCCTTCCGCGAGGCTTTATATAGTAGGTAGCCTTCCACCGCGCTAGAAAGGTGTTTAGCCATTCTATCGTAGACAGTCTTGGCATCTGGGGTAGGGAAAAAGGTATAAAGCGCGGCTATAGCGGTTGGATCGTGGTGGATAAGGAGATACTGGGTGAATTCCGTTGAGAGTGCAAATGAAGCTGTGTTGGGGGGGCAAGAGTCTACTATTTAGAAGTCAGATATTAGTATCTCATTTAGTCTCATGCTTCCGATTTGCCTAGTCGAGTAGTCCATATTTGTTTCCAATAGGTGTCCCTACCCATAGAGTATATCGGGAAAACCAAGACTACCTTCTCATCTTGCGAACACCTCTCCACTATATCCTTTAAACCTGATTTCTCAATATCCGCCTCAAACTGATTGAATGCGCCAGAGTCGTTCGCGTTTATTTGACCAGTCGGCAGAATCCTAATGTTCTCTCCCATAACCGACTGTATCCTCAGAACGTCCCAAATATCCCAGGTGGCAATTAGTTTTTCGATCTGGATGTCGAAACGGTCGGCTTCACCACTAGGTTCTACCATGTCCATATGAGAGGGTGAACTCGCTACTCTCAATTCCAATTCCAAATCTAGCCCCTTGTTGAGTAAAAGAAGTAAACTCCATCCGCGGTATATAGCTTGCGTGATTCGGTGAAGCTCCGAAGCCGTTAGATCGGGTTCCCTTCGCGCCGCCCTAACAGCATATTGATGTGCCAAAGCTATCTTTCGAATCCCAAGGTAATCATTTACTAACTGTTGAGCTTGCCGTCGGGGATTATATTCTCCATTTTTAGATTCGAGAAAACTGGTTGGCAGCCCTCTTTGACCAACTAATTGATATCCTTGTAATATTTCAGATAGTGTCGTAAAATCACCGATTGTGGGTACCTTCCGTCGACAATATGTGAAAACTATTGAATCTGGGCTGTAACTCAGAGCTTCAGAGAGATAGAGGTTGTGTAGAATACCCTCTTTGTGTCGCGTAAAGATGTTGTAGAATGCCCTTGAGGTGGATATGAGCATAAGAAGGGCACCCCGCTCGTCGACTCGGCGAAGAATGCAGTGTTTGATATCGTATGGAAGGTTCGTTAAGGTCGCCATTATCTATCGCGGACTAGGTCGGGTACCAGAACCAAGTGGTCGGAATAGCCCCTGATGGAGTTCCTGGGTAGAGCTATCGGTTTATCCATTTTCGAAAGACCTCGAAAGAGTTTCAAGGGAGCCACCCATCCTTAAGTATCAATGCCAATTCGATTTCACTCTCGAGCTCTCGTGATCATGTCGGAACATATCTGACCGTTTCCCATAGGTGCAAGCTGTCGACGCCCCCTCGCTTAAAAACCCCGCTTGCCATTCGTCCAATTTGCATACCCGGCATTCCAGACCGATCTTATCCCACTCCCAATCTTTTTAGCAAATATATATAATTCGGTGGAAGGCGAAGAAGAGAGCCTTTAAATTTAATATTTGGGCATATGCTAGTATTTTTATACTCAGATTGACATTCACACAAGGGTATCAGCTCATAGGAGTCATTCTAAACAGGCAACCACATGCATGTAGTGGCAATTATTTGTTATAACGTTAGAAGAAGTAGGCATCAACTCCGATGCCGGAGAATCAAATGTAACATCTATGGGAAGCCACAGGTCAGGCAGCATATTTCCCGGACATGTAGTACCACAATCTGGGAGGCTTTTGAAGTGGGTGTGGGCCTGCATTCATGCCTTCCTGTTTGGTTCTACCGAGAGTCGTACGAGTCGCATCCCTGCCATTTCCTCTTTTGAAATCAGACGATATAAGATGTGTTGTAATTTTGAATATTTCGACGCAGTACGACCAGATTGCAGGCCCCATCTTTCGCTTTCGGGGGAATCATGATCATGAAGGCATATGCATGAATCTCTACTGGAGTACTGGTATTCAATTGTACGGTCTAGACGTCTGGAGATTGCTTCTGGTTGGACCTGGGTCACCCTTTGAAAATACGTCTGTACTGTTGTATTATCGGACAAATATGAACGCTAATATTACATATTTTTGATGTCCTTATAGTATATCGAGATTGGGTATTCGCACTGTAAAACGATGGATTTTTTTTGAAACAGTAATACACTTTTAAGAACCATTCTTAAGATCTTTTGTAGTGGAGATTTCTGCAAATCGCAATGCAACTTTTCTATTTGATTATGGCTATGTCGACGCGAAAACGTTGAAACAATATCGCAAAATTCCATACAACTGTATACAGACAGGGAGTTTTAAAAGGCAGCAAAGAATCAAAAAGGAAACAAGAAAGAAAAATATATATATAGTAGAAAAACTAAAATCATAGAGCTTGAATCATAGACTATTAAGTGATATGCCGAAATATCATCGACATCCTTCGTTGCGTTCATTATTTGGAAGCGAATGAAGAATCGAATCAATCGCTTAGCCAACGGTAACACCAGCTGGGACCTGTCCTGACAAAAGCGAAGTAATCGCTTCAGTCAACTGCGGATCCTGCATCTTAGAAATTTGATCGTATCCAGAATCAGGGAAGTTTCGTAGGAAGTCGGCGACCGCTGGTTCAATGTCTGGCATTCTTGGGAGTTGGGCAAGGATTGTTTCCTTGATAGTCGACTTGACAGTAATAGCAGTGCCATCTGGTGTAGTTGGAGCACCCTGAACTGGGGCTCCCACTTCAGCGACTTGGTCGTCTTGACGAACTCGAAGGTCAGCGGCGGCGGCGGCTCGTCGCATGGCAGGAGAGGCAGAAGCAGTGGCAAGAAGGACGGTGAGGCCGAAGAAAATGCTTGAAACCTTCATTTTGGGGAATTAAAGGAATATAATCTTGAAAAGATGAATTATGTATAGGAAGTAAAGCTAAGGGCCCGCCTTAAGATGTAGTTGTAAATGCGGTAGCGAGTGTATTCGAGTGAAGACTTGAGATATTGATATTGAACTGATGATGCTGATAAAAATTCATGGGGTGGTTGAGTTCGAAGCCATTTTATATCAATGTTGCCTCAGCAAAACTATCGACACTTTCAATAGTAGAATCCAATTTAGTCTGTCCCCTGTGAGGCCAATTCGGTCGTGTGCGCGTATGAACATCCCTTTGCTACGTCGAGTCTCACGTTGAAGCGCCGTTGAATTTTTTCGCTGTGGCAGAGTGCAGTCAGAAAACCACACTAAGGCTCAATGAGGCCCATTGATACTGCCAAGCAGAGTCCCTTGATACCACAGAAACAACGCATGCGCGTGCGGAGATCAACCGTTTCTTTTCCTGCCGCTGTTCTACGGGTAATTCCTCCGCGTTTGATAGGGCTTCTAGAAGCCGTATTTTCGCCTGTGATGTCCAGGCCTAGGTTTTCAGGTTTCTATTCGGATAAGGTTAAAAATCCCTTCCGACTTCATTGATTCAATTCTAACCGAACTATTACTTCCACGGCTCTAGTTCGGCACGCAGGGACGCCGCCATTAGTTTCTAGATGGTGTCTCTAACAAGATGTGGCCGTGTATATTCATGCGAGGAACCTGAACTAAACTACTTCTATCAAAGCCTCAAATGCTTTGAGGCTCTTGGCTCGGAACCATGGAAGTTTTCCCCCATAATGGATATTTTGAACATTGCTTCTTCGAGAACAATGAAAGAAATGCTTATGTGAGACTAAGCAATACGAAGATTTTTCTCGTCTGAGGCTAGGGGGCCGGTCTGGCCTGGGCATCCACGGAATTAAGCTATTTCTGTGGAGTAGTGTGCGTCTCGGTTTGTCGTCATGGCTTTGCGAAATTGATTGGGGCTTTGCTCCTGTGAAACGTTAAACTGGTGCGGGATCGATTTCGAGAATCGCATTGCGGATTTTATGCATGCTGATGTAGTTTAAAGTTTCGATATGTAGGGCGATAGGCTTGAAAAACTAAACGAAGCATGCAGGTGTGAAAGTATATATAACTATCTAGGGTGTGCCTCCTCCTCGATTTTATTATCATCATCAACATCGATCAAAGCAAGCCGGTTCTTGAATAACAAGCTGAGCTTGGAAACAATCTACCTGCCGGTCAGGATTTTTTTCGTTCTTATAATTTTTTTCTTTCTTTCAGTTCTTAATTTGGTGTCTGCTGTGCGGCCCGATTCTTAATTTTTTAAATATTTTGTCTACTTTTTATTCGGTTTAATAATCCCCTTTATTCACAATGGTCTCTGCAAAGCTTCTTTCACTGTCTTCATTGGCAGTGGGATTGTTCAGTTTGCCAGCACAGGCACTCTTGACGAAGAATGGTAATGTCAATCTCGGAAAGGCAGAGAAAATGCTGCCGACCCGAGCCGAGCACCTCTTCCCACATTTGAAGAAGCGGGCGGATGACCTGTCCAAGTTGGATCTCCAAGACGAGATGCAGCTCACATGGACCTACCCAAATAGTATGTATCCATATCTTCCGTTGAGACATTTACGAATATTAACAATCTTTTTAGAGGACGGCTCCATGACTGTGGCTGATATGAAGCTCAAGAAGCCAGAGGCTGACCATCCTCTTCTTGCTTTGGAGTCTTTCGATGACCTTACCTCCTCCATCAAATGCGAGGATTCTAACAAGCAGATCTCTGTGGCTTTCAAATCTTCTGAGGCCATGGAACGTGCTATTGAAAACTGGGATTACGTCAACCAAAACAAATCCGACTTTTTCTACTTGATCGCCAACCATGTCGGCTGTGGCCCAGATGCTGAACGCCACCCATACAAAGTCGTTGGTGTCGATTTCAACGAAGCTGCTCTGACTACTACCTTCTCTACTCAAGCTACCTCCTGGAACGAAACCGCTGCCAGCTATGACATGAAGCTTGGCACCCGCAGTATTGCAGAACTCCCAAGAGAGCTCGTGAAGCGTGATACTGCCGACACTATCATCAAGACTATTTTCACTTTGTTCCGACACACCCCTAGCGGTATGCTCCTCGAAAGCGCTGCAGAACTCCTCGCTGGTGGTACTTTCAATATCGACCTTAGTACTGGCGACAAAGAAAACGAAATCCTCCTTTGGCGATCATTTGAAAGCGACAAAGTTCGTGTCGAATCTAAGTGTGTTGGCTGTTACACTACTGGTACTATCCAGTGGGATACTGAATACAGCATGGAAAACGGTCTCATTGGTGAGGTTGTCGCTCGTGGTACTCCTAAGGGACTCGGCGGTAAAATCAAGATTACCACCGATATTGAAGCCGATCTCGACGAGGGTTACGAAATCGAAAAGTTGATCGCAATCCCCGGTGCTAGTAGCCCCATTACCATCAGCGATGTTCTTTCCGTCGGTTGGACTATTGAAGTTGGCCCTGGATTCGAGCTAGGCCTTAAGGCACAGGGTGGTTTCAGTGTCGGATTCGAATGGGGTATCCCTGACACTGCCAGTGTTGAAGTCCACTCTCTCGCAATCACCGAGTCAAAGTCTTCCGGCTTTGAGGGTGCAACATTTACACCAAGCTTCTCCCTTGATAAGCTCTACGCCGAAGGATCTGCTGCTCTTTATGCTAAGGCTAGACTCACCCTCGGTCTTGTCATCGCTGGAAAGAGCGTTGGTGTCCGCACTGATTTCAAGGCATCTAACAAGGCTATCATTCAAGCTGGTCTCCTTCCCGATGATGCCTGCCCCGGTCAAGACGACCTTGAGTCGCTTCGATCTGGTGGTCTTAAGGTCGGTCTCGTTGATGAGTTCGAGATCACTGTAGCTGCTGGTGTTGAGGATACTAGTTTTGACATTCCATTCAAGCTCTGGAGCCACGAGGTCCCAATTGCCGGGCACTGTTTCGCCGCTCCTATTCTGCCTCCCGCTGATCTTCAGAAGTTGGTTCCAGAGGGTGCTACTAAGGCCAATCCTGAGGAGAAAGCCAAAGTTGAATTGCCTCCAGCTGCTCTTCCTGAGGGCTATCTGGAGGTCACCAGCCAACCAGATGTACCAGCAACCGAAGAGCCAGAGGCCAACACAGCGGAAATCCCTGCTGAAGAAGAATAGTGAAGAACAAAAATTACAACAAAGATATAAACATACTTGGATAATATAGCATAGCATAGCGTTGGTGTTTGGTTTATTAATGCATTGGATATTCTTTGCTTTTTGTTTACTTGAGTTTTCTATATTCTATTGCATAGCTTGCGTTGCCTTTCCTTACGATATTCATGATAATTAATATATGACTCTCTTTGACCTCAAAATTTTTATTATTAATATCCTTCAACTTAAATCACTTGGTTAAGTGAAATATATTATCGTAACTTGAATAGCCATTGCAAAAAAAAATCTGCGGAATTTAAAAGCGAACTGAAGAGAAGGTTGGGAACGAGCCAGTGACAGATGTGTTGATGGGGCGCTTCCTAGCCCGTGTTGACCTTGTTACATTCTAAGTCTGTGAACGGGCAATCTGAGTCGAGGTTTGTCTTTTTCTCGGGCATCTTTAGCCGGATTATTCACCTTTGTCACCTTTGTCATCCGCAAAGGTTCTTATTCAGCCCGTTAGCGGCTTACTGAACCAAATCTCCACCCTAACCAACCCACCCAAATACCACCTACTAAGCCATGTTTAAGAAGCTTAAATTCCTTTACTAACGTCTTCCGTAATCGAATATTCTTGATTGAACGAGATCTGAAATCTAAGTTTTAGGTCATCTATTTGAAATGCGGACTAATGCATGCGAAGCTGCAGAAGCTCGTCATCGCGGGGGTCGAGGAAACGAGTATAAATTCACCTCGAAGGAGCCTCCATGATCGATTTCGTTTCTAAAAAGTTCATCAGATCATTTCAAGTCAATTGATATCTACTAGATAAATACAATCCAGTCAGATATTCTACCTGAATTCAATACAAACCTTAGAATTACGATTTCCTCCTGCAATTTAATTACATCTAATTAATTAAATTTACAAATATACTTACTTTAAAACTCGTACCTACCTCACGCTTCACATCCTCATCCACATCTCGAAGCAATAATGTCGAAATCCACAGCATTGAAGCTTATCCCCCGTCTCTCCTCCTCCCGCGGCTACGCCGACCACGGCTGGCTCCGCACATACCACACTTTCTCGTTCGCAAACTACTACTCCCCAGCAGATATGTCCTACGGACCTCTACGGGTTATCAACGAGGACAACATCGCCCGTGCCAAGGGTTTCGATACCCATCACCACCGCGAATTCGAGATCTTTACATATATTACCCGAGGCGAGATTGTTCACAAGGACTCCCTTGGTAATGTAGAGGTTCTCAAGCGCGGAGACGTACAATATACGTCTGCTGGTACAGGGATTAGTCACTCGGAGTATGCTGGCAATAAATCGGATGCTTCAATTTTACAGATCTGGGTTAAACCTGATGAGGCCAGGTTAAAGCCTACTTATTACACACGACACCACCCGGAAGACAGCAAAGCTGGATTATTGAAGAAGATCATCTCCCCCAGAGAGAACTTTGGAGATAAACTTGCTAGTGTACCCAAGCAGGACGGAAAGGAGGAATTGATTCCTATTCCTGCTGATGTGGAGTTCTTTGCTAGTATTCTTAAGGAGAAGGGTGATAGTGTCAATCATACTTTTACCAAGAAGGCGGGTGCAGAGGGCTTGGACCATGGAAGAAAGAGATTGGGACTTGTACAATTGGTTATGAGTTCCGGTATCAGGAAGAAGTCCGAGAGTGCCCCGGAGGGAGGTGCTAAGTTAAAGGTCACCGCTGAAGATGGATCCGAACAGGTACTCGAGGAAGGTGACGGTCTCAAGATTGAGGCTGGGGAAGGCAGTAAATTGACCTTCGAGAGTGTAGGAGACCGAGCAGCAGAGTTTGTTTTCTTTGATATGGCGGACAAATAAGCTACTGCTTGTGCAATAGCTAGATATGATTTTCTTTCTTGTTCTTTACATTTGAATGTACTTTAGGAGCGATTCTACAATTATACAAGGAGCTCGGGCTTCTTCGGGTGAATAATTTTTATCTCGTCGTATACGTGTATCTATGCTGAAGAATATCTGTAGTTTGGTACTTGTAGGTATTCTGATTCCTTGTGAGCGCGTGATATACTCCTCGACAACGGCAATAATGATCAATCAATCTTGATACTTAACCGAAATACTCCATTGGAGACGTAAGATCATATTCTATTCATACTATGTATACTTCATTGAGTACTTTAGTAGAATATGGTACTAGTACTCGCTGTGCCACTTGAATTCAACTGGTTGCCTGCATGTATATGTACATGTTACATATTATGTTCATTATAATTCCTGTAACAGATTTAGTTTCTTTGACCAGGCCAGAAAAACACAGAAATGGCTAGTGTTATTTATATATATTAGAAAGTGTAATAAGGAAATACACGATACAGATATCAATGTCGTCAAGATAATAAATGAAGTATAACCAGCAGAGTATAACTAGCAGCGAGTGTTAGCGCGTGGCCAACGTCGTTTGTGTTGAGTGGGGCGTGTTGGTTGCTGGAAAGCTCTAGAATTGTTACAAGAAGTTCCTGTCCGCACAAAATTCAACTGAACAGCGCTGCTTTCTCAGCCTTCTTCTTCTGATCTCATCATCCATCTCATCAACATCAACATCAACCATATTGACATCTCATTTCCTCATCTCTTGACCTTAGATATCTTCTTCATAAAACCAACTTCCTGTGACACATAATGGCCTCTTCAAGCACAACGTTCTTCCCAGAAGGTACCTCACCATACTATACCCCTCCACCCCGCCTTCTTTCGTATCGGTATCGCTACCGATACCGTGAACCCTAGCTAACCCCACCACTTTGTTTCATCTAGTCATCTGGGCTCAACGCTCCGATCCTTCTGCCGCCGAAAAGAATATCCTCTATGTCACTATCCTACAGTCTGATGTTTCCAAGGATAAACTCAAGCTCGACTTAACCCCCACATCTCTCACTTACAAGGGCGTCACAAACAAAGGCAAAGAGTACAGCTTCAAGATCGACTTTTTCGAGGAAATCGACGTGGAAAATAGCAGACATATTCATACCGACAGAGCTACTGAGTGTATCATTCGGAAAAAGGCTCCCAAGGAGGAGTTCTGGCCGAGATTGATGAAGGAGAAGGTTAAGTTGCATTGGTTGAAGACAGATTTCGATAAGGTTTGTTCCTCCCCACTTCTCCCATCCTCGCGAAACAAAAGCGATGAAATATAAGGATTAAGAATGTTAACTTTGGACGCGTTTTTTTTTTAAACAAAAAAGTGGGTCGATGAAGATGAACAAGACGGTCCAGCTCCCGAGCCTGAATATGACCCCAATATGATGTCACAGTTCGGTGGCGGCGACGATGCTGGTGGATTCGGTGGCATCGACTTCTCCAAACTCGGAGGAGCTTCAGATCTCAGCGGTCTAGGTGGTATGGGAATGCCTGGAATGCCTGGGATGCCTGGGATGCCCGGTATGGATATGTCCGGCGGTGGAGCTGGCCTCGAAGACGACAGCGATGACGAGGATATGCCCGACCTCGAGGGAGAGGAGAAGGCTAAGGCTGTTCCTAGTGAGCCTGTGGCCGGCGGGGAGAAGAAGAAGTCGCCAATTGAGGAGCTCGATTAGATGGCTTTTTCTTCTTCTCTGGTCAGTTTTGTTTAAAGCGATGACGTAATTATGCTGGATTGAGAGGGTTGATGCTTGGCTTCGTCTTCTATCTCTTTCTAGGCGTAGTTGGCATACGATATATCCGTGGCTTATTGCTTTTACCTCTTGCTTCTGGGATGGGCATATCACAAAAGAACTAATTGATCTGGTTTATAATCAAAACAAAAAAAATGATAACCTCTGGAACCAAAATCTATGAACTTGAAGACGGCTAGTTAAACCGTTGTCTACTTTGAAAGGCGATATGGAAACGCGAGTAAGAAACCGCGAAAGCGAATAGGATATCATCAAATCAGGTACCAAAAAAAAAGACGTATAGACATAGTACAAACAAGAGAGCCCTGACAAGAGCACTCATCAATGCCCGAAACCCCAACATCACCATCCGAAGAATACAAAGCGTCCTAAATGCAATCATTACCTACGTATATTAGTCATTACAGCCACCATCTATATAAATCGTGTGACACCCTTCCAATCTAACTCCTCAATTGCTCCAGTCGACTCCTCATCTCGTCCAAATCTATCTGCTCGTCTGCCACAGGTTCCTCACCGACCGGTACCTCCGGCATATCCACGGGAACCGACGATTCCGCAAACTTATCACCTACAATCTCCGCTATAACTTTGTCTACCTCTTCTTCAGCCTCCTCATCCTCGAATTCCTCTTCCACAGGTACCATATCATCCGTCATCTCCGAAATAATCTCCGCCGCCGTCAAAGCTTTCGTAAGTTCCTGCATCGTCCCCGTCAATTCTGGCAACCGTACCAAAGCATTCACATTCCTCATAACATCAGTCGAAGCCTTCATCGACCCTTGAATCTTCCGTACGGCGAATGCCTCACGGACCTGCATCCCCACAGATTCAAGCTGCGCTTTAGAAGTATTTAGCCTTGTACTTTGTTTTCGGATTCTAACGAGTTCTCGAGCAAGAAGTCGGATTTCGAGCTGTGAGTTCTTGGAAAGAGTCTTGTTTGTGGACGATGTACGGGTGGATGCGGATTTGATTTGAGATTTTGTCTTGTTTTCGAGAGTTTTGAGGGTATTGATCTGGCGGTCCAGTTGGCGGGCATTTTGACGGATTAAGGAGTTACATTTTCGTTGCTTTTAAGGGGAAGGATGCATTAGCATAAGTTTTCTGAAGTATATGGAAAGTCGAAAGTACCTGTTCGGCAGGATCGGGACCCCAGATGAAGCTTTTTATTGTCTGCATCTTCAAAGGGTATATGTATGGTATGTAGAGACCGAGCCCGAGAACTCGGGAATGCGAGTAGGGTAAAGAGGGGCTCTGGAGGTGTAAGGAAGGGACTAGAAGCTCAGATCCCTTGTGTATATGCTTCTGTAACTACAGGCAGGCTATGAGGACGTCGATGAGGCTCTGAAGATAGGTTGTATGGCTTGGAGAGGTGATGAAGGCTGGTTGAAGCAGGTTGACGAGGTCGTTTGGTTGGATGTCATTCGCGCGTCCCAAACAGGCAGTCTTCCTTGGCGTCAACGCAAAAACTACAACATTTCTCATCTCATAATAGCGGTTTATCGATTTAGTGCCAATGAAACTAATATACCTAATTCTGGACAATAGTGGGGATGCACAAGGCTAAATACTCTTAGTTTTGTCTGACCTAATGAATGAATGATTGTATATATTTTGAATTACTGGATTAACGTCGAATCTCGGAGTAGCGAGGAACGAAACTAGAGCAGTGAAATAGTTTGTTCAACGAGACCACATCTACACGTTACGTACTGAAAATCTCGCAGTATGTGGTAACTACAGAGAAAAAATATATATATATATACACTTCGGATGTGTCCATCTAAAAAGCTAGTGCGATCAGAGGTATTTGCCATAGTCCGGATTAATAATGAGTAGAGGTTAGTGTGTAGGTGTTATAACGTCAGGATCGATAACGTTACAGCTGATACTCAGCCAAAGAGACCCCCAGAACTCTATATAGTCCCTTGGACCTAGACCGGCATAGTCCTAGTCTCGGAACCAGGTCCTAAAAGAAAATAATATTAATAGCGTTCGAGAACCTTCTGAACATTCACGGAACCTCTAAAAGGAGAAAAAAATTAACTTTAAGCCCGGCCGCGGTGCGCGCTTCCAGGTCGACTAGTCTGAGTACGACACAACCCGCGGTGACTAGGGTAACGTTACAACACTATGTCTGGTCTTTTGTTATATATGCCGTGATTAAGCGCTCGAAAGATTTTATCGAAGTTATATAGCTATACCTATCTATTGTGAAGAGAAATATCCGTTACATTCACATCGTCTCAATCTAGTACCCACAGGTCCCAATGATACCAATCAAAATATACGTACCCCACCCGTAGACTTATACTTTCTGGAGAATAGGCCCGGACCAATAGACACCCGAGAGGACGTAAGCTCTACATATAATAACTCGTCTCATAACACCTTAGGGGCTTCGATCTATGCATCGCGCAATAGCCGAGAGCCAAATACCCCACCCTATGCCGCAACTCGTCCCTGTTCATACATGATACCATGATGCGGGGCTTCTTATCTAACGTTGAAGCGGCTGGCTTTTTTTTGTGTTTGCTAATGATAAAGCCTCATGCTTATGCACGCCAGATGCACCTAGAGTACTAGTGCTAAATTATCCTAGTTAAAATACAAAAAAAACACCCTGAGTTGTTGTTGCAGCTTCACACTGCAGCTGCAAACCGAAGCAGCCGTGATCCTTTCTATTTTCAGTGGTATACTGTTAGTTTTTTTGCCGGTTTATATAAAGAAAACCCCTCTATCTTTCCTAAATACAGTTTAAGCTCATGACGAGATTTCTAGGGCTGGTCCCGAATGCTCTGGTGTGCATTTGCGTCGTACATTTTCCCGTGGTTCTTTTTTTTTTTTGCCCGACTGCTCTGGCGTGCAGCTGCATGCGACCGTAAAAACCCAGCCGTTTTATGGCAATCCCTGCTGCAACTAGCGTACCAATACCCATTTTGGCGAGCTACAGCTTCAACGTTTACGCCCACCCCGACTATGAATGGCCATTTGAAATCGTGATGTTGGTAGCGGCTTCGGCTTTTACTTTACAAGGCGGAATTTCATTCCAGCTATCCTGGATGTATATCTGCCCCGCTTTTCAGCCCATTACGTAGTGAGCTCTAGCTCTGGTGTTAACGGAGACCGGAGGATATTGATGTTTATTCAATGCAGATAACTGTTATGTAAATTCCATAATCGACACGGATATCCGGAGCACATATTGGGTATATAAGGAACTGCTTATCGCCTCCTTGGGCAGAAATATTTCTCGCAGCACCACCACCACCATCATCATCATCAAAGACGCCAATATTATAATTGTACAATTGCATCTCTCGATCATATCATTTACTACAATCTCACTTACATCTTAATCTAAATACCTATTTCATAAGCCAAAATGACAATCGCCGGCGTTGTTGACCAGATCGTCGATGAGTTCTATCCTTGGGCCAAGCCACATGGCCAAAACTCCTGGGATAAGGACCAACTCGGACAACCTAAACCGGATGATTCGTTAGGGCAACCTGCCCCTACCGGTCGTCCACTCGGTCAGGGTTTCCAACCTACAGACGAACTTGGCCAGCCATTGCCATCATTGGGTTAGTACTATATCATTCTCGCCAGTTTCATCACCGATGAGATGCTGTAACGTTGATCAATTGACCGGCTGGATACTAAATTTATTCGACAAATAGATGCACCACCAGCCCAAGAAGCACCAAAGAGCGAAACAACAGACCCCGTTAAGCCAAAGGGCAATTTCACGACCTTTTGGATACCTGTCAGCAACGTTAAAGCCCTCCCAGATGATCTCGACAGGATCTCAATCGTCCTAGACGCCACTGTCACTCCAAACGATGTCGAACATTATACCGCCATTAACTTCATGACCACTCTTGACCCTGAGGCTCACTACCTCGACACTTATATCATTCACGTTCGATTCGATAACTACGACGCACCCATTCATTTCACCCAGAAGATTCTGAAAAAGTGGACACAGAACGCTAGTGCTACGAACTTCACATTGAAGCAAGCCAGTTATGATTCTTCTGGTACTCGTAAACTGAGGATTGTGGTTAACCACGTTAAGGAGGATGACGTTGATACTTATATTTTCTCTTTCTTGAGTGAGGATGGTCAGTGGTTGACCCATAAGTTCCAGCCAGGATATAAGATTGACCACATCTATCGTTACGGTTGGAAGACAGCGGGTGATTGCGCTGTGGATAATGATTTGACAGTCACTCCTCTTCCAGGTCTCCCTCACTAGCGGATTTTGAGCGAATCAGATTTTATTTGTTATCGTTACTTAGGATGATGTTCTCAAATTTGTAGCTAGCAATTTTAGGGCCTTAAGAGAACCCTGTACATGTAATCTCAAGATTGTATCAAGTACTTCATATTTTACAATTTCAAATGATATATGATATTTTATAATTCGATTATTGGTTTTAGGCGGTACTTAGTCTGATTGACTATCTGCAACAGGTTGGATGAACGTTATGCAATTGGTTGTGGAGGTTGAAGCGTATATACATAAAACGAAGAAACCTCCTCCACAGATCATGTCCAGTTTTTGGAGAATTAGTTACAAATAATACCACAGAAGCGTGTTTTAAAAGGTATTAAAACAAGAATCTAGAGGTCTAAGGTGCTAGCAGGCATCGAAAACCTAAAAAAATATATAATAAGAGAAAATATGAAACAAGGGAAACGCAGGGTACCTAGACTAGGACTCTCCTATGCGAGTTGCAGTTAATATTTGTCTCGTAAGGCAGTCGTCCACCGGATTGGGTGAGAGTAGTCTCGTTTTTAAGAGACAGTTTGGGGGTCTAAGAGACGTATAATTAAGAGAACGCGGATATAACTGAGAAGACTTAAGACCCTAGCAGTCAAAAGGCTTCGGGAGCATGAACACTGATTAATAAGAGAGAGAAAGATTTGTTAGTAGGAAAAAAGGTTGTTCGAAAAGCGGGGGGCAGTGTAATACGCCTTATCACCAGGTAGCATGATTTTTTTTCTGATAGAGTATGTATACACCATAGTCAACTAAGTATATCCATAATTTGTCCCGCGGATAACTATGACCGGCCTATGTGGGGGATAATCTCCGAATCTTATAAGCTCTTTGAAAACCTTCGTTCCTTGGATTCTCTCATATGCGGCATGTGCCTTCCTCTCTTGATCTTCCCATGTGTCTTCATCAGTATCATCTTCAAGGGGTCTATATCCCTCCTCGACTAAGGCTTCGGATCGAAATCTGATAGTCTTCTTAGCCCATTTTCGGTGTTCCTGTCGTTCTAGTTCTTCCTTGTCCTTCCTTTTTGCCTCCTTCATCATGGGCTCGATTTTGTCGACCTTGTAGTCAACTATCATGAGGACATATGCTTTAACCTCACCGTCCTCATGCTTTGGGACAATTCCGTCAGGATTGTAATCATAAGCATCGGACTTTGTCGCATTCCAGACACTCAACGCAATCTGGGCCATGACTTCAAGCGTTGGGTTATTACTACTCTCGGGAATTCCGTTTTTAACGGCTTGAACTTCTCCATCGGAGTTGTAGATACGAGCATTCCAGTTCTTGGTGAACGATTTGCTTGTGATGTAGATAAATCCAGGACGTAGGAGCTGAATATGTTGGCAAATGGAATCGAAAATTTTCAACAATGAATCGATTTTCTGAACCACGGGAAGGCGACTGGGAGTAGGGGCTGAGGTTTCATCTGATCCATCTTCTTCTGTGATGTGGTCCTCCTCGAGGGTTTTGACGGTAACAGCTTCGAGTTTTCGCCAATATATTTGGAGAACATCGATTGCCATCGGCGTGAAAGCACAAAAGGGTTCTGGAAGAGGTTGTTCGGTATTTGCATTCTTAAAAACTTTGTCTGGAAGCCACAGGCCGGTTTTGGTGTAATGGCCCAAGGCTGGGGTGGTTTCAATAATCTCCTGCCATTGCTTGCAGACTAGCCTACAGGTCGTATGGACGATGACTGGAGGAACCTGAAGCAAAACAGATTCAAGAAGCTCGGGAAGTTCGAAAACATCTTCTGCGGTAGTCATGGTTGTGGTTTGACGATGGCGGATGGTCGTGATGGTGATGAGGGTTAGGTGAAGGGAGCTTGGTGTGACGCCGGTTGGTGTCGCGCAGCTAGGTTATGTAGCTACAGTTAGCAGCTTAGGTGTAGCCAACACATGGAGAGCGCTGCTACCGACACTATGTATGGCAGCTGCAGCTGTCATGGCGAGCTAACTAGGAATATATTAAGCAACAGGAGCCATAACCAGGTAGCCGGTTGCCAGATCTCGGTAGATCCCTGCCCCGTCTGAGTACCTTCTATGACCATCAGCCACCCTAATCCGTCAATACCACGCATCAACGCATTTTAATAGAAATTTATCCCAATGGATGTCTATCAGATCAGCAACAAAGTCAGACCTTAGAAGACACCGAGGGAACCACCCTAATTATTTCTAAAAAAAAAAAAGCCTTTTCTTACGAAAGAGCAGGTTGTTGGTAAACAACCGTTATGAGTCAGGCCTCAGGTATGTCAAGAACGTTCCTTCTTGCGAGTAGTATACGTGGCCATGTGGCCCATGTGGGATCCCGGGAGAGAACTAAGTTTCGGCTTGCGCCGCCAAATTCCCGACGAAGATTCCTTTGAAGACGGTAAATTATCCTTGAAGACGGTAAATTATCCTTGAATATAATACACTGGATTTTGCGCTCTAAATTTTGCACACGTAAATTCCACTGTCTTCCGAGTCTGAAACCTAATTTCTCATATGATCATATCGACCGGATCAGAATTTATAAATATCATTGCAATGATCTGAAACGAAATTAGGGGATATATCTAAAAACTACTAAGATGTTTTGCTTTAGCACTCCAGAGTAACATCATTGATACGGCCCCTGAAAGCCATATCCTCGGCACCGGCGGGTGTCGGCTTAGCATAGGCTACATAAGTTTGACGAGATTTGAGTAAAAGTGTATTACTTAACTTGAAGGATAGGTTAGCTCTTGCCGAAGCGTTTTAATACAAGATTAAGGTTAGCTATAGATGAAGTAGGGAGTCAGTTGTAATAGACCTGGTTGTTGAAATCGGGGCGCTTGGCCGTGGCCTCGCCCTTTGTCTTGAAACAACGAGTAACTGTAGACTAGAGAGCTTGAGCACTTAGCATCTAGGCATTAAAGCTATTTGGCGTAATGCTACATCCTAGTAGCTATACTAGAGCACTTCTGTGCACCAAATTTAGAACCTGTAGCAAAAGGTTATCCGGTAAGAGGGCTTCTGTATGGGACGGCTATTTTTAAGCTGGAGATGCCTTCATGTCCGAACCTCGCCCGAACGTAGTTCACCTAGATTTCCGAGCGAATTTTATATCTACGGTTTATTATGGCAACCAGTTAGTCTTGAAATTGCAACATTCGCTGAAATAATAACATGACTTGTGCATAGTCTAGTTTCATTGGCAAGCCGAATACTTGGAAGCTAGCCTCGAATCCAGGTTAGAAACCAGCAAGCAAGCTGCGCAGCTGGCAGGCTTTCGCCTTAGCACAACACAAACTTTTGTGGTAAAATGCGACACCCTTGGCCGATGTCAAGGGTCTGCGCGCCTGACTAGCTGAAGCGCTGTGTCAAAATAATCGGAATGCTACTGAAGTAGATACTTAGCCGGTATAAAAGCAAATTCCAGATCCACGACGCATTGTTGAACTAGCTATTATCCTTGGGTATTTTATCTGGCAGCCAGTGCGGCATTGAGAACTAGGCGCTAGACCACGGCACAGTATCGTCCTTCAGGAATATTATATCGTGAAGCCAATGATGTCTCCTAATTTAAACTAGCTATTACTAAGCTTATGTACAGGCTTATAGGAGCTCGGAGAATTCCGCTCTTATAGAAGAATATCTCTAGATTAACGAATTAGCGTTTTAGTTGGATTGGCTAATTAATTTGCGCCAATAGGATGATTCAATACTATCCTGCTCATCCGTCGCCACAAAAAGCCAGGACGCCCTGGAAGGGTTCTGACCCCCCTTCCAGCCAGTTATAATAAATGTTTGGATATTGAATCCCATGGCACAAGCTAAGCCATCAACCAACCTCCCAAACTCTCGGCTGCATTAGGCTGTAATCGTTTCCGGAAATTCGTCCGTCTTATTCCTCGCTTCGCTCCCGAGAACGAGTTGAAGAGGCAAATTTATAGGGGTCTTTGGTGTGAAGGACTAGTCCCGGGTTACCTCTCACGAGGGAGAGCATGGTTGTGGGGAAGGATTATTAACAATTACGTGATATGTTTAGATCCATCGACTATTCCTGTGGATAACAGCGAGCTAGCCAACGTTCATCAAACACCTAAGGAAAGGGTTTTCCCCCCATGATTGACCCAATTAACCGGAGGCAGACAAAGGAAGCAATTTTCGAGTGGTTGGTTCTAGCTGGTTAGTACTCGGATTCTGCTTCGATGTCAGTTTCAGATTCATTCAATCATGAAACCAAAGCCTTTAAATTTATAAACTTCAATTGATCTGTAATCCTGCGTGTCGAATATCTCTGTACAAACGACTGAGATTCTATCAACCGAGCTGTTCTTTGAAGTTCACCTTTTTCCTTATCACAAAGCTCAGCTTTTATTTCCTTGTCCCCTTTCTTGATTAAATGATTACAGGCATTATATGTCGGTAATATCCAAGCTTAAGACATTTGACACCTGGTAAACCATGTCGGTCCATAAGGCAGCCAGAATACCAAGACTTTTGGTTGCATGCACCCCACCCTTCCCCTCGCCACACGGGACCCACTCTGGTGGAATTTCGATATCGATTGATATCACCGTTTCGATCTGAACGTTAACCCGAACATTTTCCGCTCAAAATTTGTACAAAATCTTCTAATTGAGCGAGATGTTACTAAAGAAGACATGCAACAACAATAGCGAAACTGCGTTGCTGATTTACACGCTCGGGCTTCGCCGTTGCTAGATTATAATATTAATTCGTGCACCCAATTGGCCAATTGTGGAACTCTTTTTTTTTTTTACACCCCGCACCGCAGCTGATATGTAATGGTTGACACGTGAGTCTGAGGCTGAATAATTGTAATAATGTATCCCGTGCTAAATACGAAATTCGTGCGCTTGGACAATATGGCCATAACTATTAATTACGTTTTGATATAACTATGTTTTGACATGATATCAGTGATCGCGATAAACTCCCTTCTAGACCGCCGGGGCCAGTGGGGCGCTTGTGGGGCAGGCACAAGGTTAGTTCGACGTCAACAAGCCAAGGATTATCCCGAAGAACCGAATCACCGGGGTGGTTAGTAGGGTCTTGGGAGCGATTGTCGAGGGAGGAAAAATGTCAGCCTAAATGGAACCGCTCTTTCCATAAAACTTCTTGAGATATTTTCACTAACTACACATTGCAGCTTAATCTCAAACTGAACCTTAAAATCACGAAGGGTATCGTAGGAAAACACCGGCCGGCCGTCCCTGTCAGAGCAGGGCCTATATTACGCATGGGGAGCTCAATCACATGAAGGAACTTCTTCGACCCGAAGCTCTGGGCAACTTTTCTCGGTATCGCGATTCAATTGACATGCAAATCGCAGAGTCCCGACAGAAAACTCTCAAATTGTCTGTCCTAGCCGAACCTATCTTCTACTGCATTGAACGCATTAAACACAAAAAAAAAAAATTTTTTTCTCGGAAAAACGAAGCACCAATGCTCGATAGGTCCAATAATGGGATTCAAGCATCAGTGGGTCTCCTGATACATTACCGCTAGGTTTTCGCAAATAAATTTCTAGCTTTCAAACTTTGAAGGAACAAAAAATCAAAAATATTTTTGAAGCACTCGCGAATACGCGAACGGTTGTTGGAATCTGTAGGACATTCCCAAGTTGGATTGTTGCGGGTCCTAGCGAGACGAACCACGTCGGCAACTGTTTTACTCTTCCTCTTGCATCGACTTTCCAAAATCGCGATCATCTTCGCTCTCAATTGAGGTGAAAAAACCAAGGTATCGAAGCCCGCAATGCGATCCCATTTGCTGGGCTTTTTTGATGGGCGAAAATATTGAAGCCGATGTCTGCTAGCAATTCAAAGACAACACGAAACAATGCAAGGCAAGACATCATACCCAAAGTACTTGAGTCCCCAGCTTCACCTGTGAACTAAACCGTCACAAGTTAACTAGGCACAAGGTACAAAAATTCTCGAATATGGCTGGTTTTACCGTTAAAATGTCTTGTCCGTATTTTTGCGCGTCGTAAGACCTGCAAGGGCTCCCCCGTGGCTTTGTTGCATCCCATATATTCCACAAAGAGAGTCTCGGTTTCATCCCACAACTGGAAAAAATTCCTTCTCGAAGGATCGTTTCCCTATCTCGCAATTTTGCAGACCTCTAAGCCAGTTTTGTTTTAGAAAGCAAAACAGTATCTAGAACCGAAGCAGGAGCTCAGTGCAGAGCACCCTTCCACGCCACGATCCACGGAACCCTATGAGATAGGGCGTCACAAGCACGTCAGCTGTCGCGAATGCAGTTGCATGACACTACCGATCAAATTTTGCGAAAAAAAGGCGTCTGCATACACTCAGGGAACAATCGCTTTTTGATTGGCTAAATCAGCCTTTTTCCCTACTATTGTACAACGTTTCACGCTGTGTCGTTGAAGGTCAAGAAACCAAAGGTTCCGATAAAAACCGGGCATATGCACACGCAACTTAAAACTAGAAGAAAAATTTTACGCGGAAAAGAAGGTCTGTCTATAGAAGGGAAAGCTTGAGACATCCGATGCATCTCTTTAATTTCTTTCGCGAATTGTGCATATCGCCAGAAGATTGCTTCTTTTTCGTCATTGGGATTCCGGGGTAGCAGAACCTTCCCCCTTCAGCACGCGCACGGGAGAAGAAATCAGAGACAGTCGAGTTATCATACATACGGAATTAACGGTTACAAACCATCTCGATTCGAATGAGGTTTTTCATGTGTACATCTTATGCTATCTACCGAGCGATTCTACCTTGCGACAGCGCATACTTGCAGCTTTATCCACACATGCTATGCGCTTCAGATTTGCGGTAGAAATGCGAGCTGCAGGTTTTGCATAGACGGAATTTCCTGCGATATGCGAAAACCGAAAGCCTGATGCGGCCCGATGAGTTCAAGATGGGAACGATGCTTTCTGCGGTAGACCGCGTCAACAGATCCTCGGCCCCCGGCGTACGGAGAGGCATACTGCCTCCTTGCTTGTGCACTTCGCCTTGAAGTAAAAGAATCCTACCATTGACACGACAGGTTGCAAAAGAAAAACGAGAAAGTAATAATAATAATAATAACAATAATAATAATGCATTCCCTGTTGCCCATGTTTTTTTGCCTTGTGTACTTTGAGTAACATTTGGCATATTTTAATAATCTTTGTAGAACAGACATGTCGAATTTGAAGAACCTAAGTCGGTATACACCGCGTAGACCTGCTAGGCAAAAAAATAAATAAAAAAAACAAAAGAATTTTTTTAAAAAAACGCTTTCGTCGTGTGACTATAAAAATTCAGTTCAAAAGAATATGAGTGTGAGCTTGTACAAAGAAACTCGGCTGGGCTACAAGAAGGTCTCAGATGTAAAATGAAAAAAAAAAAGACGAAAATGAAAAGGATCCCTCTAACCCAGGCAAGGGTGCAAGGATCCCTCAATATCGTATTCAGCTCAAGGGTGGCTGCTACCCCAGGTCTTGGATGTTGTCTTCAAAGTATCCAACCAACCAACATTTACTACTCGGTTATGTCCAAGAATAAATGTAAGATTCATATGATACTTTTCGCCTAGGTCTGACACTCAAGGTACCATGTATACGTATACCTTGTTTAAGCCGCAGTCACGTCTTAGAAGCCGATTATGTATCAAGTCTAGGGTCAGGAAATAATATTAAACGAATTTGCAAATGATTCGCTCTTGCATTCGCGATCATAATGATGGAAGAAATATCGTTATCACTGGCTTCGGAGTATTCTAAGTCCGACATTTTGTTCGATGTATACGGTTGTCTAGCCAGAGCGCTGTTAATGATTTCGAGTGGTCTAAAAGAGATTTTATCAAGGATTACCAAATTTATAGGTGATGGAAAGGTAATTTTGTTCAGAGATGCTTTTGTGCATTTGCAAAGCTCGAAAGGCTAGTATTTATGTACATATAGTTCGGGAATGAAACAGGAAATATTGAGGACAGTTTATATATACAGAAGTCGATAATGGAAAAGAAGCTGGAAAAGAGAAACAGAAAATAAATCAATCAGCTTTTTTTGGGCTCGTGACTAAACCGTATTGTTGCCAATGAGTGTCTATAATGGTAAATGTAACAAAAAAAATGAACGTCGTGCAGGGAACAAATGAAAATAAAAAGGTAAAAAGGAATGAAGGCGAAAAAGTGTAATATAATATACAGAGAATATGAAAGGTTATACAAAGGGACTAAGAGCCACCAAGGGAGTGTCGAGAGTTGGAAGTTGCTGAAGCAATGCGCAAACATACCGACATGCAGACAAAAGGAAATATATACATAAGAGATATCCCTTGGGTATCAAAAATCCTGTACACTAAGAGTTAAGGAAATATTTTGTTCCACTCCGTCTATGATTCTGCTCCCCTTGGTAAAGTCGTGAAAGGAGGAAGGACATGAGGATCATAAGATCTGATCGTGGAGGGTTGAAATGACAGCCAGGAAATTACCGAAAAACGCCGCTTTTGTTGTTGTGATCCCGCCCCGGTATATACAGTAAAACAAAAGATTTATGCTCCAGAGGTAAAGAAAATTATATGTAAGAAAATCGCTAAATGCTTTTCAACCCAAGTGGGAAAGGTAGAACTGCTGGTCAGCAGCAGCGATGCTGTTCTGCTGCTGTTGCTGTTGCTGATGCTGCTGGTGCAAGAGTCGCTGGCGTTGTTGCTGTTGCATGATTGCATTCTGGTTTTGCAAAAGCTGTTGTTGCAGGAGAACGGCAGGCGAAGTTAAAGTCGATGCGCTACCAGCAGCCGAGGTTGGAGGCATTGATGTTGGTGGTGGAGTCGACAAGCAGTGCCCGTAGATCGGAGTAGTCGGAGTAGAAGGAGACATGGAATTGGGGGTTGGTGGATAAGAAGTAGGAGAAGAAATCTGGAGATGTGGATGAGCTGGGCCCGTTTGAAGGCGAGCTAATTGCTGGGGGCGAGCAGCGGAGCTTGGAGAGTAGGATGGGTAATGGCCACTTGGGAAAGAATTGGAGTGAACCAATGGAGGAGGGGAAGGAGAATTGGCTGGGGAAGAGTTGTAACCGGTAGATGGAGAGGCGTTTCCATTAAACTGGCTATTGGTATGGGCAGTGTTTGGGCGGGAGTAGTGATACATATTATTCAACATTTCTTCGTCGTATAGAAGTGCAGAGATAGCTCCATCAGCTTCGGCATCTGGTGAGTTATCATCTTGGTGGCCGTGAATTGAGGGGCTGCTGTGGCCAACGGAAGACTCTTCCTCAAAGAAGTCGCTGACGTGATCAGGGACTGAAGTTGGAGGATGAGATCTGCTTTGGGAAATGTGAATTATGTCAACTGGGCTGTGGAGGTAGCCACCGTCGACTGGAGAGTATAAAGGAGAGTAGATCTCAGGAGTAGAGCTGCCATCAGCATGATATTCAACATGTTGGCTGTGCATATCATCCATAGGAGATAGAAGTAGAGACAAACCGCCATGGGCGTGGTGGGCAGCTTGCATAAGCTTCTGGAATTGAGGTGGATGGTTTGCGGTGTTCAAGGAAGAAAGCTGCGGGTATTGAGGATACGAAGGAGCCATAGGCTCAGTAGGCGAATTGTAAGCCGAGATGTTCGATGGGATTGAATTCATGCTGGTCAAAGTAGCAAGATCCTGGGTGCTCATGCTTCTAACAGACGCAAGAGAAGAAATGGAAGCAGAAGCACTGTGCTTGGAGATACCAGCACCAGTATTGGCACCAGCAGCCTTCAACTTCTTCTTCTCCTCCTTCTTTTCAGCAGCCATAGCGCTGTTCTTCTTTGCTCTTTCTTCATCGGAAAGAGGAACAGGAAGACTTAAGCCCCTCAACTTTCCTCTGCTAGCCACACCGACGCCCCATGTGAGCTGAGTTCGATATCCAGAGCATGTTCCTTTTGTTTCAATGCACTGTGTGCAGTATGGTCGCCTTCGGTCACACACACGGCCATTTTGTCGGCATGTGTGACAAGGCTCTGAAGCGCCAGAAGGTGGGGCTCTTCTTCTTCTCTTAGTCTTGATCTGAGTCGGCGACGTTGTTGTCGTTGTATTGGAAGGCTGCATCATTGTTGAATTCATTTTGTATAAATATGATCAAGATATATTGTGATATATGTAATAGCGATGACGATGATGAAAGTAGAAGATGTTTGTGAGGTCGGATATGTGATATGATTTGAAAGTAAAGAACCCCACTGTTAAAGAATGAAAGGCTTGAGGCAAGGCAAGGTAGATAGATATATAGATGAGGTATGTATGAATGTCTGAGGAAAATAGAAACGAGGAAGTTGGGGGTGGCAGCCGAAGAGGGTAGATATATATTGAGGAAGGCGGTGATAGGATGCACAAGTGGAGATATATCGAAATGGGTGGGTTTGACAGATGAAGTGATGCAGTGTGGGTACTTCTAGAGTTCTTCTAGTAAAGTGTGTTGGATGCTTTCTTTTTCTTATTTTGCGAGTCGAATGTCTTTCAATATGGGTAGGTGCTTAAAATGGGAATTGATAGTGGCGCCTGAACGTCGATGATATATACCAGAGAACGGACAGGAGAGCCAAGTAGGGTGGCAGGGGTGGGAACGCTGACCGAGGTGCTTCTGGTACTAGTGCAGTGCAGTGGCCGGCAAGATGCAAGCAAGATGCAAGTGTGTGGGAGGCCAGTGGACAAGGTTTCCAAGGGCGCTATAATTCGTCACGTATGATCTTGCAGAACGCAGCATAAAAAGGAAGCAAATAAAGGGAAGGCGAGGGTATGGACGAGGTAGCCTGGCTTGTGAACGAGAGCGAGACAGTGTCAAGGAGCAGGAAGGGGGGGTCCACGAGGGAAAGAAAAAGAAACTTATGCTCCAGGTCAGATCTCCCATGCATGCGCAGTTGTGTGCGCTGCGGACTAGAATCAAATAGAAAGCAATGAACAAGCAAGACCACCCGAAGTTAACTTAACTTCAAGCTGGTTAGTTAGTTTAGAAGGCTATGATGGAGTGTTAGTGGAGAGACAGGAGGGTTTACAGGGCGGCGGCTTTGGCAGCAGTGCTGTTTTCCGAAACGGAGTGCGGCCCTCGACTAGTTAGTGGGCTTGCAGGGACCGCGGCGGGCAGCGACGTTGATTTGGGGTTTAACGATGAGGCGCTGTTCTTTCTTTCTTTCTTTCCCGCCGTATTAACTTTGCCCTCACAAGTTAATTCAGAGAGTATCACAAGAAAGTCTCTCGTCTTTTTCCCTGTTTTCTTGTTTTCTGTTCTTGTTTTCTTTTCTTTTCTTTTCTTTGGTTCTTTTCTGTCTTCGTCTTTTTCGTCTCCCTGTCTTTCGATTGTGTCCAGTTTACTGCGGCACCAAACAATCAAGCCAGCAAAGTCAGTAAGTATCATATCAAGCAGTAGCCACATTCGAAACATCAACTTCAGAAAAGAATAGAAAATAACGGGCGGGAAGGCGCGTTGCAGAATGAAACCGCCTCAACTCGAAGAGAGACAGACTTCAGGGAAAAAAAACTTTTTTGTGTTGTGCTTCAATTGCTGCAAGCACTCCTTGGTTCTGTTCTGTTCACCGTAATGCTGCGCATGTATGTAATGTACTCCCTAAGTACCCCGTATGCAAGCCGTGTATGACTAGTACAGTCTGGTACTAATCCAGATTTCTGGGTGACAAGACAGCGGCAGCACACACGCACAGCATTTGACAGCTTGTGCTAGTTCTTCAAGCTTCAAGAAATTCTGGTAGCATGACTTCAGCTAGGGATATAATCGATCAATTGATCGATGGATGTATCCCAAAAGTCTAAACTTGAACGATATGCTTTAAAAGTCTAGCCAGCTGATTCATACCATCATATGCAGAAGGGATTGTCAGGAAATTAAAGGAGGACGTTTTTCTTCATGATCTTTAGTCTTAAGCTTTTGCATTACCAATTTGCTTATTCTTAAAGTAGATGTAAAGGATCAATGAATGATGTCGAATCGAATCTTCCATAGATGGTTATGATGTGATTGCAGTCCACAGCAAAGAAAAGAAAAGAAAGAAAGGCCATTTTCATTTGTGGAGCTAAAGGGAAAGGTACCTTGTAGAAGTCTTGCTTTACACCACAGTAGTAGTGGCGGGACTATACAGAAAAGTCTAAAATATTCCGAAGACAGTAGTGTTTGCGAGAGAACTTCCAAAACCTGGTCGAAGGTGATCTCGAGGTAGTGCTGGCGATGTTATGCAGACCCGTTTGGAAATCCTGTCTGGAAAATGTTCTGTAATGTGGAGTGGTTGTTGAGCAGGGGTTTGTCCAAAGTGGTTGCCGATGGGGTAGGTAACTAGGTGTCAAACGTTCCGGTGGAAGGATTTAAAAAATAAAATAAAATATTGAAAAATGAAGAAGAAAAAAAGGTCCGCCGCCTTGAGATGTGAAGATGCTTGTTCAATAGACTGATAGTGCGACAATGTTCCTCGGCTCACTCTTAGTCGTTCTATCAAAGCCTTCGAGAATGTTTTGATGGTAACGGACGGGCGCAAGGGATTGCCAAAAACCGACTATCTTGTTGAGGATTCGCAAGGTTTGCGGCCGGGAAGGTCTTCTGTCAAAAGAAGAAGGCAGACTGTTACCCGGGTGGGAGTTTAAAAAGTGGCAGCGTCGAAGCGGGAAGATTTATGTATCGAAAAGAGAAGGAACCAAAGCTTCACAGCGACGAGGCGATGGTAGACAGTGGAAATCGGACCCAAAATACGGAAGATGCAGCAGGGAAATACGAAGAAGGAAGACCCAGAAATTAAATGTGATTTGAATTTTAGTAGATGGGGTTTGCAGCTTGCAATGCGGTACCGCCAGGTCAGGTTTGGAGGGAAAAGTATTGTCTTGGAGTTGGATCTTAGATTACAATACCACAGTCGCTATCGTGGGGGTCCGAACTTGCTTGCGTCGACGATGTTATCCTTTATTTATTTGTTTCTTCCCCTGTGCGCTGCTTTAGCTGTCGAATTAATATTCCCGTATCTAAAAACGTCGAAAACTCCAATGCTTTATGTGTGAGCTGTCAAGCTTCGATGAGCTATTGCATTTCGTTGCCCATTGTGAAAGGGGGATTCGTCCAATAATTGCGATAATCTCGACAGAATCAATCCGCTATGCATGTCTCACGGTTCCAGAAAAGCAAAATTTTTTCATGCTTTTCGTGGGCCATATACTCAATACAATGGTTTTGGTGGGGCGATGATTGGATTGAGACCGAGGTCCGCCCGATCGAGAGTCTGGCGAAACTGCTCTGCTTCCCAAGTACAGAAAACTTCTGGAGAGACATTAGGCGGCGTTCTTCCTTGAATAATAATTAAAAATTGTACGTCCTAAAATGCGTTAACATATGCGATAGTGCGTGCCTAGTTCCTCGATGCACAGATGTGGAGCAGCCCAGCAGCAACAGGACAGGATGGGCTTCACCAGTTCGAAAAGCATTAAATCAAATTTTATGTGGCCCATAAAATTTCGAAAGGGAACGAAGTGGAAAAAGAAATGAGAAACATCACCAATGACAGGCCGTTTTTGTGCCATTTTGCTTTTTTGGAGAGACATTGGGGAAAAAACCGTCCTGGGGTGCTTCGGCCGTTGTAACACAGGCCTCCCCGGGCTGTTCGAGCTGCTGATGACGCCTGAGGAGAGATTGCCCGAGCTCGAGCTGTTGCTGCTGCAAGCGCAAGTCCGAGCTTGCTCGAATTTTGCAGCTGGAGCATCATTTAATCGTTGCCATCAATTAATCCTAGAATGTCGACAAACCTTTGCATTTGTGGCCAACCATCCAGCCATCGTATCCGTGATTTGGGACAGGGAATTTGATACGAATCGACGCGAATTTCAAGAGGGCATATAGCATTGAAATATCACAGGCTAACTTGGTCAGCCTTGAATATCGAGGGAACCCCAGATAGTGAAGAAATCATGCTTCGTTTGCATACATACTTACTTACCGAAGAATGATACCGGTTTCAAAAACGAGCCAGATCGGCTGCCAATATCATGCTCCAATGAATCGACACACCGGCACCGAGCTTTGAAGCATGAAGCGGGGTAGGCCAAGCAGCCCCTCGATAAAATGATACGGCCATGTTGAAGTGCAGAATGCTGATCGATAGACGGAACCTTCAAAGGAGAAACCTCTGGCTGGTTAGAGGCAAATTTAATTAGCTTGGATATTGGAGGATGGACATGTTTGAGGCGTCCTTGTATTCATTTGGCCAATCGCAAGGTGGATCTAACTATAGCTAAAGGCAACACAATAATAGTTTTCCAACACCAACATGTAAGGAATCGGCTATAGCCTCGGCGTCGACGACACGGTACCGCTGCCGTCATGAAGATTGTAACCTTTTCTATGGCTAGTGAGTGATTACTAGCGCCACGAATGATAGAAGACTAACGTCAGTTGCTGAGGGGTTTTCGTCCTCCAGGAACTATCGAAGGAATCAATCATTCTCCCGAATCCGAATATTCATGAATTTTTTGAGCTATCGATATATCGAGTCTGACTGGACTAGATGCAAATTTTGGGACCAAGATTTAATAGCAGGGCCCTTGGATAGAACAATTTCCTATTGGTTCATCCTAACAAGAAGTGGAGTTTAAGGTCTAGGGCAGGGCTTATTCGAAGTTAGCGGTGGATGGATCTAAGACAGCCACACCATTCCCCCTCATATTTCGCTAGAAACATATCGCTGACGCCTGCCTGCAGCCGAGTGGGGGGTATTTGCCATCACATAGTATTCAATTTTGAGAGATGATTGCGGGATACTCGATGTTTTCGGATCTTCAATCTTGAAGTAAGCTGTATAACCAATCCCGTGAAGTGGACTTAGTCGACAGACAATTAACGTTTCCCAAAAGTACTATAGGTATACTTCATATTTGAATATATGTCTATACATACGTATATGCACACAAGGAGCATTCCGAAAATATGTAGGGATGTTGATTGGCTACCCATTGTTTAAGCTTGTTAATATGCAGCTAGGGGCCCGCTTTTTGGTCTCTAGGCAGCTCTCTTTTGACCCCATCAACTGATCTTTTAAATAGCCAGGAAGCCGCTGATAGCCATATTGGCCCTGCTGAGA